GTTCCAATGCTGGCGATCTAGTCATTGCAGATCATCCTGTCTAAAGATCATGGACGCCTCACCCCTCACCCAGCAGAGTAGACCCGAGTCCTTTAAACCAAAAATTGTCCAGCTCTATGAGAATCTCTTCAACGTACGGACCGAAAACATCGCTTTGTGTGATATTGCTAACATACCCCTGATAGGCGGCGGATGATGCAGAACCCTCGGAGGGCTTTTGGAGAGAACTCTTCTTGCTGACTCCAGACCGGAACCAATTGCATGCTATCCTGGACCATTTGAGCCCAGACGATACAATCGGTTTACAAGTAAGCCATGATACTGGATGTATCCCAGAAACTAAACAAAATATCTGATGCCATTTCCAGATTCAAACCCGGCGTTTCTTTGTCCGTGCCATTCGCGAAGCGGCAGCTGGGGTCGCCCCGTCAGATTCTAATGCACTAGATGTAAGAACCCCGTGATCAATATCCGGGACATATCCACTAACCTTGTTTAATAGACATTGACTGTTTTCTTGACGAGCATTCTGAGCAAGAAATACACAAATCCCAGTTCGGATGTCATCACTGTCCTTGCAGGACTCGACGAAGTGGACCATGTTATTGCCGATTTCGTGGCCGTCTTGGACAGAATCATTCGCAATGGCAGTAGCTGTAAGACTTTATCTGTTCTACTCCTTACCAATATCATGGTCATTGATTCTAATTTGATCAGTCGATGTGCGGGTCAAGGCTATCAACACGGCCATTGCCATGACTAGCGGAGCATACAAAACTAGCCTGGTCTCTTATCTTACACATAGGGACCTTTTCCCATCGCTTATGAAGGTTCGATTATTTTATATTGCTTCTATGTATGGAAATAACTGACACTTGCCAACAGTATGTTTCTGATTCTGATACTCCACTGCAAGTGTTCGACCCATTCCTCCTTTTGGGGCTGTTGGCCAACTACAACAAGTTTGAATTCCAAAATCCCTACCAACTTCGCCTTGATGATTTTGTGAATGAGTCAAGCATCAAGAAGGTTGCCAAAGGGGTTGGTCTGGCCTGTAATCGCCTGCGAAACGGCTACATTGCCGTCCAGGATGATATCCCAGAAGGCTGGAGCTTGACCAACACATTGATTTTCTTTGGACTACGAGTGCTCGCTCCTAGCGCCAGGGATAAAGTGAACCCTCCTTCGACAGAAGAAGCGAAGGCCCTGTTTGCTGATCTGTAAGTACTCTGCTGATAATCCATTAATTCGAAACTCACAATCCTCGCAGTCCGGCACAAGAGGCCGCAATTCTGATGGCCACATACGACTTCACAAATGCCAATAAGCTCTTTGGTCATCACCTGGTTCATCTGGAGCCAGAAAGCAAAGACGAAGAATCCCCCTTCTCGAGCTTCCTCTCATTGTCTTCCTATCTTCTCCAACATGCATATCGATCCCCGCGGGTCGGGCACTATGCCGAACTAAACTTGTTCACACTTCGCATTCTGGTCGAAGACCCGACCATCTGCAAGCACGTTTGTAGCGAAGATGTCAAGCGGAAGGTTCGCATCTGTCGACAGAAACAGCCCTACCTTCCCCTCGTTAGCGGAGACCGGGTTCTCGCAACCGTCATCTTTGATATCGCCATCGATACTATTACACATAACCTTCGCCGGCGCCTCGACGTCAACATCTACAGGTGTGAAACAATAATCAAATGTGTTCAGTAGCCATGGTATCACTAACAAGTTTCCCAGCCACACAATCGCAATCACCCTCCGCCTCCTAACATACCTCTCAAAGAACAAGATCCGCCTCACCTACCACTGGTCCGAGCTCTGGCGGACTCTTCTCTCCCTTATGCGCTTCCTAACAACCTATGTTTCCGATCTAAGCAGCAACCCCAAGATCCAAACCCTCACGACCTCCCTCGCAGACCTAATCGCATTCTGCGTCTCAGGCGGCGACACTTTCCTCCCAGACCCAGCTTCCTACGACGATCTCTTCTACAAGCTTGTAGAAACAGGCCCCATCATCTCCAAATTCCGCAATGCATATGCATTGTCCCGTTCCAATACAGCGGTAGCGGGCATCTCAGCCTCCAAAACGGCAGATGGAATCTCGCAAAACGAGGTGCATTCAGCCGCAATCGACACCCTCCAATCTGTATCCACTCATTTCTACGCGCTCCTCTTCCAGTCAGATGGTACGGATGCAGCCCCCGCCGCTGCTGCTACTGCTGTTAGTCCTAAAACCGATGAGCCTACGCCGGTGGCGTTGCCGTCGATCAAGAAGAAGAATCTCTCCCCGCGCGAAGTCCACCGTATCATTAAGCAGGGCTATGATACGCTGAGTATCCAGCCGCCTGAGGGTCTAAGTGCTTGGACTAAGTGGCGTGAAGCGGAGTGGAAGAGTGAGTTGAAGCGTGCAGCGCGGTGTGCTGTTGATGATGCTAGGCAACTGGTTGCTTAAGTGTGAGCTTTTTGGGGTTTTTTATTTCATTTTTTCATTTTTATTGATCTTGGATCATCTGGGTTCAATATACGTATTTGTGGCGGTGCTGTAGAGGTAGATCACTAGGTAGTAGTGGTGCTATCATTGAGGTTTCTATCAAAATATCCAAATGAGAAATCGATTTCCTCCCTTCTCGGTGTTAAGTTGTTCTTGTTGTCTTGCATCTGTAGTAACTACCAAGTAATATCAGGGGTTGGTCTCTTTCAATATCAGTACATCCTACAAGAACCTGAGAATGCTCTACGTCGTCTTAGAGATTTAGACATCATTAGGCGAAATATTTTGTATTCCAGGCCCTCGCTTCTCAAACCGAAATTTTAAAAACCCCCAAGTTGCTGCTGGAAGGGTGGCCACCTCCACCCCAGCGCAGACAACAAAAAAGAGACAGAAACCCCCCTCCCCCTTCCCCTACCCCTACCCTCCCAAGAACCTGCCGCACTCAGTGAGTGCTCTCTGCCGGCAGGTAGCTGGTAGCGAAGTACTTCTCGGAGTTCTTGCTCAGCCACATGGACAACTTCGAGATCTCCTCACGCAGGCGGTTTGTGGCCTGCATATCCATATTAGTCTGAGCAATCAGCTCAGGCATGGTGCCTACAAAAACGCAACAATTAGCACCATTCTCAACCCTCACAATTGACTCAGAAGTGAGGTGAAGCGAGACGGTATACATACTGAACAAGCGGATCAGGTGCTCCGCTCCGTAGACATCGATGGGGCCCTTGTCGGCTAGGTCCCCGGTGGCAGCCTCAAACTTCTTACGCAGCCCGCGGTACTGGGGGCGCTCGTGGCGGTAGAGAAGAATCTTATCCAAACACTTGTCAAAGTACTCCTGGATCCCGGCGACAACTTCCTCAAGCACGTCCTCGTCTGCTGACGAGCCCGACCGCTTTGGAAGTTCTTCTTCGTGCCAGTCTTGAAGGATCTGGCGCACTGGGTACTTCGCTGGCAGAGAGACGACGCACTGGTTCTTGGTCACCTGTTCCCAGTCATCGACAAGTAGAGACTTCAAGTTGTCTGGCATGAGAATACGGACTGAGGGGCGGATGTTGAAGCTTTCCTCCTGTTATGGATTGTTAGTATTGAATCATACGTGCTGTAGTTCCTTTGCATTCTTGTTTTTCTTGATTCTGTCCCCATTTGATCAAATTTAGGAGTTAGATGTGGGAATTGCATACCTTTTCAATTTCGCTGTCACGGGCTCGCTTTGTGCCACGGCCGGGCACGGAGGCGCCGCGCTCTTCGCTGTCCCGCACAGAGTCACGGTCGGAACCGGCACGCTTCTTAGCAGTGACCTTGGTGTTCTTCAAACGGAAAGAAGCTTCAGCTTCGCGACGCAGATTGTTGGCCAATTCGCGGTTGTCTTCCGTGTGCTTGCGAAGACGGTCCTCTAGGACCCAGTCGTCCCAGCTGTTGAAATGTCAGCGAATCGTTCCACATCGAATGGTTCTGAACATTTTGATTTCTGAAATTTCTGAATGCATATACAATATAAAACAAGACACATTCTTCATAGCTGAGAGTGTATAGATCAAGGTCCGGTCTTCCGTAGTGGCCCGGCAAGCTTTGGAGGGGACAATAACATTGAATCTCAACACAGCCAGGACGTTAATCAACTAGGAAATAGAACAATCCAGACTTACGTATTCTTCCAGCCCTTGTAGTGAACTTGGTATTCAAAGGGACTCTTCTTGTCATTGGCATCCTTGTGGCGAACATCCAGGATCTTGGCATCGTAAAGGATCTCATGGTGGAAGCAAAGGACCTTCTCATCCTTGCTATACATGGAAATAGGAGCCATTTTTGTCGGAGAAAGATTGAAGGTGTGCGTGTTTCAAGTTGATATGACTGATTGCAGGTCTTTAAGCTCCAAGGTGTAGAGTCTGGAAGATGTTTCCTGTCTTCACGGGAAAAGACCCCGGGGAGTGATACAGGCGGCAACAGCCACAATGATGAGAAGAGCTTTCGGGATTCTTAAGAGACTCCGATGAACTGTGATACTGCAAGTAGATGCAGCCTTGTGCAAATACAGGAGACGAAGATGCACAAAGGCACTACAAGATGGGTTTGATAACAGCAAATTTGATCAAGGTGGATGAAGGAATCCACAAGATTAGATCAAACGAGAGACCAGCTCAGGAATACTCCTAGAAAATATGAAGATTTCAAAGAAAAAAAAGGAGGTTGTTGTAGTGCTGGCGATGTAGTAGAAGTGGAGTGCAAAGGAGAGGAAGGGAAATCAAGCGAAGATATGAGTGGCCCCTTGAGAAGAATTAGGCGCGGCACTTTGTTCCATTCACCTTGACTATTCATACATCTTTTTATTTAGTCCTATTCATTACTATACATCAATTCAACTTTCCAATTCTGATTCATTCTCTTTTCTTCATATTGTCTTCGCGTGAATATTGCCAATCTCGATACGGGAAAACAGAACTACACTCTGAAGAGGGAAAAAAATTACTATACTCATATCGGGGACTACTACACACCACTACACATCCATCATGGCTCCCTCAGAGGAGTCCATCCTAAGCAATTTCTTGCTTTCTCCAGCTCCGCTGCCAATAATCATGTCATTGCAAAAGTTCACAGAGCTCTTTCCAAAGCGTTTGAGATCTCATCCGCACATCAGGACATTGTATCGGGAGTTGCAGCAGGTCCGAGAACAGGACATGGACCGAGTTAATGAGAGCATCGACAACGAGCTCAAGCAAGGTGAACTGCAGAGAGCAGAGCTCCGAAAAGCCATCCTAGCCACTGGAGTCGAAGCCTCCAATCCTGAAGAGCAGCGTGAGATAGACATGGATGTTCATCTGTTCGGCCAGCCACCTACTGCACCGGGAGATTATCACTCGGTGGCTAGTCTTCTGGCTGAAATGGAGAGAGCTAGCGCTAATATTGAGCATGAAATTGATGGGGTTGATCAAGAGGCTGCGAAGATTTTGGCTCAACTCAATACGACTGTGGGTGAGATGAGTGATCTTCGTTACGGCAAATTACAGGGTCCCGCTGGGACTGCGGAAGATGTGGCTGGTGAGGCGATCAAGGGCCTGCAGAACCTCGAAGATGTATGCTACAAGACTAGCACTTAGTTATGCTTGTGGCTCATGGTGTATTGTGCATTGTTCCCTGTTATTCGCAAATGCAAGTGTCTAGTGGCTACCCCTCAAACATTGGTATGTAGTTTGATTCTGGGAATGAAAGGACCTCTAACATCTTTGTCTGCAGATGGAACGCAAAATATCACGGGCGCTTTGGTGCCTAACTCCTGATTTCGAGCGTTGGCAGTTGCGCAGGTATCGAGCTCTTCACGGCCACGTTCCTATCTTGACCGTGTCGCCACTTTCTGCCAGGGTTATATTGCAGAGAACTGCTCTTTATGGCACGAAAATTGTTCTCTTGGAAAGGAATCTATTACACTCTTTTGATATCCAACCCTGGCATATGGCCGTGAAAGAACAATTTTGCGTCAAAGCTGTCGACCTTGGGTCCAAACCCTTGTAGCAAATCTACATTGTTACCAATTCAGACTTGCTTTCTGGAGCTTTCTGGACGCTTTGGACCGGTTGCATATTCCCAAAGACAGAATATAGTGGACTATTGAGGTTGTATCTAAGCTATCTAATCTCAACCCCGTAAATTCCACAAATATTTCTGTACGTTATATGTACGTTGGATCTTTCTGCTCCCATTTCGAGTGATAAGCAATGTGGGGAATTACTGAACGCGGCACGCGTTCGCGTTTTCCTCCTTTCAACAATTGAACGTCAGAGACATTATGCCCTCCATAAAACTGCACCCACACTGTTCAAGTCCAAAAGGGACTGCGACTGCCTCAACGCCAAACAATCCTCTCCCAGCACTCCTTCAAACACCCGCGGGCTTAGCCCTGCTCGAGCTCCAGGGCACAATCAATGTCCCCTCAGGGAATGAAGACATAGATTACTCTACCCCTACGGAAAATGCGGCCACCTTTGAAACTCCGATCGGAAAACTCATGTTCCCTGACTACTCGGTCCACAACCCAGATGACACAAAATGGATGAAGCGCGCATACATGTATGTTGGCCGGTACCAGCGGATGACTGGGGAGGTCAAGAAGCTGCCACGCCCGATTGCCGTGCTACAAAAGCGCCAGGCATCGGAGCACGAGGAACTCGAGGTTGTGGAGATTGTGCGCTACAAAATCTTCTTCAAGAGTCGACCGGAGCCCGTAACTGATGTTTGATGGGCCCGAGTTGGAGGTTTTACTTTCTTGCAATGGAATGAGACAAACTGAGATGGAATCTTCTGGATGTGACATTTGTTGTGTACAACGTATACTCAAGCCGCAGGACTGGACTGGAGGTTACGATGTGCATGGCCAATCCAACTGACAATGGACTCGCGCTTTGCTACAGAGAGTAACAGCTTTCTCTCTACGGCATTGACTTCTGATGTTCAAACATATCAATTCAGCTTCCTCCGGGCGTACAAGCTTGGATTCGAATTTCCAGCAGGTTTTAGATGCCATCGCGCCAACCACGCCCAAGTTTTGACCAGCAGACCAACTAGGCACAACCGGGCCCCTTCCGACACCCCGGGGGCCAGATTACTCAAGAGCTGGAGCCTAATCTCCTATGAATGATATAGAATAGATGTTTGCTCATCAAATTTTGGTATCACTACAAAGGCTAATAATTCTCAACACCGCGTAAAAGTACTAGTCTTACTTAGGTACATATAGCCTTGGAGAACCTATACAGTTAGGTAACTAGGTAGCCATTAACATCAATAGATTTTCATAACCTTTGAAACTTTTTGACCGGTTTTATTTTCTTAGGCTGCGTAATTTAGTAGCTTCTATAGCCCTAGAACTTCCCTGATTTATGATAAATATAGATCAAGGCTGCACGAGAAGCTAGAGAAGCGTATAGGTCTAATTACAAAGGCAAGAATAAAGCGCTGACTCTAAGACCTGCCATACCCACGAAGGTTCACTAAAGAACAAAGCTCTGCTTTATCAGAGGGCCGCATAGGCAGCAGGGCACCCAGGAAGGATGTGGAAATCATGGATGACTTCAGTATTGTCTCATATGTAAGGTCATCTAGCCCTCTATTGATCCGGACATGCGGGCTTGGAATGTGACGCGTTTGGACAGGGATGCGGCCATTCTATTTTTCCCCTTTTGGTCCAGCTGTCTTCACCATTCCTCAATAACTCTACCACAACATATACCGGCGCCAACGGCTGCGGGAGGGATGACATGCTTTTCAGTCCAAACCTGCACCCTTACCAGCGCAGCCACAATCAATAACACCAACCATGACCATCCCCAAAAATGAAGATATCTTTCCCGCCAATATGGGGCCTGAATATGTCGGCTTCGATCATATCCATTGGTATGTCGGTAACCCCAAACAAGCCGCTTCGTATTGGATCACTCGCATGGGTTTCCGCCCTATCGCATACCGCGGCCCGGAAACTGGCTCGCCCTATCTTGTGAGCTATATCGTAGCCAACAGTGGCGCTACGTTCATTCTGACAGGGCCAGTTTCTGGCCCGCCAAGCGAAAGCTCAGAAGACGATGTCTTGCGTCAGGCTTCGCAGTATGAGCGGGCGACGCTGACTGAGATCCATAAACACTTGACTATTCACGGCGATGGGGTGAAGGATGTCGCATTCCAAATCACGGGCGATATACACGCTGTGTGGGAACGGGCTGTACGGAACGGCGCTCGTTCCATCACCGAGCCGCAGACGTCTGCTGTCGAAGGACATGGATGGATCGTCTCGGCAACTCTTGGGACGTACGGGGATACAGTACATTCTCTGGTAAACCGTGAGAAGTATACAGCAGGTGCTCCCTTCCTGCCTGGGTATCGAATGGTCGACAGTGAAGATCCGATCACACAGCTTCTGCCACCAATCAACATTCTTGAGATTGACCACTGTGTCGGGAATCAGCCATGGGGAGGGGTGGACACCATTGTTCAATAGTGAGTAGAGTTAATGTCGTTGTTGGACTCGTCGCTCTAATCAATGAGCTTTAGCTATGAGAAATGCCTCGACTTCCATCGCTACTGGACAGTCGACGATAAAGACATGTGCAGTGAGTACTCGGCGATGCGATCGATTGTCATCGCTTCACCAAATGAAACCATCAAAATGCCTATGAACGAGCCTGCAACTGGCAAGAAGAAATCACAGATTGAGGAGTACGCAACCCCCTTGTTCTCTCTCTCTCTGTTTCTTTTCCCTCGTCTCCTCGACCTTACACTGATATCCACGATTCTAACTCTCACAGATTCGTCGACTACTACCACGGCGCCGGAGTGCAGCACATAGCCTTCCGCACGCACGACATCGTCGCTGCCGTGACTGGGCTCCATGCGCGCGGTGTCCAGTTCCTCAGTGTACCGGCTACATACTATTCCGATCTGCGGAAACGGCTGACACAAGTGTCCTGGACACTAACAGCCGATGTCGACGTACTCGAGCGGCTGAATATCTTGGTTGACTTCGATGAGCGTGGATACCTACTTCAGATCTTCTCCAAGCATGTCGGGGATAGGCCGACGGTGTTTATCGAGGTCATACAGCGGAATTCGTTCAATGGGTTTGGTGCTGGAAATTTCAAGAGTTTGTTCGAGGCTTTCGAAAGGGAACAGGCACTGCGTGGGAATCTCTGACCGATGGGTCATAGAGCGTGGCATGATTGAATTGGTATAGGAGAGGTGTCATATCCAATCTAGGACTCTGATCAACCACCTGGACATCACAGGTGAAGCAGATAAGTTCCTCGGCACGTAAATGTCCATCCTAGACGGCTACATACCATTACCCTTCAGTATCCCATTCCGCACACCAAATACCCGAGCGGAAATCACGCGCTCTCCAAGCAACACCATTCCGCTCAGTCACCAAGCAAAGAGAAATGATTTCAATTCAAGAGACAGATATAGCAGATATAGATGATGCAGAGAATGAAGGTCAAGACCAATACTCAGCTGGAAAAACCCCGGATTAATTGAACAAATCATCAACGGATCTACTCCGGCTCTTCACCCCCACCGACGGAAGTATCAGGAACAATATCATTTGAGATTATTAACCAACCCCGCCATAGAAGCCCATATAAATCCCCCCGGTAGCCCCCCAAATGTCCAGGTTCACCCTTCGCACTATCACAAAAATGGCCCCTATCGAGCGAATCACCCTCTTCAAGATCCCCAACGAGGCGGATCGCGACCGCGTACTGGAGCAGTACAAGGTTCTTGCAAAGACTGCTACAAAGGTGAGTGCATATGCTACACGCATAGTCCTATGCATTCCGTGCTGGCTACATGCGTGTACTACGTTATACTGTCTATCCATTCGGACAAAGAAAGCAGAAGGGCAGAGTCGGAACACGCAATTGAACGGTTACTGACGGGTATTTTCTTTAGGACGGCAAGCCCTACATTGTCGCTGCGGCTGTTGGCGCTTCGATCCCCGATCCTCGCAATAAGGGATACAACTTGTCTGTCAAGACGACTTTTGCTTCCCTGGAGGACATGAAGTACTATGACAACGAGTGTGAGGCGCATAAGCTTCTCAAGGCTTGTGCCGGGCCTGTCAAGGAAGATGTGTTGACGAGTTACTATGAAAATATTCTGTAATTGATTTGAGAGTTTAGAGACATTGGGATTGGTCCATGTTTGAACGTAGTGTAGAATATAGAGCGAAAGGGAGATGTAGGGTACATGTAGAAGCTAGATAATAAGAGAAAAAAGTCCATTGATGATGTACATTGCATACGTCTAGTACGCCCTGCCCGAGGATCGGAGATAGACATATACACTAAAGCAAAGATAATTCAACAGGCAAAACACCGATGCCTTCCAAAAATGGCATGCTGAGAGCTTGGAGAAACAGGAAAATACCAAAGAGGGTCGTAAAAGGCGCAAATCATGATATTGGCTCAAAACAGGGGAAAGCAGGTACAGCAAGGAAAGGAACAAAAGCAAATGACCTGTCCCATAAACATGGTTCAAATGCGCAGGATAGGACGTGATCACAGATCCTCGCTATCTCATCTGTGCATTTCAAATATACAGAAACCGGAAACTCCTATTCGGAGTCGAGAGGTGGAGTAGATAGAAGCGACGATGTGATCAGTCAAGGGCACGACGAAGGTCACTCCATTTCTGGCGGAGGGTCTCGTGGTTCTCAGAAATCTGTCCAAGTTTGTCAGTCTCGGCGTTCCACGTTGAATATTGAAAGATCTTTACCTCTGCCCACTTCATCTTAGTGGCAACCAACTCCTTCTCCATCTCGCACATTGATTCTTCCATCGCACGGTTCTCGTTTTGCACTTCGATATTTCGTGTCATGATCCGTTCCATTTCTAAGCGGAGCTTCTCCTCCACTTCGGCCGGCTGCTTATCTACCACCTTCTTGAGTTCGGCAACCTGAAGTTGCAGCGCTTCGTTGAGGTCGCGCAGCTCCTCGTTATCGACTTTGACGTGCACCAGCTCAGACGCTAATTGCACATGCTCCTTGTCTGACGCTTCGGCACGCTCCTCAAGAAGTCGGACACGCGTGCCCTGCGTGCTCACAGTGTGCCGCAAGTGTTCCAGCTCGACCTCGCGCTCTTTCTCACTTCGAGTCTTCTCCTCCCACTCGGTGGTGTACGTGGCAAGCATCTCGGACGTGAGAGGAATGGAACAGGCGTCCTGCACCATGATGTCGGATCGGTAGATCTCCTTGTCAGAGGCACCGGAGCTTCCGAAGAAGCCTGACTCCAGAATTGACGAGGTGGATGGCTGCTTGTCGATGTAGGCGTCAAACAAACGTTCTTTCAAGAAAGTAGTGAGCACGCTCATGTCTTTCATTTCGAGCAGCGCGTCTGCATTTCGTCGCATGATCGCAATACCAAATTTAAGGATAGTAGTCTCGAGTCCCTCTTCGAAAATCAGGTCATAGATGCGAAGCACAAGTTGCAGCGGGAACCGGTAAGCAAACAGAGTCAAGAACCACTGGGTGGCATAGAGCTGAGGAGGAACTCCACGGCGCCGGAGATGGCAGTAGAGAGCGGGTTCCAAGTCTTCTAGAAGCCGCTCGAATTGGTATAGGCTTCGGTGGAGCCCAGGCATATCCTGAATGAACATATCTCGTAGAGAATACTTGTTCATCAGCTTGACCATCATGGCGAAAGCATCAACTTCGTCCATCTAGATGAAACGTTAGCCTATGAGCTCAGTCAGCTTGAGTGAGGCGGTACTCACATTGAACAACAATGGCATAGCAATAAAGTTCATGCCTTGCGCGTATCCAACTCCAGGATCATACAAGGCGTATGCCTTACACAACCCGAAGAGGCCTTCTTGGCTGCCCTGGGAAACAAAATACTTCGCGTAGCTGGTACGAGCACCCAAGTCTCGCCTGATGACCTTCTCCAACTTTTGCAGCGCAACGGCGTCTGTCTTTGCTTTCTTCAGACGGTCGGCATCATTGGAGGCTTGTTCCTTGGACAGCTTATCAATGTCTCCTTCGTAAGACGGGCTAGGGGCAGCGCTGCTAGACCGTGATCCAGAACCCGAGTGGTGGGAGCGGACTGAAGAGCGCGATGATGTGGTCTCGGTCCCATTTATTGTTCGTCCATCTTTGTCCTGTGCCGTACCACGCGCCACAAGCTCTCGGTATGTGTCTTCCATATCAGCAGTCTGGCAATCCGCCAGAATTTGCCAAATAACTCCTCGGATCGTCTGAGGGATACCTTGTTTGATGGCAGCATTTAGTTCCTCTGAGCTTGCCAAGGCCTGGGGTCCATTGTTTACGAGGTGCTGCCACATCTCCCAGTCCACTGGGATGGAAGCATCAGCCGCGGAGCCCGTTCTCCCAGGAGCAACGGCCCCCGGGGTTGAGGTTGCTCCTGATGCTAAGATGCCCTCCTCTCCTTCCTCTGGGATTATAGGGGGGCTAGCTCCGGACTGGCTAATGCTGGCCTGGCCAGATCTCACGCTCGTTTGATCAACCTCCAGGACGTGGCTCTCCTCGCGCAGGCGCAGCATCTTAAACTGGTCCTTCAAGCTGTTGCGTCTCGGCTTCTTTGAGCCGATGCTCGAGAGATCGTCGCCATCACGAGCGATTTGGTCTAGGTTGCTGGCAAGGGTCGATACGGAGGTGGCAGTATTTCGTCGGCTGGCGGAGGATGGTGGGGATTTGATGTCCTTTATATTGGTTGAGGTTGAGCTTCGAGAAAACCACGCAAAGGGGCCACTGGGCTTTCGAGCAGGGGCTGGCGGGGGAATGGGTGGACTCTTGTTCACTGGAGGGGCCGCCCATGGGATCGAGGGCAGACTACCCGACAGACCCATCAGACCGGCGCTCGTCGGAGGGGTGGGATTGTCCTTAGGAGGCAACGGAGGCGGTTCCGTTTTGTCTCGTGGGCTCTGGGCCTTGTTTGTCGGTTCATCTTCCTTGTTGTTCATCAGGTTTACCTCGTCGAGGGATGATGATGTTGATAATCGGTGGGATGTAAGTAGAGGCGACTTCTGCAGTGGGCTATGATCGTGATTTCCTTCGTTCTTCTCTACCTCTGTCTGCGTAACCTTAGGCCCTTGCTCCGGCTTCTCACCCTGGGTGGGCTCATCGGTCGCGGTGTTCACCTCGCCGTTGGTGTCATAGTGAGTCCCATCCTTCGTATCTATTCCTTCATCCTTCGTATCTATTCCTTCGTCCTTCTTCCCCTGTCTCTCGTTTGGAATCATCTTGTCATTTTGTCCATCCAGCCCCTCGCCATTTGTGTCCTGCTCCTCAGTGGTCTCGTTCTTCTTCTCGTCCTGCGATTCAGAAGGAAACGGAGGTTTCTCCGTCGATTCTGGAGACATATGTGAGCCAATTGGAGGACTATCGGTCAATGAGCGGGTGGAAGTGGACTTGGGAATTGCGACGTTGAGCTTGTTGTTCTCCTGGATTGGGGCCGTTTCCAGGGCGTCGTCAAAAGACTCCTATTCAGACGGTGATGAGCTCGTCTCAATGCAGGCTGGAGTTTTGGAAAGTTATGAGTCAAAATCACTTACCACTTCGTATTCAGGACTGTGTTTTGTAGGCGTAGACATATCGGTCATAGTTATTAGATGACCTCACAACAATCAGAAGACGGAACACTCCATAGGATCGCAAAAAAGCAGAGGCGCAAAAGAGCTGAGGATCAAAAATCCCAAGGGAGTGGAATTCACGAAAAGGGAAAAGAAATATGGAATGAGAGAGGAAAAGGAATTTGGCGAGTTTCAAATGATTGATTCGATGGCCAGGTACACTCGCCGCTGATTGGCGCCTCAGGGCGGAGCAAGAGACGTTGCAAATGCATTTACACATTCGACATGTATATATGACCAGCCTGGAGTTATTATTCTTATTATGTTTAACATGCGATTTAATATGAGAATGTCTCGATGGCATTTTTTGGTCTTTCTAAGGAATTCAAGATGTGGTGGCACTACATGATGGGCAAAGGGGTCAATAAACAAATAATCCACGGTATATGCATACGTATGTAACTATTTATTTTCACAACGTCTTCTCGAAATCAAGCCATCTTTCTCGTCGCAATGGATCCAGCTTCTTCAATTCTGAGAGCCAGCTCAGAATCTGGTCCCGATCCTCGGAAGATAAGCTGCCTTGCACCTTGGATGCGAGAAGGGTGCACTCAATTAAGGACTGATAGATGTATTTGCAGTCTTCAGCTCCATCTAGCATCTCCTGGATCTCTTCGATCTCATTTCTAATGTATTCCAGCCGGTCGGACGCGCTCAAATTGGGAGCCATAGTTCGTTGAGCCATCGATGGGTCAAACACACTCATCAAATTTTGGTGATAGAACCAAAGTGACTGATCGTAAGGATCAATAAATGCTTGGTGAATAAGAGATAGTTCTGACAAAATCCAAATTAGCAGAATCCAGATTTGGCAGGGTATGCTAGACCAACCATCATCCAACATTCTTCTCCGGTCGTCATCGCTGGCAGATTGCTCATCCAAAAGCGACTGGATAAGCTTGGTCCGGTAATGCCACGCAGAGAAGTTGGAAAGATTGGCGCCAATCATCTTGGTCGCATATTCGAATTCCTTCTGGGTCATGCTTGTTGCTTCTTCAGCAGTGCCAAGCTCCTTCAAGGTCTCAACCACGAAGCGGCGATAACCCCACCCGTGGAAATTCCGGCTATCAAGAGTCAACATCTTACCCACAAGGGCAAGCTCTTGCTGCCAGATTTTCCGGGCTTCTGGAAGTGATAGTAAACGGCGAGCCTCGTCCAATAGCCATAAACGATAGTTCCAGATCCAGTAGCACTTGGGGAAGCTCCGGAGAAGGGGGATGAGGAATTGTAAATCATTTATGATTAATTGTGTAATTGAATGGGCAGCAGTATCATCACCCGAGCCTTCTGCTTGGGAGAATTGATACTGCAGCACCTGCCGGCGATAGTTCCAGGCTGTGTAGTATTCTGGGTTGCTAGACAGCAGCTCGGCAATCTTCTTCAAGGTCTCGATTGTGTACTCATGCTCAGCCACCTGTCTTGTGTCAGATTCCGTTTAAAGATCAGATATATAGGATGGCTCACCCTTTTTGATACTGAAAGCTCGAGATCCTTGTAATTTTCTATCTTCTGTAACTCTTGCTGTCGTGCCTCGGCGGACTTCTCAACTGGTTTGTACCGTGGCACACCATGCTATCGTAATTGTCAACCCGGAGCGGTACAGCCATGGAAAATTTAGTCTTACACTGGGCATTTTCACTCTTCGTTTGACAATAAGAAGTAAACCAAATGTGTTAACTAAGTTGCTTCGTGTTGATCAGATGCCAACTAGAATTATCTTATTGGCGCATGAGGCGGTGGGGTAGCTTACGTAATCACCGGCATTCCTTCCCTGAAGGTTTGTATAGCTTCACGTGATCCCTCTTTCTTTATATGTACTTGGCAGGCTTGTCTCTGCTTCACCTTTTTTGTCTTGTGGCTATGCCTTGAAAGAGAGGTCTCCTTATACATTCCTTTTCTTAGCTCTAGGTCATTACTCATATACAGCTTATCCACCTACATTCAGAAGAATGGTAGATATGCAACGTCACTCCTTCGAGGAAACGTCTCCAGGCAGTCACAAATACTCTCGATCCGAGTCCATCAAAGACAAAGGGCCTGTTCAATTGACTGAATTTGCAACTATCAATTTGCCATTCTTTGAAACACCTTCTTCTCAATCATTGCCGGGGAAACCCAAAGATCAAGCTGTTCTGACACCCGTCCCTCGTCACAAAGAAAATCGGGTCTTACCACCCAAAAGAGGTCGCAGCAGAGTCAAAAGTACAGGAAATACAGCAGTAACAAGAGCCACCCTCCGAAGCCCACTCTCGCCTGATAGATTCATCCCAAAGCGAGACTTGGTGGAACCCACATCAACAACATTTCGTGTGGCCAAGCATCCGCAGCGTCTTTCGCCCCAAGAGAGACTGTTTCGACGACTTCCCCCGGGGGGATGATCCATTTCTACCCCCGAGCCTGCGTAGAACTCATGCTGCCAGCGGACGCCAGCAGCCAACTCGACTCCAAAGGATCCCACATCAACGACCTCGTCTAGTCACCGAACCCAACATCGTAGGCAACAATATTGCACATGAACCTTTGAGACAAGTTAGTGCCGGTGCAGTCTGGAACGTGGGTGGGACTTCTGCAGTCCTCGGTGGTTCCGTTATTGGGGCTCTTGATGACACACCGATCACTTCGACCAATGGATCATCAACTGCCCCGATTTTTGTGGCCCGGTTCTTGCCCAAGAAACCCAAACACAGTGAACAAGAAATCCATGAGTCAAGGCTTGCGCTTGCTTTGGGAATCGACCCGACGACTAGACAGTTAGGTACTTGTCTACGGTATCTGGGTGCTCCCCTCAATCCAGCATCTCCAGATTTCGAGCGCCTCTCCCCATTTGTATGGAAGGACAGTGCTTGGAAGAAAGTCGAAAAGGAGCGTTGTAAGTGCAACTGTAGTTTACAACAGCCACCCCCAGTTCGACCTTTGGAATAAATTTACCATTTACAGAAAAAGCATATATATGATTCTTCAATCAAACTTTTGGAAATTGTGAGACTGGCAATATGCACAGCCTTCTTGGGGTATCGACTGACTCGGATTGTTTTCAGGGCCCAGACCTCCTGCTAGGAAAGAGGTTGTTCCACCAAAGCCTTTTCGAATCCTCGATGCTCCATTCCTTCGGGACGATTTTTACTGCAGCACTCTTGCATACTCAACAACATCCGGGATATTGGCTGTGGGCCTGGGCCATCAAGTATATCTTTGGTCTGAAGGCCATGGAGTGGATTACCCTCCCTTTCCAGATTTGCACCCCTCAAATTATGTGACCTCCCTGTCTTTTTCTTCTGAGGACGGCGAGCGAAGCATTCTTGCAGTGGCTCGTCGATCTGGCCAGTTATCTCTATGGAGTACATTCGAGAAGCAAGCCCGGTTTGAGATCAGTCATCCCAGTACCCTTACGTGCGTGGCATTCAAGCCGAGAACATCACGACGACCTTCAGAGCGGTTCATTCATGTGGAAGTCAGCGTGGAAGAGCTTGTTGTCGGTGATGAATTTGGAAATGTCTGGTATTATTTGGTTGAGTGGTCTGACAAGGAAGACCAAGTCAAGTGGAAATGGAACGGGTCCATGACGCTTCTTGCCAAGATCTGTGCACACACTCAACAAATCTGTGGACTGGCCTGGTCACCCGATGAGAAGTACCTTGCCACCGGTGGTAATGATAACGTCTGCCTTCTGTTTGAACTGGCCGAGATACTTCCTTCACGGCATTTGGATTATACGGTCGGTTCCACTACGCCCCCGGATTCTCCTAGCAGCTTCAGCCTTGGTGTATTTCCATACCTTGCTCTTGGCACTGCAGCAAGACGACTATTTCTTAGGCGACCTGCTCTTCCATCATGGCTTGCTACTCCGATTAAGCCTCCAGCCGCGGCCGCACTTTTAAACCATGCAGGCACTCTAATTTCCGGTGGTGGGCGAACGATTCTAGTCCCACACGACCGTCAGAAGCATCGTTTGACACATTCCGCTGCGGTCAAGGCAATTGCATTTGCGCCATGGCAGTCATCCCTGCTCGCGACGGGAGGAGGTACCAATGACAGATCTATACATTTCTATCACACCCGGAGTGGAGCCTGTCTCGCAACCATCAACGTCTTCGCGCAGGTGACGAGTCTTATATGGAGCGAAACTCGACGTGAGATCGCCGCGACTTTCGGTTATGCACAGCCCGATCACCCATTTCGAATCGCCATTTTTGCTTGGCCCAGCTGCGCACAGGTGGCTGTCATTCCTTGGGGGCCCTATGGAACCACCTGGGATGGCCCTGAAACTCGAATCAACAACTTTGACTGCGGAAGAGCACTATGGGCAGTGCGATATCCAGGAAAAGTCTCTCGTTTCTCCGGTGGACACTCTGGTAAATCGGAGCGTCGGTTATCTTCCCCTTCGTCGTCGTCGTCCTCGTCAAATCAGACTCGGTCACCAGAGCAAGAAGCCCCGACCCGTGGCCGCAAGGTCGGTTCTCGGATGTTTACTCCCAAAGAAAAAGAGGGTGGAATGTGGTGCACGCGAACAAAAGAGGAGGGATGCATTATTGTCGCGTCTAGTGATCAAACGGTAAAATTCCATGAGGTCTGGACGGGAAGAAGGACAAGTACTAGCTCTGCTTATGGACTCTTCGGCGGAAGCGACATTCTTGAGGGCCTCGAGGGTATTGAGAAGTCTGGTGGTGAAGTCATTCGTTAGTATTATCTGTCTTCTTGGGTCTGGGTACTGGGTACTCTCGCTATCATTAAGCATTTATATTTTTATCGGTTAAGTACTGCAAAGAGAGAATTTGGCTAGGTTGATTGTTCTCTGCGATGAATTAAATTCTTGTGTTGTTTTCTACAGCTCTCAACCTCTTTTGGCCTCAGGCCTTGACGGACACCAGACCAGACCTGTATGAAGAGATTCCAATCTATACCTCTTGCACAGTGAAACATTTCATAAAACATCCCCAGCGTATCGTATCTCCATCTTGATCTAGGGCAATATCATTGGAACTAAACCAGCCACCTCTGGCAATACTCCGAATGATAAAATCTTACATTCCAAATACATAGGTAGTACTAGTACGGAGTAGTATGCAATGTATTGATATCCGCGTGAGTACACTTTTATGGGCTTATAAGGGACGATCCTACTCCTCTCTTCACCCAGAACGGATTTCAGCTCTCAGATCTCAGTACTTAGATTTTCTTCTTCTTCTATCTTTGCTAGTACCGTCAAAATGCGCCTTCAAACCCTCATCCAATTCACCCTCTCATCAACAATCCTCGCCCGATCCCCCGATCCCTCCCTCGGCTCCACCCTGAACATAACCGTCCTCGGCGCGCGCCACAATCGCTCTACCCTAGAGTGCTGGGCTCTTCAGTCAGGATTTGAAACTTCTGTTCAGCCCGGGCAGGTCGGCAGCGCCGCGCTAGATTTGGGCACTATCGGCGGGAACGCGTCGTTTACGGTCTTGCCGGCTGGGTTTGATGGAGGTAGACATAACGCGCCTGCTTTGCAGTAAGTTAGATCCTCCTTTCTAACGATTCCTTGATAAAGATGTCTTTTGCTATTTCAAAATTGTATGCTATGTACATGTTTTGTTTTGTTTTATACTCCGAGGTGGGTTCAACATTCTTGGCTAAATCTCCACTTTGTTCCTATAGATGGGTGGTCTTCCTGTCTGGTTTAGCGCATATCACGCTCCCTAATTCGACTACCGAGGCCTGGATTGAAGGTGGCAAGAATGGAGTCATACTGGCCCTCGACACTGCTGATGTCAGTTCATTGGGCCACTTCACCACGTACCCCTCGCAGGACCAGACGACATCCGTGCTAATCCCCCTTGGAGAGAAAGGGGTGCCGAGTCATCAGGTCCTGCACAAGGGTCCCTGTCAGGGCGAGGAGTTGCTGGTATAAATAGGAAGAATACTTGGTGACATATCTGCATGGTTATAGCTACTGAGGTATGAAGTACTCTGTACATGAAAGATATCGAGACACCAAGGTAGAATTCAATAGACATTGATAGAGACGCAAGAGGCGCTCGTTAGAGGCACAAGATATCGAAAACAAAAGATAAAACAAAGAAATATAAAATGCAGACCCGTCGGATGCATCAAAGGATAAAAAAATATGTTCTTTTATAGACCGTAACCCCCTTCTCCCATCTCTAATTCGTACAAATTGAAAATAGAGACACGCTTATTTTCTACCGCCCTTGCTCTTCTTGCCGACAGAAGCGGAAGACTTGCTCTTCTTTGATGGCGGGGGCTGCACCTGAGCGGCATCGTCGGACTCGTCGTCCTCTGTGTCGGCAATGAAATCAACCATCGAGCCATCACTGTCCTCGTCATCGTCTTCATCCTCGTTCTCCTCCAGCGATTCCTCGGCGTCGGAAGAACCGACGGACTCGGCAGCCTCAATATCCAAAAGGGGCTCTTCGTCGTCATCCTCATCGTCACTTCCATCATGCTCGTCGTCTTCAGATTCATCGACGTTCATCATTGACTCATCCTCATCGTACGCCTGGTCGCGTATTGACTTCCGCGGCGTCTTGGCCTCGGTCTCACTGTCCTCGAGATCATCCTGGCCCTCCACGTAGATGACATTATCCTCATCCTCGCTGTCCATGCCCTCATCGCCACCGCGGATGGATTGCCGCAGTGCCAATTGGGCATCGAGCATATCAAGCTTGCCCTTGAGGAGCAGGAGGGATGGCAGGGTAGCAGAGCGCTGGTCCATGACCTTGTAGAGGGAAGTCATGCGCTTCAGAAGATCGGGCTGGCCAGCCAGGGCGCCACCGTGGGCGACACAGGTCCACTGCACCCAGACGAGAAGGTGGCCGTAGCGACCAGGCCGGGAGGCGAGACGCTCAGCCAGTTTTTGAAGCAGAGTTGCGGCCAACGAGGAGTCGAGACGCTGAATAGTAGTGCGGATGATGGAGGTGTCACCGGTGTGGAAACAAGACTCGAGCATGCCATTGTCGTTGGTCTTGAGTGACTGTGTGAGAACAGTGGCAAGGGAAACACCAGTGGGAATCTGTTGCACTGCAGCCTGGGGCTTGCCGGGAACCAATGCGCCCAGGAGGACATCATCATCAAGCTCGGCCTCAACGTCGACTTCCTGGCCTGCGTTTGCGCGCAGGAGTTCTCCGAATGATGGCTCTGCACCCTCTTCCTCTTCCTCTTCCTGCTCGGACTCGGATGCGTTCTGCATCTCAACATCCTCGTTCACTGCGACTTGCTTGATGGGCTTTGTCTTCTTCTCGTTTGAAACCTTGGACTTCTTGCTGTCCTCGTCATCTGAGTCCTCCTCGCTGCCAGAATCGGATGCGTCTTGTCTTGAATCCTCCATCTCTACATCATCATCTACCAGGTTTCCCTGCTCGACATTCATGCGAGACTCGTCAACACGGGTCTCGCCTGCGCTCTTAACTCCATTTGTTGTGACGGAAGAAAGTGCTGAGCTGGACTTAGTCTTCACCACAGTCTTAACTCCGGTGAACGAGAGCTCATCAGTGTTCTCATCGAGGAATTTGACACGCTCAAAGACAGGGATCACACCACCCTCGGTGTGTGCAACCACGAGGGTAGGGCCCTGGAATGAGATAGCAGCCACGGGAACGCAGGTGCTCGAGGACTCGGTGTTGGTGATTTTGAGAGTTGCGTCCGCCTTCTGGGTCATCTGTTTCCGGTTGGCCTTGGCACTTGCGGAGGGCGCACTTTGAGGCTGAACAAATGGCTTCGTGAACAGTTCGATGCTACCGTCTGCGGTGACTGCAGCAAGCACTTGCTTTTCCGGGGTGGTAGCGCCGTCGGTTTGCAGTGTAATCGACGAGACCTCCTGGTCTGCGACAAGGTTGCGAACAAGCTTCTGGGTAGTGGCATCAAAGACGTTGACGAAGCGGTCGCCATCGGAAGCAAGGAATGCACCCACACCAGCAGACTCGGAAGAGGACGAAATAACGGTGTGGATAGGATTGCGCATGGCAGGGAACTGAGCCGGCTCGTCGGCCTTCTCGGTATCTATTAAGTACGGGGTCTGGGAAGCGCAGATAAGAGGAGGGTTCGATGGGACGGGACGGGAAAGGGCAGTGAAGACTGAGGATGCGGGGAGGTGGATTGTCCTAAGGATATATCATTAGTTAGGAGCTCGGTATAACGCAGCATGCAGAGAAACTTACTTGGTGCTTTGTCCGGTGCGCAGATCCCACTGGACAAGCTTATTGTCACCACCGATACTCCAAGCCTCCTGAGCGGGCCGATCGGCCGTGAATTTGAAGTCCTTGATACCCTTCTCATGCGCACCAGTCAAGGTGCCGACGATCTTATCTTCAGATGGCGAGTACATGCGGATATCGGATGTGTTTGTACCGAATGCAACCACGATATCGCCCTGGTCCAGGCCATCGGCCCCATTGACATCGGAGCCACGCTTGCGCTTCTTTTTCGACTGATCACGACCCTTGCCGGAGCCACCGTAGTATCCCCAATCCAAGGAAGTCACTGTTTCCTTCGGCCCCAGAGCATGCTCGCACTGGAGGCGTCCTGTCTGTGTGTCGTGAATGCGAATGTGCTGGCCATCGAGGCCTTGGATAACGGACGCAAACAGGGCCAATTGGTACTCTGACGGAGAGAACGCAGCGCGCAGAATGGACGACTTGCTGCCCGCATATGTCATGCCCGATGCCGGCGATGCAGCGGCCGAGGCGACCTTGGTGGATGGGCGAGTCGTCTTCTTTCCCATCTTGGCTGTAACTTTTTTTCTGGTCCTTTTTTCTTCACAGTCGAGGGTGTGGTGATGTGAAGATAAATATCAAAAGAGCAGGCCAAAAAAAGACAGCAAAGATTCCGATAAGAGTCTATTTTTTTCCGCCCCTAAGGAAACAAATGGGGGTTTTGGCTGGTTGTTTCGCAGTTGATCCGGACAGGAAAAAAAATGTTCTGTAGAGCCTTGACAGTCTAGTCCTAAAGGGGTTTAGACTGTCATATGTTCTTATCTAATCATATCATCCCGTGACCTCGGGATACTTCCAAGGTTCCAATAATATCAGTTGAGTGTCTACAACATCCATATATACATAGGTAGGTTCTGGAGTGTCTGTGCCACTCTTTGAATCACTTGAGTACTCCGTAGACTCTCCAGCTTTCCGTGCCGTGAGGTCTGCGAGGGCTTCTTGCTAGTCACATATCAATTCTCTTGATGGAATTTTCAACATGCGCATGTCTTTGAGCGAAAATATATAAACCATGTTTGCAGGCCAACGTGTACTTCCTGCCGGCATCCCCCATTTCTATAAAGCCAAAACGATAATATCAAGTGTTTCCGGTTCATCTTATAACCGAAACTAAATTTAATATATATGAGAAGCAAGAAAGTAGCAAGATATGAGCCCTTGTTACAGCGGTTACAGATAAACCTGAGCCATCTAAACTGTGCAGCACTAAAAATCATATACGGAGTAGGTATAATTGTATACTTCAAAGCACATGGACTCCTATTGGGCAGATCTTCGAGCTCAAAAGTACCTAGGTATCCAGGTACCCCCAACTCCCAGATCATGTGACATGTGTATATTTGCCCAACCTGTAAGGATCGAGGTGCAGTCCTCCATTTCAGTAAATGCAACATGCCGATTTGGAAATGTCCAGGATACTTAGTGGGAAACTATATACTGGCCTCTTCTATGACCTATACGGACTAGATGCTTCGAGATTCTATAGCATATTCCCCTAGGTTGAATGCATACAAAGAACATTGAAAGGTGATGGTCTTCTCAATGTACTATACGTGTACTCATCATGATTTGATCACGTGAAAGTTCGAGTGGTGACGTGACTCAGACCCATCACGGCCTAACCCGGATTCAGCCAAAACCCTAGGGTTCTGAGTCATCCGAGAGACGCACCCGGCGTCCACTGAAGGGGTTTTATACAGTCTCTTATAGGTGAAGGAAGAAGAAAGTGAAAAGATATAATGTTTTTATTGTTTAAGAGTAAGGTGTTCCGGCTTAAGAGAAAAGTTGACAGAAAAGAGAAGAAGAAAAAAGATTCCAGGGGTATATAACCAATCAAGGGGTAAGAAAAGTGAACAGAATCGGGACTAGTGTGGCTGGTGGAACTGGGTAACAGGAGAGTGCAAGGCGGCCGTTTGTACTTAAGGATTCTGGCATCCCCTCCCGACCATTTTTCTGCTTCCGTCCTGGTTTCTCCTATTTTTATTCTCCTGACCGCCTTATAAGAGAAACCCATAACAAACGCGTCTTCGCGTCACGTTTTGTCCCCCCTTTTCCTCTTTTAACCGCCTTCAACCCCCTCAATTTCTTTTTATTTTTCTATTTTTTATTTCTATTTTTATTTTCATAATTCCCTTTTATCCTGATTCTGCCTCAGGCATCTACGGGAACTTTTTAGCTCCATATCTTACCAAGTCATCTAGACCTGGCTTCAAATCTACTAAATCACGTGAGAGCTTTTATACCGCCTTGGCAGTATAAATACCTCGTCTCCGATCGCATTCTCCACTCTTCCTATCTCTCGATCATCTCTGACCTCACTTCCGCCTTCCCGCCCGCGTTTTCTTCGCGACACGTTTGATATCAAGCCTCATCAACCGTTGAGTCCACACTACGTGCCCCCGGTTGCCGCTAGTGTCTGTTTACTCGAGATTGTTTCGCGGCGAGAGCCCCACGGGTGTTTTCAGTTGATCACTAGCTTTCAAAACACCTCCCCATAACTCTCACATCTTGAACACCCTCACCCTTCCCTACCTTGTATTTTTGCTTCTCCCACGCGACCACCAATGGCGACTCCGCCTCCCGAGGTTCCTCCTGTCACGAAGGAGGACAAGCCTCAATTGCCTCCGTCGCCTACTGGCCCTTCTGCGCCTGACTATCCACCCAACAGGTAAGTGCATCAGCTTTAGTATCTGCTCTGTTCTTGATCTGACTGGTGCACAGTGCGCAAAATGTCGCAGTGAATCTCAAAAGTGATGGTCCCGTAGATGCCGAGGTCAAATCGCCTACGCTGAATGGCCACACTCCTGTCGCGTCCTCGAACACCAATGGCACAATCGTTGCGACCTCACCGCCCAAGTCCCCCGATCACCAAATCCCTTCAGAAAAAATTCAAAACAAGCCATCACCTGCTGCGGAATCCTCTGCACCCGCGGAGACACAGCCGACCGAAGAAAAGAAGAGTCCTTTGCAGGACCAGCAATCTACTGCTCCTGCTGCAGCCAGCTCTGTAGTCGAACATGTTGTTCCGTCCGCTCCCCAGGCTGTGGCACCCCCTATAGTTCCTGCATCCGTAGATGGCCCCAATGACACACCTGAGCCAATGGCCATCGATACCAAGCAAGATGTCTCCACTGCCGTGAAAACTGACCTGCCACATCATCCTACCCCGACCTCTGCCCCGCTTGCTCTCACCGCACCGCAGCCCGTTGACCAGGAGATGAAGGATGCATCCGAGGCCCCGCTATCCCCTTCCAAGATTTCCCGGCAACGAGATGCCGATCTCAGCGAAGAACCAGCTCCCAAACGTACGAAGGTCGAGGGCGATGACTCGGTTATTAACTTCCAGACACCGGGATTCAATACCCCGGCTGCTGCAACACCTGGTCCAAACCGCACCAGTGGTGGACCAGGGCTCACCAAAATGCAACACAAGTTCATCTCAAAGAGCCTTACAAGCCTCAAGCGCATGCACGATGCGCGTTTCTACAAGGAGCCTGTGGATGCTGTCAAGTTGAACATTCCGCAATATCACACAATCGTTACCCATCCCATGGATCTGGGAACCATGGAAAGGAAGCTCAGGAACAACCAATATTCTTCCCCCCAGGCAGTCGCAGATGACTTTGCATTGATGGTTAATAATACCACCATCTTTAATGGCCCAGACCACCTGGTCACCCAAGAGGGGATCAAGCTCAAGGCGACCTTCGAGAAGCAGATGACTAACCTTCCAAAGCCCGAAGAGGTTGAAGAGAGGAAACCGAAGAAACAGACCGAGAAGACGTCTGCTGCTCGTCGGGAGCACCGGACTTCTCTTCCAAGCCAGCCCAAAGCTGCCTCTCCCCAGTCTCAGACATTTGCGTTAGGACCCGAAGGCCTGCCCGTCATCCGTCGTGATTCTTCCAACCCAGATGGCCGCCCCAAACGCTCCATTCATCCCCCGAAGCGTGACCTCCCGTATTCTACCAAGCCAAAGAAGAAGAAGTTCCAATGGGAATTGCGATTCTGCCAGGAAGTCTTGGATGAGCTGCACAAGCAGAAGCACTACAGCTGGGTGATGCCTTTCTATTATCCTGTGGATCCTGTTGCTTTGAACATTCCCACATATCACAGCGTTATCAAGAAGCCCATGGATCTGTCGACCGTTCAAAGTAAACTCAAAGCCGGCCAATATGAAAATGCCAAGGAGTTCGAGAACGATGTCCGCCTCATTTTTAAGAATTGTTACCGCTTCAACATTCCTGGTGATCCTACTTTCGTCTGTGGCCAGCGGGCTGAAGAGATCTTCAATGCAAAGTGGGCCCAGAAGTCGGACTACCTCGAAGCGCATGAACCACACCCCGAGCAGAACACGGATTCTTCTGATGAAGACAGTGACGAGGATGCAGAAGAGAGCGAAGAAGACGATGAGAAACTCACGCAGCTTCAGAAGCAAATCGCTGAGATGTCTCGTCAGGTCGAGGCTATCACCAACAAGAAAAAGAAGACCCCTCCTTCCTCCAAGAAGGTTGGTAAGACCAAGCTCGGCAAGAAGGATTCCAAGAAAATCAGCTCTGGAAAGAGAGACAAGAAGAGCAAGAGTTCCCAACCTGGCAAGACCCGTGCCATCACCTACAACGAGAAACAGATCATCTCGAATGGCATCAGTAGCCTTCCGGATAAGAGGATGCAGCAAGCCCTCCAGATCATCCAGAACAATGTTCCTCAACTTAAGGTATGCTTTACACATTATCACTATGCACGAACCGATTCTAACCGATCTCATAGGGCACCGATGAAGCTGAAATTGAATTGGACATTGATGAGCTCCCTAACGATGTCTTGCTGAAGTTACTCAACTTTGTGAAGAAGCACGTGCCAAATCTGATGGATGATGAAGATGAAGACGACCTCCCTACCAGCAGTGTGGCACCTTCCAAACCCAAGAAGAACAAGCCAATGAGCAAGTTTGAGCAGGAAGCGCAGATCAACATGCTTCAGAGCAACCTTTCACGTTTCCAGGGTGGTCCTCACTCTCCCGACCCGGTGGCCTCGGTTGAGCACAACGAAAGCAGCGATGATGACTCTGATTCGTCTGAGGAAGAGAGCGAGGAGGAGTAAAGAGAAGACTCTTCCGATTCGATCCCGCCCTTCTTTCCACGGGGGATGGTTCTTCACCCTGACTTGCGTTCCAAGCGTCGTTTTTCCCCAGTGCCTTTCCGAACAATTTCTCGCCATATCTTTCTTTTTCAGTCATACCGCTGGATCCTGGCGGGTTGCTTGCAATATGTTATGCAATACCCGCCGGCAACGTCTGTACATACTTTGATCTCGAATATCCCTGCGCCCGGCAAGGTTTCCGCTGCCACCGACGAACCTTATGCTCAAGATTGGCCGAACAGGATTTCATTTACTTGACCTTTTGAATTTCCCTCCCCCTATGCTTCAGTGTACACTTTTTTTCCCCGTTTCGTTTCACAGCTAGGATAGGTGGATGAGGTTGCTCTGATTTCTCCGATGACGTTGCGGATGGAAGAGGTGAATCGAAGCTTTAGCTTCAACTTGTATGATTACGAAAGAAACGCGGAAATGCAAAATGAATATGTACTTGTAATAGTAAGGTATTTTAGTCCCATTAGTTGCTATCCAGATGTAGGTTGTATGTATGAAGTACATTGTACTGCATCTCCCTCCCGATTATGCGGCCGTGCGTCGGGTCTTGTTCGGCGGTGAACTTCCCCAGTTTCTTTGCATCGTCAACATGATCCCTCCTTGTGACCCCTCGGTTCTTGAGCACAACCCTCAATTCAAACGACTATATGAGAACTTAACAGCCTCTCTCCTTAATCCAGATGCCTCAACGCGAGCTCAAAGCGCGAGCCCAGCACGCACAGCTGTGGTGGAAGTGAGTAATCGCCATTGCGAAGCACATACCAAACGGACCCAGACATGAATGGAGCCCTGACACTGCACCACTAGGAGCTGAAGCAATGCCAAACTCAAAATACTAAAAAGCGAATCAAGGAGCAAATGCTCCGGAAATTGGCCTTCGCCCCAGACAGCAACCTACCCGCGGAGGTCAGTACAACACCCGCTGCAGGCCACCAACCCATCAACAAGAAAGCCACATCTTTAACGAATCTACTACCTCCAGTGCCATGATAACCTCGCTATAATCACCCTCTACCTGGAGACTCCATCCAGCGTAATCGAACTCACCGACCCAAAGCCAGAAACCGAGCCCAAGAAACTAGACGAAGCACTCTCCCTCCTAGCACCCGACATCGAAGCCTTCTACACCAATATACCCGCCTTTATCCTGCCTTTCTCCAAATCCCTTTCATCCGCTGTTCAGGACCTACGCGCTCTGTCAACCGCAAACACAGACCCGGTCACCGCGCCCGACACCGACGCCCTCCCACAGCACTCGAACCACAATGCACGCGCCCGAGCGCGCGACCGACGAGTCCGTACCTCGATGGCACCCACCCCACCGTTATCGTCACAGCTACAGGCGCGGGTTCGTGCGCTGCGCCACACACAACTGTCTGAGCTGCCAATCGCTCGGCGCAAGATGGCTGCTACGGCGGCGGAGGTAGTTGCCGTACGAGCGCAAGTCCTGGAGCGCACTGTCGTGATTCTGGAGCGGGCAAAGCATGGGGCTTTGGCACGTGCAACGAAAGCCAAGGCGGAGCATCTGGCTGTTGTTGCTCAGAGCGTGGAGGGGAAATTAGAGTAAGTTGTTTTTTCCTTCCGGTTTTCGAATCTTGCTGCTTTTTTTTTTGGTAGAATTTGTCTTTTAACGATTGGGCAGGGTTACAAAATTAGAAATTGCGGCTACGCTCTATACGCCAGAAACACTTGCTGCTCTTGCTCGGTATAGGCAGCATTTGAGACAGACTAAGGAGCGTTTACACCACCGTCGGAAGATGACAATCCAGGAGCTGAGAGCTTTTGGTGATGTGGAGATGTCTGACTTGGCTACTGATATTCCCGTGGATGAAGGGACTTTCGAGGATATTGCTCGTCGGTATGGGGTTTTGGCGAAAGAGGTTGAAGAAGTAAAGATGGAGATTGCGCGATTAGAGAGATGAGCTACAATTACTACCTCACTTGGGATATATAAATCATGATACAGCTTCGACATATGCGGTTTTAGAACTATAGACCATGAGACCCCTGGGTCGCATTGGTACGTTCTATGATGTCCACGAGGCGCATACAAAGATAATGGTCCGGACTGGGGTCTTCGTATGAGACAGGTGAAGTGAAGACCGAGGACCATAATCAGAATATAGCATCACATAGATAAGTTAAGACGACAGTTCATAGTTCATCGGTGTCTTAAATCCGGGGATGTCCCTGCCTTAACCCCGCGTGTCACATGACTGCGCCAAACTTTTTTTTGCCTAAGAGTCAACGCTACAAAGATCTATTGATTCGCCACATCCGTTGAACATTTCAGAAATTATTCAAAATGGCCGACGAAGGACTGAACATTTATGATGAGATCGAGATCGAGGACATGACCTTCGACCCAAATATTCAGATCTACACATATCCTTGTCCATGTGGCGATCGCTTCGAGATCGCAATCGACGATTTACGCGATGGTGAAGAAATCGCCGTGTGTCCAAGTTGCAGTCTCATGATCCGGGTTATCTTTGACGTGGTATGCTTCCCTATCATAAAGCCAGACAGAGGTCGCTTTGTATGTTCAGTTGGTTGATTATATGCCCTGCGGGGTATCTACAGGCCGATCTTCCTAAAGCCGATGCGCAGAGTACGAGCGGAATGGCTGTTCAGGCTTGAGCATGTCAAAGGAGATGATGCAAAATATCCTCGAAAATATCGAGTCAATCTCAGCCCGAAGAGAAGAACAACGCTGCTGATCTTTGGAAATGGACTTCCGCCAATCCTCATCACTTTGGCACAAGTGGCTTGAGAAATTGGATATTTTGCTATTTGCTAGCTGCCAGCTACGGCTGCTCGTCGTGGGGTGCATCATGCGCCTCGCCGAGTCTGGGCGGCTTTGACCCACCGGTCCTCATTTCGAATACTGCCTCGCGCGAGCATGCTCCATGTTCTGCTGCGATTGTCATCTATATGCATCTTGCCATTTTGCCAAATGACTCGGTATCTTTGGGGCTATTGGTCTCGGCGACTCGCTCTGAGGCACCCGCTGTACCTCAATTCAACACATACAATGTTGACTCGGGCTTCGTTGATTTTGTCTCTTGTGTGAGTTTTGCCATGGACAATATCATTTGGCCAGGGAAACAACGCTTCATATATGGGGTTGAGACTGTATTTTGGCTATGTAAATCTCGCATTCACTCCAAAAGAAAGAACGACACTTCGATATACTCCTACAATTGGCGATCAGATGGTTTCCCCTCCTTAGCATTGCGTTCTTTGTCACATAGTTATCTATACCACCTGTGCATTTACCTCAATTGATACCCACAACTATGTTCTCAAATTATTTGGTCACCTACACTTTACGAGAAAGGAACAGCACGTGAGAGATTTCAATGCAACCGCATCATAACAATAGGCACTAAACTACAATATGTAACAAGATCCCAAGTGAAAACTGGAACGACACGAATCTTCTTCTTTCTAGGTAATCGATAGCCCAGCAAGACGACTCAAACCTACTCAACGATTTCACTGTAGATATCCTTGGGCAAGCGCAAGGTCAATTCGGTGTTCAGCAACTCGGTCAGATTAGACCCATCACGCAGGTAGATCCACTGCCCACTGACGAAAGGCCGCGAATCCTGCTTCTCGTGCATATAGTCACCCTCGACAATCCAGTCGTACCGCTTTGGCCCGGAGATGGGCGAGCTGAGCCAGATCTGCTTATTGGGTGGTTGCTTGTTGAGTACATAGGTGCCGATTGCGGGAACAGAGACGTTCAGAACACCAGCCTGGAGAAAAATATGTTAGTAACCTCCTAGATTTCTATGCTATGGCGACACAAGGTATAGGCTGAGGAAGATATGAAAAAGGAAGTGAAGACCAGGTTAGAGATGATATAGGGAAGAGACTTGAAAAACATACACTGTACTCAGCCTCAACATCTGATCCCTCCTCCTGTGCTTTCTCCAGGTGGCTTTGGAGCACATTGAAATAATGCTCCGAGTACTCATAGTACTCCTCTGGTGTCAATGGCGAGGGCTCAGTGACATGGGTAGCAGCTCCGGCAACAGAGCCCGGCTGCGGGTTCGGAGCTGGGGGATCTGCTGATTCTGGGTGGATGCCTTTGCGGATTACCGGGGAGGACTGGAAGGAGCGGGTGAACTGTGAGGCGGAGCTGGGGCGAATGGCGCAGGCGCGAGGAAGGAGAGTTGAAGTCGTGGGTGGTGTGCGGATGGATGGGCGCACGGAGGCAAGCAGAGCTCGAGGGGCTATGCGGGAAAGCATGGTTGTATGAGTGTGATTGGGATGTAGGTTATGGAAGATTATAGTAATTGAAGATTCCAAGGTCGGGGGAGCTGTTCTGATGCGGGAGAGATGGGATAATTTACATCATCGGTGTCCACCGCCTTCCACTTTGGCATGATTATGGGCAGTACTTGTGATTGGATGGAAGTATAGATGAGTTGCTCGATGTGGTATTGTATTTATAAACAGTGGACTATGTATCTTGTGTAAGTATGGTGATTTAGTTTGTCAACTGGTTTAATTGATTTATAGACATCTAATAGTTGCCTGGATTGAGAACACATTCATGCAACTCGTAGGTCCCACCAACAACCTTCAAGACTACAGCATTTAGGGACTTTAGAAATAGACATTGTAGAATGTATGTTCAAATCTATTCCCTCGCGACAAAGCAGGAGGGCTCTTTTTGAAAAAAAAAATCTTGTTGAGGTGAGATGTGAAAGTTGCAAATGACTGTCATAGTTTATTCCAAAGCCTTGACGACTTCGTCTTCCGATGATACCCTCCCATACTGCGAGGGAGTCTAATTCGTAGATTTTCATATGAGGACTCCCTCGTCATTTGGTAATGTATGTGATTAATGAACTCACAGTACAGATCCCTGTATGTCTTGGATGCTCCTGTCTACCTACATTTTCGATTACATGTTTGGCAGACCCTAAACAATATTGATGCGACAAGCCGGACTTAGTGCATGCTGGATGAGACCCTCAGATGCACACTGAGAAAAAGAATTTTGCCTAGGGAGCCATGTAGGGTTCAGGCAAGGCTATAGATGCTGCCGTCTAGGTCGAAACGGTCACAACCAAGAGCCTAATACGCACGAGGAGGATATTTTTTCTACGAGACAGCCCAACATGCGAGGCCTCCAAGTACGCGCGGTTTTCCGAAATGAGCAGAGATAATGTGCCAATAGTAATACTAGCACCAATACCGATGGCGATGTGTCCGGTGCCATTGACGATGACCCCAAGAAGACTCGCATCCTCGCCTTCATATCAGAGGAGAAGAAGGCGTGATAGGTAATATTCCATAGGAGCACTGGTTGGACTTATCATATCAACCTCCCACAGGTATGCATCATTTCGTACTTGCTGAAACCAATGAAATACACCCATGAAGACATTATCGTATTGGTAAACATAGCTGCCCAAGGACTCGTCCGGTGTCTCCGGTATATGCCCAGCACGATGAGTGCCTGGGGGCCAAGACCACGCGTCACAATCCAAAAATGGTCCTCGTTAGTTAGGCTGCTTGATTGTTGAGTTTGGGGACTAGTCGAATCCGGTAAGAATCTTAGGAGACAGTTTGAGCAAGAGAATAACGAACCTCGCGTTTACCCCTATTCATTTCCGGAGTTCTGAAAGTGTAGAAGGTACAAATCAGCAAGCCTCCAGGGCTGCGCAGTAGGATGACGTGGGCAGGGCGCTGGGAAAGTGGGAACCGGGGGGGTAAGAAGCGAGTCTATGAAGACAAGCCACATTAATTGCCAACACGGCTACAACCTCACTATGATATTTTCTTTTTTTTTTGGAGAAAAAAAAATGATAATCATAGTGCGGGAATTAATGGCTCGAAAGTATGCTGCATAGCCTTGAATGACAGCAGATTTAGAGCCAAGGTCCACGTTGAGGAGGAAGATCGGTGGGGTTAAGTCTGTTTCAAATGAGAAGAACCCCGGTCTCGGTCATTAGATTAGAGATAAAGGCATGCATGAGTCTCGGAACTATTCCCGGGATCTTGGGCTGCAGAGGCGGGTGACTGAAGTCTGATCTCATCTTTACGATTCTCGTCAGTGGCCACTCTTAGTCCGGGAGAACTATAATGAAATTGAAAAATGAGAGAATTCCGTAGAGTGAGTACCACGGGGCTGGATGATATGAATGCAATTTCAGAATTCGACTTGGCGTGTAAAATTTGTGCTATCCGCATCGTGCAGGGTAGTAGATCACTCTGTCCTTGTGTATCGAGTATACCCTGACAGCCTATGGGAGAACCAGGAATAAGAGCATTGATCCCCACTCATTATCACAAGGGAGAGACACTACAATTAGCAAGTCCTTGAGAGGTAGCGTAGCACAAAGCAACCAGAACCGACACAGAATATATCGGGATATACCTATGCTGGAGAACAACCGAGGCATAACCTCAAAATGGGGCGCCCAATACAAACGAGAGGTAGGATTCAAACACCGGCGTGTAGTCCGGTAAGGCTTGGCCGTTTTTCGCCAACCGATGGGCCACCCCTGTGGGGGCTGAAGAGGGGTTGGTTTCAGACGGCGAGCCCCTCTTCCTTCTAGCTCTAGAACAACGCCTCCCCCGTCGATCCAGGAGTAAGGAAAGCACGCTGGGATACCGGTGAAAGGGAGCGACAGTCTAGGTCTGATGTTGGTGAAACATGGCGTCGATCGGAGGTGTCACGATGAGTGACCGATTCGATCCACAGTTGCATTGTGGTGGCGCCTTCACGGTGTGTCATATTAGTCAGTTTCAGTTGACGCTTGTGATTGTGATGAACGGTATTCTTTTGGAGTCCGATGTTTTGGAATCCGAAAACATTCGAATTCATAGCCCTAAAAAGCCTCACCATCAAAGACTGGAGCCCAATCTAAAGTGTTTAGTGCAATGTTGTGTGTTTCTGTGTTCCTGAGTTGATATAGTAACGCAATGATATGATTGGTGACCCGAGAGCTGAGATGGCAATGGATCTCGGGAACACCTATCACATCGACTCCCCTGACTGCGCGCCAGGGAACCGCGCGGTGGACTGCATGGTCAACCATTGGATGATGCAATTTTGGCCGTGGTACGTTATCAGCCCCCCACTGCACTACAATTTTTGTCATTTCCGTCATTTCCCTCATTGGGCTTCAATCATCCCTGTTTCTCATTTGCTTACCAGACACATTCTGCCAGGGGGAAGCCAATTGTTATTTTACTTGATAGACTCAGTTACAGGTATCAGGAACAGGGGTTCAAAGTGTGTATTCCCAATTCCCAACATCCAATGTCACAATCCCCCATTATGGTCCAGGCTATTGTGGATTCTATAGATCTTGGCTGTGGAGTGAGACCCAGATGTGAACCAATTTGATACCGAAGAACTGAAAAAATTAGTGTGAATTAGCGCCTTGGAGGGTAAAGTTCTTTTGTAAATTGTAAAATAATGTAAGAACTGTAAGAAATGTAAGAAAAAGACGCTCGGTTCAAGCCAATCACCATGGTTCCAGCTTCTATCAACGGCCCAGCCCATTGAACTCCATCTTTCGTCTCCCCCTGCAGCGCCAATGATATTCTGCATCCAATGTTTAATCCAGTCAAAGGTATGATCTTAATGTAGATCCACCTCGTCTGTCTCCGAACATCCAATACCCACTTCCTACCTGCACTCCACCCGTGAAGAAACATGGAACATCCTCCCAGTCAGTGGGTTAGGCTGGTAGGTTTGACACACTGATGCCTGGGGGATTTAAAATCTCCGCCTCCCCCTTCGTTTTCTCTCTTCATCACCTATCTTCCTTCATTTTCTGGTCTTCTAGTCCTGTGCCGTGCACGGTCTGAGCCTCACTTTCCTTCAAAAATCTACATTCCTTTTCAGGTCGAGAACAGGTTTCTCTCTTTTCCCTTCCTTTTTACCAAGTCTATCCTTTTGTGACCGATCAATCCTTCGACTTCAAAATGGTCTCTTTCACCAAGCTTTTCACCGCCGGCTTGGTTGCCACTTCGGCTATCGCCGCCCCCGTGCAGACTAAACGCGATTCCTCCAGCAAGCGTGGTGCTGCTTACAACGATGTCACCACCGTGTCTGCTCTGACCAGTGGTGGCAGCATCTCCTGGGCCTACAACTGGGCCGGATCCCTGTCTGGCCTGCTTCCCCAGAATGTCGAGTTCGTCCCTATGCTTTGGGGCCCCAAGATGTTCGGTGGCTGGGTGACCGCCATCGAGACCGCTTTGTCCAGCGGCAGCACCTACATTCTGGGCTTCAACGAGCCCGACATGCCTTCGCAGGCTAACATGAGCCCCTCGGATGCCGCCAACTACTACAACACCTACATCACCCCCTGGTCCGGCAAGGCGAAGCTGATCTCGCCCGCCGTTACCTCCTCCACTGAAGCCGGATTCGGCCTTGACTGGTTCGAGTCTTTCATCGGTAGCTGCAGCAGCTGTGGTATCAGCGGTCTGGCCGTTCACTGGTACGGTGACGATGCCGACAACTTCAAGTCCTTCGTCACCAAGGCTGTCGACACTGCTGCCAAGCACAACCTGGCCGAGGTTTGGATCACCGAGTTTGCTCTCAACTCTGATGTCAATGGCTCTTTCGACACAGCTGCCACCGCTGCTTTCCTCAACGAGGTTCTCCCTTGGTTGGATTCCCAGCCTGGTGTCACTCGCTATTCTTACTTCATGTGCGCTGAGAACTACTTGCTCAGCGGCAACACTCTCAACCAGGCCGGCCAGGCTTATGTCTCCGCGTAAGACTGTGCTTTGACATACTGAAAATAGAATAAAAACATGAATTTACACGAAAATAAGAGGGCGGAAGTTCTGGGAGCAATTGTCATTTCTTCTATGGGTTCTACTGGCGATTGGTCGCCTTGGGAGGTTCACATCTATCTGTTCATATTTTCCAAGTTGACGCAAATATCCACCAATGCCATCTGATTTTTTGTTCTATTCAAAACAAGTGTAGATGGCCGTTTATGCGGCCCTATAAAGTCTTTCTTATAGGGATTTTTAGTGGTCTTTTCAGCAGTCTTTTCAACAGCTTTCTTGGTGGGCTTTTCAGTTTTTCTTAGATATCTTTAGGATAGTTTTCCCCTTTCCAGTCTATTGTAGACAGCAGAAAAAGGCGGGAAAAGCATACTTTGTGCAAGCGACTTTTCTATGTAAAACTTCTGATTCTCGCGTAATCTTAATTGGTCCGTATCAGATCTAGAATATTGATGAGGATGCAAATGTCGCCGTTAAATGAGGTGGCGGGTTGGAGATAGCCACAATGGCATGGCAAACCAGGTCCGCCACAATATCACCTCACTGTAGGAATTCACTCTATAAGTGGCGACAATATTCAGCTCAAAGATCTCATTGTTTGTCTAATAATATCAATCCTTGACACTTCTATTTCATACGGTCTATTCATTCATTCTAATTTGGTATACACTCGTTCTGTTCTTTGTTCCTTTGTTCTTTCAAATATCAACAATGTATATTGAGATATCGAGATTCAATACTACAATGCATAATAGTTCATCACAAAGAGAGCCTTTTGATTATTAAATGGTGGGCAGATTCCTCTGATGACCCTTGGTTTTCTAAAACATTCAAGCATTCACAGTTCTCATTTTCAAAGCTAACATGAACGAACAGCCGCTGCCGCTCAAGAATTGGCCGCATACCTTTGACCAGGGTTATGTGTTCAAACGTCTTGGTATAGCAGGTAGCCCCGAGGACCAAAGGACTGTCCGCGAGGTGGCACAAGTTGTCTATAATGTTGTAGCGACTGAGGCTCTTAGAAAAGGCGTCATTATTGGCAATATTTTCCGATCGAGCTCTTCGCGCACTCAGATTCTATTTGAGTGGCGCAGGCGAATACTGAGGTTACCAGTGGCTGTTAGAAATCACGTAACTGACATTAGCCTTCTCTCCGGGGCGTTGTATAAATACCTCACTTGTATCCACGATGAGTTGCAAGAAGACTTTGAAAGACACCAACATGAGCAGGCAACCGCAGCAAAAAAATCCTCTGGAAAGGCAGCGAAACAACCACAGACAACACAACCGGCAGGACCACAGCCGGCACAGGCGCCATCGGGAAGCTCAATACCGAATCCAGCAAGACCACCAGACCCGGACAGATTCGAATATCATCGGCCCTTCATAGTGCCCAACGGTGACATCCAGATCATTCGAGCAGATCAACCAGAAATGCCAATTGCAATTAGAGTAAGTGACCTTTTGAAAGACAGATCAAACCCGAAGGATATATGCCCGGATGGGGATTGGATCAACATCGCCAACATTCAATTTGACTATTTCATGCAAAACCTCATCAAAGAAGGATATATGCTAAATGGGGACACAGTCTGGTTGTGCCATCTCTCTCTGGATCAAATTGACCGAACGCTGATTGATACCCCCCAGCCTGGGGAGTCACGACTAACTTCCTTCAACCTAGCATCTACACTTTTGAGAACTATCCGTGAGCATTGGCCTAAGCTTCGAAATCCCTCCCCTGAGCCCTTTAAAAATTCAAGGCGCTCACCATTACCCAGACCTAATTTGACTATTATTGTTCGAAGCGGTATCCCAGCAGGTAAGTAATCCTTTCCAAGTTCGATTATTGATCGCATACTAACATTCCTCTAGGAGGCGCTCTATCTGCTAAACAGCCAGCATTAGCTCGCCCTGCTGAGCAATTGGGTGGTAATGCGATTACTCCTAACCGTCGAATGGAACAGGTAGCTCGATACGCGGCCCAAAGACACGCCAAAACCAAACGAAAGAGAACACTAGCGGAGGCGGAGGCGGGCGCAGGAGACACAGGAGAAGAAACCGAGTTGGATGAGAGTGGCCCGGCGGCCCAAAGAAGAAGGGGAATGCCCAAAATTGCCGCTGGGCCCGCTGCTGGCCCTTCCACTGGTCCTCCTGCTCGGACTTCTGCTGGCCCTGTTCGCGGTACTTTTTCTGGCAGTTCTGCTCGCACTTCTGCTGGCCCTGCAGTCGGTACTTTTTCTGGCCGTTCTGCTCGCACTTTTGCTGGCCCTGTTGTTGGCCCTGTTGCTGGCCCTGTTGCTGGCCCTGTTGTTGGCCCTGTTGTTGGCCCTGTTGCTGGCCCCTCTGCTGCTGCCGCCCCCGGCCCTTCTACTGACCCTAATCTTACCTTAGCTCCCGCCGGGCAATATCCCCCAGTACGGAATGATGATGAAGCTGCTTTCTTGGCCAATTTAGATCCTACAATGTTTAACGACGAGGGACTTGTGGGTGATGATGCCGCCTTGCGTGACGCCTTGAAAGCATTCCTCGAGCAGAACGAATGGGGTGGAGATGGAGGGCCGATGGAGGAGGACTGAAAGGAGAAATGATGAAAACAGGTAAAAAGGTTAGCGAGGTAAACACTAACAAACTTCAATATGATTGTGTGTTCTCAAAGATAGGTCACGCCAAGTGTGGTCTGATCCATCTAAACTACCCTTCTCTGACGTGCAGGAATAAACCTATAAGAGTACTTCTCCCCTTTGTGAATCTAATCACCTAAGAATTGCATATGAACTAGCATAATTTTGGGCCTATCTGATAGTCTCGGACTATATATCTATAATTGTAGTTCTGACATAGGATAATCCATTTTCGTAAGTTCCGCTTCTAATGACTTTTTCTTTAAAGCTGGATGCCTTGAATCTAGTTCCTTCTGAATATATCCATGAAACAGGATGAAAAAAAAAGAAAGAAATGTCGCTAGAGTTCTATCGGAGTAAATGAAAGTGAAGAGTCGAATTTCATAGAAGCAGAACTACAGATCTCGGGACCCGAATCCCCACAAGACTGTATTTATCGAGAAGACAAAGAGGCAGATATAACCACACTGTTGCCATATCTCAAGCGCAGGTAAATGGCTTACTTACTGACCCAGACTCAAATTTATCAACCTATGAAACATAGAGTTAGCAATATCACCGGAAGGTGAAGGGAAGAAGGGCTTACCAGTTCAGCGATACTGGCATAGGTACCGCATCCAAAAATTATCATGCCGACCACGAATACCACGCCATTCAAAATTGCAGGCTTCAAATTGTGCTTTTCATACCATGCGCCCTCTTTCAAAAGCACATACCACATGATTGGTGGGATATAGAAAGACAGGCCAGACACGAACAAGGAAGAAATGATGGAGAGCAATTCGGAAAAGATAGGAACGGCCTCGGCAATGATCCAAGCTAGGATGGTAACAACGAACACAAGGCCAAGCCATGTACTCCAACCCTTCGCGGTGTTGACAAAGCGGACGACCGAGTCCCTGTATATCTTTCCGTGGATATATCGGCAGACGACTGTTGTATTGATGGATCCCGAAATGAAGATCACTGGAAGCGCTATGCCAAAGACAACCCTTGAGATGACAGGGCCTGCGGACAGCAAAGCAGGTGATTGCACCTCCTGCCCAACAAAGGCATAGATGATCGACCCTGTCAGGGTGTAGATAACAACTTGGATACCTCCTAGCCACCATAAGGTCTTGACATAATCCTCGGGGGTATGCATATCTTCCATGAACGATGGTAGACATCCAGCAAAGGAATATGCAAAGACAATGTTATTGGTGGCTACGATAGCCGCGGAGAAAGAGAGACCAGGCTTCGGCCAAGCAGACCACGGCGAGTGGTCCGCAGAAAAGTCACCTGAACCATTCGAGCTTTGAATACCAGTCGCAATCATCGTAACCCCAATAGCCAAAATAATCGACGCAAAGTCAATATAGCCCAGTATCGCAATCTCAGCAAATGACGGAGGAATAGCGAGCAACATCAGAATCGCAGCAGATGCCACGCTGAATATGATAGAGCACGAACTGCTTTGAGTGATATTCTGGAATGCAATAGCGCCTGTCAGGCAGTGGGACCCAATAACGAAGACAAGGAGAGCAACAAAGCTGCCCACGAAGAGCTTTGATCCCACATTCCCTAGCAGAAGTCGGCCGACATCTGCATAATGACCGACTTGTGGATACCGCAGTTTGACTTCGCCAATGTTATAGCCTGCGTAGATCGCAACGAAGCCAAGGCCAATTGTGAGGATCACGCCTGCGACCATTCCAAGAGCGGCGAATGCAGATGGTAGCCCTAGGCTCCCTAGGGCGATGGCCTCGACTATGGAAATGATAGTGAGCCGTTTCCAACCTAAACGGCGGAATCGGGCATTCCCTTCCAATATTCCTTGTATTTCAGGGTCGAAAAGGTCTTGATCCTTGGGGAGAGCTTCGCTGGCCATTGTGTCGAGATATCGCGGGAATTCGAGCGATTATTTGGCAAATTGTGCGCTAGACCGATATACATGTAAGTTTAGTTAGACAAAGGTAAGGACGAAAAGAAGGAGAAATCAGAATGAAGAAGAAAGGCGGATCAGATAAGATCAAAGAGTTAAAATCGACCGATGGTCGGACCTGCAGAGTGGAGTAACCCCCTCAGCAACATGACAGTCTACCCTTATGAAGGGTACATTGCCTGTTCAGATGTGGAGTACTGTGGATTCTGCTAAAGCAATATGTATCAATCATATTGATTGAGACACGAGGAGAGACTACTGATTCGTGTAAGATTTCTGGCGCTAGATATTGTCCAACTCTATTCTGCGGGTAGTACGTGAGTTGTGTCGGGCCAAGCCGCAGGAACAATGAGACAATGGCATCCGCTAGGCTTGTACTGGATAAGCACCTGATTCTCCCAAGGCTGCTAATGAAAATTTCGAGGTCCTAACCCCCAAAGGTTGTACGTAATTGTCTCGCGTAAATTCAGCTCGTTGAAGAACCTGTCTTGCTTTCCAGGTCATTTATGGGGTCGAGGATTTCGTTCAGATGAGATTGCGCTCTACATGTCTTCGTCAAGTATGATGTCCCTGGGGATTTTTTGTCTCCAGTTTGTCTGTCTTCTCCAGATCTCGAAACGGGCGATCCAGAACAGATAATTGTTTTCTGGCTCGACATAACGAGTAAGTAAGCGATTTTGGTGTGTACAGAGATGGTAGCCCGACAATATGCCAACTCCGATAATTGGACAAGAAATCGAGTACATCGTACTCCGTACAGACGAACCTTGGAAGCCCTGTAGGGCGGGTCGACGGGGTCCCGGCCCGCATGATTACGTGATCTGTCCTTCCCGTGTAAACTAGACCCAAATAGGCCTAGCAGAGTGGCCTTGGCCGATTAGAGAAGCTGTCGGTAGAACTGTGAGGCAGTCAGTTTGCAGCGCGGAAACACTCATTTTCTAGTGGCCCAGAAAGCCATGCCCAAGCATATACCAGCTAATGAACTGTTTCCCTGAATGCGACTATATCCCCATAGAAAATTTGTTGGACAGAAAAGTTTTGATAAAAAGACATCTGCGAGAGCGGATATTTCCGTAAACAAAGATGCCGTCTCATGGCCGCGTATCCCCACCGACAATCGAGAAGAGTCCTCGAGTTGACTAAAGAAGTACGCTCAAAATCTACGCATTTCCTTGCGAAAGATTTGTGGGGTCAATCATCTGGAGGTTCTTTGGTCATTGTGTATCGATCCCGCACATCGGTCTCTCGTCTCCGACGGCGTTGCTTGTGCTCCGTCGGACGGATAATGGGCATGTGAAATATCGAGTCCAACAAATTTCATTTAAAAAAGAGGAAGATGATGAATTGTTTAGTTCTTCAATTGATTCAGCTTTGATTGATTTTATCAAATGGCTATTCTATCTCTTCTGCTCTCGCCATGGGTTATGGCTGTGGCCATCACCGTATGGTTCGCCTTCTATTACATATACCCCTACTCAGTATTATATGGGCACTTAGCTCAAGTCCCGGGTCCTTTTTTGCCAAATTCAGCAACATATGGGTCGGTCTAAGTGCCAAACATGGCCAAAAATATGCAGCAGTCGACGCGGCGCATCGAAAACACGGCAAAGTCGTCCGTATTGGTTTCAACCATGTGTCCATCGCCGACGAACGGGCATTGAATATTGTTTATGGACACGGAAATGGGTTCCTCAAGGAGTAATCTACATCCACTGCCCGGATTGAGATATACTAGCGTTAACGGAAGAAATCTAGTCATTATTACGAAGCATTTGTGGCGCGAACCCCGGGCATGTTCAATGTGCGCAACCGAGCCGAACATACACGCAAGCGGAAGATTATATCTCACGCCTTCTCCCCGAGATCAGTTGCTGCGTTTGAGCCGTTGATGGCGGAGAACCTACAGCGATGGACAAGCCAGCTGGACCGGATTGCGGCTTCCCGGCCACAACAAAATGAGAAGAGTTTTGCTCGATACAACGCAATGCCCTGGTTTAGCTACCTTGCTTTTGACATAATAGGAGATCTGGCATTTGGTTCGCCATTCGGGATGGTAAACAAGGGAAAAGACGAGACTGAGACGCAGCTCGTGACTGGAGGACCTATTTCATATACACCGGCAGTCGATGTGTTGAACAGACGAGGCGAGGTCTCTTCGACATTGGGTCTTCTTCCAGCACTACGTCCATGGGCTCGGTACCTTCCCGATCCATTTTTCACCAAGGGAGTAGCGGCCGTGGAAAATTTGACAGGTATTGCTGTCGCCGCTGTGTCCTCACGCCTGGATGCCGCAGAGAAGGGAATGGAAGACTCGCGCAATGATATCCTTTCGCGCTTGCTACAAGCAAAGGATGCCAATGGAAGGCCGATGGAGCGAGATGAGCTCATAGCAGAGGCTCTAACGCAGCTTATCGCTGGCTCTGACACAATATCCAACACTGCCTGTGGGATCTTTTACTGGATCCTGCATGGAGAACGCAGTGCGCCGGGCACAATAGTTCCTCGACTGCAAGAGGAGCTAGACCAGGCAATTGAGCCCGAAGCAAAAATCGCATCTTATTCTCAAGTCAAAGATCTCCCATTCCTGCGAAGATGCATTGATGAGGCGATGAGACTTCATTCTACATCGGCAATTGGTCTGCCACGTTTGGTGGCAGATCATAGCCCAGGTGTCGATTTTGACGGCTTCCACTTCCCTCCTGGAACAGTACTTTCAGTGCCTTCTTACACTATCCATCATATGAGGGATATTTGGGGAGACGACGTGGAAGAGTTCAAACCTGACCGCTGGTTGAATCTGACTGCTCGACAGAAGACCGCTTTTAATCCATTTTCATATGGCCCCCGGGCATGTGTCGGACAGAATGTCGCCATCATGGAGCTGCAACTGATTATTGGAACATTATTCCATAGGTATGAGTTTGCCTTGTATCAGCCAATCCTGGAATCGCACGAAGGATTTTCGAAAAAGCCCAAGGAGTGCCATGCTGGTCTCAGATTGAGAGAGTGCAGTTAATCTCCCGCGTTGCTTTGCCTTTTTTTCTTGAACACATATTTATATATATATGGGTGACTGGCAGGAGTGCATGGATTATATTTACATTTGGATCAAGCATGTCGATATTTGTTACCCAATTCAAATCACATTACCAAAGAACATATCCTCAAGGGATGGAAACTCCTGCTCGATACCCCATTCATTGAAAAGCCAGGGCTCAGTAACATTCTGAACTGACTGTGGCATACAAATACCCGTGTTCTCTCCCATTGAATTCACACAATCTTCATGCTCAACCTTATCCGCAACATGTTGTTTCATGATGTTCAGAGACCACCGGCTCACCGGCTCGGCTTTTCCTCCGCATTGAATATGTGAGACGGCTTGTTCCATCAATATGATTATACTTCCGACGTCATCTAAATGAGTCACAAACTCGGCCAGTGTCACCATTGCAAAGGAACAAAGCACGTTTTCGTAAGTAGGGTGGATGTAAGTTGTCAGATCCGACATGGAAACAAACAGATTCAAGAGTTGATGCGATTGGCTAATGGCAAATCGAATTAACGGGAGTGCTGGTCTCTCTAGGGTAATTCCGGAGTCGCTAATTTTCTCCGTTTGAGTGTCGCCCATATGTTGGAGTGTTCGACGTGCTAAGATCAGGTAGGCGCATGAGTATGCAAACCGTAGTGGCTCAGAGGAATCGAGCTCTTAAAAGGTAGAAATTAGTGTGTATCAAAATTCTGCGACATAAAAACGGTCACTCACTATAAATGTTCTCCTGGGACGTTCGCAAATTGTCGATCTCGGGCCAAACAGCCCTTCCATTTTGTATCACGTTTGAGCTTATGATCTCCCAAAGGAGTCGGTATAACCTGACTCCAGCCAATACAAGTTCATCACGCGCATTGTAGGATGGAAAGTCGAGGACCTTGATGCATTCGTCAAAGTACTGACTGGATATGATTGGTGGGCGACCAGAGCCTACAGAAAACCTTTGATCGGTGTTAGAATTTCTCGAAATAGACCTTGGAAGGATCGGGTTTCTGTTACTGTAACGCACTGTAACTGGCAGAGGCAAATTAGATTCCACGTGCGCATGATTTCCTGCGCTTGCGCTAGTTCACGTCCATCAGCATCGCTTGTCTTTGAAAGCTGCCCAAATGTAGTAGTCATAATCACCCGCATAGCCGCCGTGCCACTAAGAAGCCACGAGCTACCATGGTCAGGGCCCAAAGTTGGTCGTAGATCCCACATGGAGAAAATCAACATGGACTGTATTGTGTCGAGCGAGGCAGTGGAAGAAAGATGTGCCTGGCCCAGCAGTCCGTGAATATGGCGATATAAAGCTTGATGCGTTGATGACCCGTGCAAGGAGGGAGTGATATGGAGACCAGCTAGGATACAAGTACCAAATAAGAGTGGCGATTTTGCGCGTAATTGGACGGGATCTGTACTCATGAATAACCAGCGGTTGGATAATTTTGAGAACCTGAAACGTCAGCCCCAGAAAAGCTCCTAAGAGAACATTGATCAAGAAGTACTCACCCTTTAAGAAGCATGGTAGCAAGTTCTTCGGAAACTATGCCGTTGATTATAATGTCTTCAGCACTATCATCGCCAGTCGAGGGTTGTTCATATAAAGTAATGTTCTGGCGGATCTCTTGGATAAGATTCATGGGTGCATCGCGTGCAGTTCGTTCAATAATAGATGACGTTTTCTAGAATAATGAATCAATCGTGTTGTCAAGATTTCCCGTAGATGATCGAAATTTACCTCTGTTCTATTCCCGCAGTTGCCAGAACCACGGACAGATAGTGAGGCTTGAAGTTGAGTCAAGGTAGCTTCCACAGCACAAAGCCTGTTTCACATTACTACACCGATCGAGTGTGACAAGATTGCGCATGGCGGGGTATACCGTATATGATAGTCATCGCCGCTTGTCCTAGAATCGACATCGGCCTCCAGCAGCGGTTCGGGGTGAGCACGGGCAGTGGTTTGGAAAGAGCACTTAATCCTAGAAGTGGTTAGATTTCTTAGTAACCCAGTTCTTCCTGTCTGGTTTTTGCTACCGGAGAACACTGCAACGATGACATCGGTCAGAGTTGCCCGTTTCGCATCGTGTTTTCAGGCGCCGGCACGACTCGCAGGATCGCGTTTTGCTCACTTTAGGAGTGCTTGCAGCGTTTCTATTTCGTCTTCGTTTTCCGATAGATTGCTCAGAGAAAGACATGACTGGCTGGTAATATGAACGTTAGACAGACGGCACGGAGCAAAGGGGGATGGAGATAGTGTGTATCCCACTCTTGCAGATGGAACTTCCAAGGTTGTATTTACTTGCAGATGCACCTTGTTTGTCAGGCTCTTGGCCTAGAAACCTACCTATAACTATGACTAAAATTCGGAGACACTGATTATCCCATGTGTGTAATATTGAAATCCCATTTAATGTACATATTCATGGAAATACCTATATAGCTGACTTGCCTCTCCATAGCAAATAGCCAACCTCTCCTTACCATATACCCTTATATTAAGACTTTGCTGCACTTGATTGGGGATTCGATGAATTCGTAGAAATTTCAAGTGCATCACCGCAATCCGCACACAAATCCTTGAGATCATCCCTCAAAGCCTCGAAGGTCCAGCGAAAACTCATCGCACCCCCACCTTTGACTTGCTATCACGCTGATAACCTCCACTACTTCGCTGAGAATTGTCAATGAGAACCAGATCCTTCGAGTAAATTTATTAAGTTGTAATAGGTCTTTCCACTACGGTAAATTAAAAGTGAGCTAAGAACAGAGGATTAAAGTAAAATGTGCAGAGCAGGACTTCCGATCCCGTCGGAACAGAACAACTACCTCACTTATGTTGAATATAAATTCAATAAAAAGCGACGGAACAAATTCCAAGACACGTAACACCTCACCTGATCCAAAGAAGAGAAGAAGACCCGACCTAGGCCGTATTACCTGCTGGATCACCGAGATAATTATCGGCGAGGGCCTTGAACACATTTGATGTCTATACTTGGCTAAATAATTTGTCAAGACCAGGAGGGCGCACGATAAGGCATTCGAGTTCATTATCAAAAAAGGAGAAGGAGGCCTATAACGAAAAGAGAAAGAAGGAAGAAAAAGCAGTATAGTTTTATACCATCTCGGTACTTATGTCGTATAGGTGATGGGACTATACATATTGTTTGCCTTTGCCCATTCCATGATTCCATTTTTGGCTACTTAAAGTGTGTTGTACATTTTTTCTTTTGTTTTGGCCTTTGTGTGCGTTTATCAATACATCCCATCATGTGTCCAATATGAGGCAATTATCAGTACCATACTATATATTCATAACAAACGTATAACCTCACAAATTTGGAAAAGGGTTAAGCCGAATATACCTCACGAAGCTGAAGCTCAGGGCACTTGAAGTTTGGGTCAAGGTCCTTCTCAAGCGACTGATCAATTTCCTGTCCGTGTTGAAGAAGTCGAGCGACTTTGACAGCATCCAAGACACCCCGCGAAAGAGCGAAGATCTTGTCCATTTCCTCGAGACTACGACCAGCGGTCTCGGGAAACAGGTAATAGATGATAGGTATCATCATTGCATTCAAGCCAGCAAAAATGACAAAGTATGTCTGGCCCATACTGTTGAATGCGATGGGCGTGACACTGGTGAGTATGATGCTGACCGCCCAGGATATGCTGATACTGAAGCTGTTGATAGTCGTGCGTAGATGTAACGGCGCAATCTCCGTGGCGTAGAGATAGGGTATCGCGCCAAATCCAATGATGTAGCTGAAATGAAATAGGAAAATGAAAAAAACCGCACAGCGCATCGCAAGTGGGTTGTCGGCCTGGGTTCCGAGACCAGCTACCAGAGCTAGACAGACGGTATTTCCGATGGCACTGCCTAGAAGCAACACACGGCGACCAAGACCGTCAACTTTGAGAACACAGAAGGCCCCACCAAGGGGACCGACTAGCTGATAAACTGCTGCCAGGACCGTGGATGTGGAATTGCCGAGCGAAAGGTTGTTCTCGAAGATTGCGGTTGCTGAAATCGTGTGGCACCGGTCAGTACAATGTGTAAATAGGAAATCAATGACTTGCAATACGTACTGTAAAAAGTGATGACTGTAGATCCAGTGAGTTGCAAGAACAACATTGCCAAAGCAGCAAGTATAGCTCGGTGGAAGGTTCTTTGGGGACCCATGTGGAATATTTGTCCAAGTGACTTTTCTTTGAAAAGATCCAGTGATGTCTGGACATCTTTGATTTTAGCTTCCACAGCTTCATCCTCGACAGATGTATCCTCAAGAGCTGCCAGGACTTCACTAGCCTCAGAAAGTCGGCCTTGTCGGATAAGCCACCGGGGGATTCTGGTAGCGCATAAATGGAAACCAGAACAGCGATGGAAAGTAACAACACGAACGCGAAAGGAAATCTCCAGGCAACACTGCCTTTGGTGAATGACATTCCAAAGTCCAGGAAAAGGGCGAGAGCGCACCCAAAGCCACTGAATATTCCCTTCATGCCGACATGAGCACCGCGCTTTTCGGCAGGCGATATCTCCGATTGCCAAAGAGGGATTGTGGCCAACAGAACACCAGTTCCTACACCAAGGATGACCCGAGATGTGAAGAGCTGCGCGAGAGAGCCTGCACTCGCCATCAAAACAGCGCCAAGGACTTGGATCACTGACCCTGCCATTATTGTCCGTCGGCGGCCAAATACATCACCTAGCCATATACATGAGAGAGTTCCAAAAAATCCTCCTATCGTGTAAGAAGCCACAACAAGGCCTTGGACTGTTGACGCATGTGATTTATCATGGGCAGCGGCAATGTTGATTTCGGGGAATTGTTCTTCAAAGTTCTTCAGTGTCAAGACACCGCCGAGTAGTGATGCGTTGTAACCAGTTGTGAGGATTCCAGGCATGAGGACCCCCAGAATGGCTACGATGTTGAGGCTATTGCCTCGAAGGCCGAGGAAGCGTGGCATGTGTAGGGCTGGGCGAGGATCAGTGGATAATAAAATTATGATAGATCGGCAGGGCTGGGATCGACACTGATCAACAAATGGATCGACGGAGTCTTCTGTGCAAGTTCAACTGATCGGCCGCTGTCAACTTGATGAAGTCCCTGAGATTTAAAGAAATTGGAGCCCGGTTATTTCAGCTCATTGGGACCAGGCTCTAGGCATTCCATTCTCTTGTGCATTATCTTCTCATCGCCACCAAACCCAAATGAGATGTTTGAGCCACATGCTCAAGAGGAGAACATGCAAGGCTATTGGACTCATTCTTCTTGGCTCGCTCTAGAACCGAGGGCGTCTGGTGGCCAGGCCAACAATATTTGGAGGGGAAGAGAAAGACCGATCAGAAGATGCCCATGTGACAGGGTCTAAGAATGCACAGAAAGGGAGAGTAACAGCAAAGGGAAAGACAGAATTGGTAACGGCTTGGTGGAATTGTTGGAAGAAAACCCCGGAGTCTGGAGTGAATGGAACCCAAGAGCCGACGCAAGGAGAATGCTCGCACATGAGTAAACTAGACATCTCCAACTGAACGTGCTGAATGCTTGATGTGCTACACTGTACAGAGTGGCTGTGTGTTGGTAGGTTGATACTGGGGCGACACTAAGGGTGAAAAGCAAGGCTGTTGCTATTGCAGATCTTGTGTGAAGCCCCTGACATTAGTCGAGTCAAGCTAGTGAACAACGATATTGTACTCCATACACAGGAACAGATCATCCTTCAAAACCAACAATATTCCGATGTAAGCTCGGGCCGACCCTAAGGGACTGCAATGTGGCGTTGTTCCAAGCTATGGAATAGAGCATACAAGCCCTAACCTTGATCACTGGAAGTGCATAGATGCCAAGGGATTAGGAATTTCCTGTGGAATGATACTGTGCAATTGGGTTACAATTTCTATGGCACCGTAGCCTCTAATTCGTCTCTTACTCATTGAAACTATACCATTTGCTGCAACCCCTTTGGGGAGCAAGGAGATTTGAAATAATTCAAGAGCCAAGATCCAAACATAAGTCCCAACCCTCTCACTATTCAGATTTGAGATGAAAACACTTGAAAATAACGAAAGTAGTATTGAAATGTTTATATATATGTTTAAAGATCTTTTTCTTTTCTTCTTTTTTAAAGTGAACAAGCACTTTGAAAACCGAGGGAGGGTTAATTGACAAGGTATCCATCAGGATAAACAAACTCCCTGCGGTTAATTGCCTTACTCGACCATGGCACATCTTCATCCTTCCATTGTGAGTACACAACTTCCTCACTAGCAACCAATTGTTGGATATTACGCCTGGTACTGTATACCATATTCCAGGCCTGTTCTTCGTGGAACACACTCTCGTCGTTCTTCTCAATATCTGAATCCCGGGAAGCCGAGCCGGCCTTTCTATACGTACCAATCAGGTTGGGAAATGGGGCCCAGCATTCAATCTTGTGACGCCCTTTGACACCTGCGCACAAGTCACTCAGGGCATTGTCTACCGCCTGGTCCAAGCGATCGATAGAAAGAGCGGAAAGAATGTTCCTAGCACCCCTGGTCGTGACTGCGTATCCAAACATACAGCAGCCCATTTCGGCCCGGTAGATAAATCGCGTCGAGTCCTCGGCCAATTCTGGATATTGTTGCTTCCAATTTTCGGTGGGTCCGCCCCAAGTAGCTCGGTGGTGGACCCTTGAAACTGTGGGGTCCATCGGGATAGCGTAGAAGCTTGTTTCGTTGACGTTCGGGCCCGAGGCACATCCGCCGATCCAGAGGAGATCCCAATCTGTTCCGTAGGGAGCTTCCTTGGATACATGTTTCGTCCCTTTCAAAGTGTGCAGCCCGCGCGCAAATTCCGCCAGCTGGGACTTGAGGCTCACGTCCCAGTCTGCGTCATCTTCCAAAATCAAAGCAGTCGAATAGTCATTGCTTATCACGCTGTTATTAAGATGGTGTGTTAGAATAGCCTCTGGACAATGAGAATGAAATGGGACCGTACTTGACCAATGCATTCATGTGCGCACGCCAACATGCCACAACAGTGGGTTTCACGAGTGAGGGGTCCAGTCCCTGATACAGCATAAGAAAGTTGTCTAGGTTATTGAGATAGAAGGCATACATCAGGCATGGCTTTGGGAGCTAGATCGTCGGGTCGCACTCCATCGAGCCATTCCACATTGAACCCCGATACCGAGGCTGCTAGTGTGAGGAAATCGCGCTTGTCGGTCCGTTCCTTCATGCTGATCGCATAGATATGTTCAAACTAAAGATCGATACCCATTCAGTAATTGATTCTATAAGATGGTAGACAAGGTCTTACCCCGAGAGTGCGGTTCCGAATATGTTCAAACGCACTATCACTCATGTATTTTCGAGAGAGCTCGGGAAGCGAGATGGACCACGATTTATCCCCAAGGCTTTTGATCATCACTGTACAGAGGACATAAGCAGCAACGGCCGCCGTGACCACCTGGAGGAGTCTTTTTTTGGCGATCATGATGAACAGCGTTAACAAACAATAGGGATTGATAAGAATCAAGTCCTTAACACCACCTCAGAGGGATTAGGGTCCAAGTCAAATTTTCCAATCTGCGCCGCAGGAAAATTATGGCGATAAATATTTTTCTTTGCATTCCTTGAGTTCCGGGAACAGCTTGCTATGGACGCATCGCGGAGCTCGTCCAAACGCGGATATGCATGGGCGTTCGTTGCCTTATTCGTAAGGCCCCAAAAGAGTGTTAACGTATTTCACAAGCGAGTGGTCCACCCAAGCGAGTGGTCCAACCCAAAACACCATAGTAAATGCGATAAAATACAACTTAATATCTCAACAACAGCGGTCTATAGGGACATTTCCTTATAGCATACTGCTTTATAGGTGACATCGAGCATATCTAGGGGATTTTGGGAGTTTTCATATCTATATAACTGCGTTATATAAGTTTCTAGATTTTAGGCATGTAATTTTTGGTAATTTTTGAAAATGGTAGTCAAATAGTATTCTACTCTCCTTGAGATTGATATATAGTGCTAATAAGTCTTATCAATTACTATCGACAAACAGGGGCATATAATGAACATATCGTTGTTAAGATATAGATCTGGGATATATCGCATTTACTATGGTGTTTTGAGGTGGTCCACTCGCTTGTGTGGACCACTCGCATGTGAAATACGTTAGCGCAGTAGCCCCCTAGGCTATAAACAGGAACCTTGGATTTTGTTATGGTCTAGTGGTAGAATACGCTCTATTTGACTCGACAAAGAGCAACCTGTGTTTGAAAGTACCCAGCACAATGGACGCCTACTAGGTGTTAGCCCACCCGTAGTCTGATACAAATCATTGATTATAGGGACAGGTCGTACAAAATACGGAGTATGTCGGGCAACCATTCGTCTTGAAGAATTAAGTAGGTAGAATCTGGCAAGACAGGCATCTCAGGGATTGACAGGCAGCTTATCTGTAAAAATAGAGCTCCTACAGAGATAAGAGCTACAAGTGACGTTTCAAAATCACACCAGACAAGGGGACTCGGAACAACTTTAGGTGGTCCTTGGAATGGAATTTAGTTACCAGGGGAATATCACGTGCAGCAGGATGCGAGGCGAAGACACCTTCTGTTTAGACATCGTGAACTTCACATCACCTGCTATCGCTCCCCGTCGAAGAATTTCTGTTCCCACACTATTCTTGAATCATCAATTATGGACTAGACTTGAATATCTGATAATAAGCCATACAGACTAGGAACGCAAATTGCAAGCAATAGTTTTCCGAACATAATCCGGATGTCGTCAAGCCAAACCGTTCCCTCTTCGCCATCCACTGCTTTGCCGGGCGCATCTAAAGCAATCAATGGGAACGTTTTATATCAGTGGGTGACACTCATAGCGATAAAAACCCTTCGGCGTATTCGACCTCGAAAAGGGACTGTTCTCATGTTGACGGACCGACTATGCGTCAAGTACGGGAGCCGTGTTCATTTATCTGAAGCATCAACAATGCAGTTCATATCACAGCATACATCTATCCCAGTACCAAAGGTTTTATGTGCATTTACTCATTCTGGGCAGACGTACATTGTGATGGAAAGGATTAAGGGAGACATGATTGGCAAGGGCTGGGTGAAACGAAGTGAAGAGTCAAAGGCGAAACTTCTCTCTCAAGTTAGAGAAATGGTCCTTGAGATGCGAACCCTCGAGCCCCCAGAAGGCACAAAGATCGCTTCTATTGATGGCGGATCCCTTTTTGACTGTCGTGTTCCGGGCACTTCCTTGCGCTTCGGCCCCTTTGATACCATCCAGGACTTCCATCGTCATTTACGAATGGGCATGGAATTTGATTCAAGGCTTGGCCCTGAACCCCAGGAACTTATCAGACAACAAAGCAAGTCCTGGCCTTTGGTATTTACCCACGGCGACCTGAGCAGCCTCAACATCCTTGCTCGCAGAGATGATGTTGTTAGTATCATTGATTGGGAAACTGCTGGTTGGTATCCATCATATTGGGAATACACTACTGCCTACCAAGTCAATCCACAGAACTCTTTTTGGGTTAATGAGATTGATAAATTCCTACAACCAATGCCCGAAGAGCTGAAAATGGAACGGATCCGTCAAAAATACTTTGGAGATACTTAGGTTGTCCTATCTCCTCATTTTACAGTGATCTCCTCCCTCTCCATCAAGTCTTATGTTGGAACCGTTTCCATATCTCCATCTCGATATTACACTGGCCGTCAAAATAGTGCCACTCTTTCTTTGACTGAAATCCATCGCCACGGTGCACACCCTTCTTCATTCGTAGATGCTCGCATCCAGAGCTTTATGATTGACCTGGGACGTTTTCACGGCCTCATCATCATCAACCAGGGTCGCTTTGCTAGCTTCCCTCCAAGTTCCTTCCACCCATGGCCCAGCGCGAGACTTGTCAAGCCTAGGTAGAAGCTAATTATTAGCGATGAATGTCGAACATCACAATGCAAGCCGGAAGAGTGAGGATAACTTACCAGTGCTAATGATAGGGGTCTTTCTACCTATGTACGATCGCTAATAGCAAAATTAGACGTGTTCGGAGGGTCATATGTCGTTCTGCTCTCCGTTCCCTCGCATTCGGTTTGATCCATGAATTTATTCATTGGTGGTAGTTTTCCTACTACTTGCTATCAAGAAAGGCAAGTTCATCAAAACTGCAGTGCAATGATACATAACTTTTATTGTGTGGCATAATCCAACGGATTAAATAGCAACTGAGCCGGCACCCAGTCTATCTTTTGGCCCAATACCTTTATGCCGAACCGCAAACAGGCCGATGATCAATCCAAGCCCGGCCAGACCAACAGAACACCAGAGGCCAGTAGCGTATTGCTCTGCGATAGTGTGTCCTTGTTGAATGTCGACGGCGTCGGTAACAGCCGCTGAAATCGCCAATGCAACGCCAGAGCCAATTTGGAAGGCAGTGTTGAGCTAGTTTAGAATGTTAGCTTATGAAAGTTCACATACGGGAAATTGGAAACTGACCATTCCGCCAGCAAGACTCTTGACTTCGACTGGTACACTTGTGAGTACCACAGTGCTCGTCGTGACGAAGATGAAAGACACGGATGAGATACTGATAAGGGATGTGGGAAGAACATTGAGCCAGCTGTCATAGTTAGTATGGGTTTGTTCAAAAGCAAATGGTGATACATACAAGCCTGCTTCAGGATTGGAAGTCAAAGCACTCGAGATGGGGGCGACCACAGCCAGAACCAGTCCGGCGATGAGGAGGTGCTTTCCATTCATAAATTCGAGAAGTTTTCCTGTTCCAAGAGACACAATGAAGCCTATCGCCCCCATGGGCAAGAAGCGAAGGGCTGTATCGCCGGCAGGCAGCTTGTCCACTTCCTGTGCCACAAGAACGATATAGTAAATAACGTTTTGGTAGGTGCCATAGCCAGCTAATGATGATTAACCTCGATGAATGTACAAGTTCAGAAGCCAGACAACTTACTGAAACCAATAACCCAAAGGCCGGCGAAATTGCGGATTTTCCACAAAGAAAGTGGCATGATAGGATTTGTGACGTATTTCTCAAAGATTGCGAATCCAACAAGAAGACCAACCGCCAATATCAGTAACACAATAATGAACGGCTGGTCCCAGCCGTAGGTTCCGCCACTGGAAAGGACAAATTGGAGCAGTATCAGGCCAGCTGTAGACATTACCGCACCAACGTAGTCCATTCTCTCGTGCTTTATTTCAGAAGGAACATCACTCGGGAGGACGATAAAGCCTAGAGTTCCCAAGGACCCGGTGATTATGACGATCAAATAAAAGATGTATCTCCAGCCAAGCGAAGAGGTCAAGAAACCACCAAAGATGAGACCGGTACAGAATCCCAGGGTTCCCGAGGCTCCATAAATCGACAGTGCACGGGTGCGATCTACACCACTGAAGTAGGAGCTGATGATTCCGATTGCAGATGGCACGGTCATCGCGGCTCCAATTCCTTGAATGCCACGGAATATCGTCAGCTGAATAAAAGACTGTCCAAATCCAATGGCCAAAGTCCACACCGAGAGCCAGCCAAGACCCAAACAAAGAACCTTCTTTCGTCCATAGCTGTGCAGGTTAGCATGGTGTCAAGCCTAGAGACAATGGAAGAAAGTGTCATACCGATCAGACAAAGCACCTGCTAACAACAGAAAGCCACCAAATGACAATGTGTATGCAGAGATCATCCATTGCAAATCTGTACTAGACACGTCGAAATCCCTTTGAATTGACGACAGGGCAATATTGGCGCTTGTCATGAAGACATTGTCGAGAAACTGAGAGCCGGAGGTGACAAGCAAGATCAAAGACCCTTTCCAAGAACCCAGGCGGCCAAACTGTTGCGGGATCTTTTCGAAGATAAGAGGGTCATCACTACCAGCCGGTGAAGATAGCATGTGGGCAGGTGTAACAGCGCCAGACGACTCTGGACTAGAGATGATAGTAGGCTCAATTACTTTTGGGGCTTCCATAGTAGGTATTTCGTCACCAGCATGTGCCTGGTGGCCACGCGGTCGCGTGAAATAGTCAACAATGCGCATTGTGATTGTGAAAATGGAATAAAAATGGAGATGAATGGCCAGGGCAGCACTGACGGCTACTTTTATACTGATACAGGATTTACTATAGAAGAGAAAAGAAATCAAATTCTTCAATTGATCCAGTTTAAAAAGTGGAGTGAAGCCTGTCGGATTACCTTTTCAAGTAAGATCGTGAACTGGAGCATGTTCTTTCGGGTTACCTCTTTGAGATGCTGAAGACCCACGAGGTACCCAGTCCCAGAAGTGGAGAGGATGAATTACAGGTCCTGTCATTCGCATATGCAAGCCTATACGGAAGTACTATGGGTTTGTGATTTTGCTATCGCAATACATAGCTGTATGACCCTATGCATACTTTTGTAAATTCAAGGCATCAACGGCATCTTGCGAATATCAACTTGAAATCTTCAAATTAAAATTTAGCCGCAAACGTTATCGGGCCGAGCGCTAAGACCCACGGCATCCCGGTAGCCTAGTAGGGCTCGAACTTTATAGGTGTCTAGGGCTTGATTTTCTCTATGCTGTACTATGTGCGTTAGGATCATAGCGCTATATAGAATTCAGCCCTCTTGTCTTCGCTTTATAGACTGTATGCCTATTTGCGATGTTTTTCAGATGTCAAAATTTGAGCATTCGCCACACTAGGTTTTCCTCTCCCCGATTACTCTCCACTTTCACCACAGGCCGTCTTATGGCCCTTGGGTTCCACCCACAGTGGGGATCTTCTAGAAAAATTGAAATCTCTTCATGGTCCTGTCGGTTGCGTCCGTACTTCACACTCCGTCCAGCCTCCAACCAAGGCACATTTGCTGATCCCCACTCATCCTATAGGGTATCCATCAATGATTTCTATCTCCTGAACTTGTCACATTAATTCATAATGGATGAATTATGACATGCGCCCTACAAATTACCACGGGCGATTATTGGAACCCATGATACATAATTCTCTTATTGATTAATATTGCCAGGCAGTATTCAGACCTACTCTCACATTAATCCGTACAAGGACTAATAATGTATGTCGTTATAAACTTGAAGCGAATCAAATTAGAGTATCAATTCGAGTTTATGAACCGAAGATAGAGATCAGAATCGATTATGTTTTCCAAGCCAGTATACGTCCTTCCTGACTATATAAGTTCTTACGGTATATATTGTATCTCGATGTCTTGTATTTCAATTTGGACTTCAATTTTATGTACTATATAGAAACAGAAGAGAAGCTAGAATCAGTGTACGTGTATGCTCCAAGGCGGTAAGGCAATGTCCAAAGGGTTATCGCTGGACCCTCGGATCGCTACTGCCAAGCCAAACATGAGCAATAAGAACCCTCTCCCCTGTGCCAAGCTGATCGCCAGTCAAGCAAAAGCTTTGACCAACGCCACACTGATGAGATTGACACGGAGTCATAAACGAAATCTACTCCCTAACTGTCATCGCATAAAGTCATGTAGAATTCGCAGGTTTTGGCGCTTGGTATATATTTCTTGCCACGGTCCATATACACATCTCCCCGCTATACGATGCCTCAAAACCACATGCATTTTACCCTTCGCTGTCCCTAGGTTGTATTACTATACTGAATTCTATGCCTTTGCACAATGACAAAGCATTAGTCTGGTATCAACCCTTTCAGCCCACTTCTCGTTCGTAACAATTATGAGATGCATTCTAGTCAGGCTACTTGTTAAAGACGATATCTCTCGTAGGTCATTAATAAATACCTTGACCTCTGCTACGGTTGTTAGAACACTATGTTGATTACAGCAACTAGGCATACTTCACGGGCATTTCAACCTCAAGTCATTCAATATCGGACAGAAAAGCAAGATCAACCATGCATGAAGCTCAATAATGTAAAAACAGGCAAAAGAAGCACCTTTGAAAAGGAAACTTGTGAAAACACTGTAGATATCCGAGGTCCTAACTCGGCTAACTGAAGTTCAACCCTTAATGAACTCCCGAAAAGATGACGTCAATCCCGAAGAGCCAAGCATTGAGGGTCACCTCGCTAAGGACATCACTCCAGGACTCTTGCCAATCACAACAATTTGGAGAATACTTCCCGCTGATTTGGAAGTAGATCGAAAGGGGGGATAACCCGCAATGACGTACAGTATTTAATATCGTCATACTCTTTTGTATGTCTTCATTGATTTTTGGTGTTATATAATCCGCATATGGGCCGTAAAATTGGGTAATTCCCATGCGGAGCCTCATCTGCCATGCGTGCTCGAATTCTTGCAGGTCATACATAAGCAATCATCAAACAATCTCTATCGGCGCTTGGGTTTTCTTCCATTGATTTGGAAGAAGCGCGGCGTCTCGAGGGAATAGATGACTTTCACTTTCAATCAAAATGTCTCGGCACAAGAGCTGGCCGACATCCTACCGAACGGCGTCGCCATCCTCACCCACCGGTATGAACTAGCGTTCGTAAATCGCCGCTTCCGGGAACTCATCCCATACCCCAGCGTCAACTTCTCCGAGTGCTGGCTACGCTCGGTCCACCCAGACGACCATGACCGGGTGTCCGCTGGGTATCGGGAGGTCGCAACCTCCAAACAACCGCTGCGTCTCGAATACCACACCCGTGACCCGAACTCGATTTGGTGTGTTATGACATTGGAACGGCTGAATGATAAAGATGTACAATGCTTTGGACTAGGCGAAGGCGGGGTTTTCATATGTACAATCGCAGATATCACCCCGGAGAAAAGGGCTGAGCTCGTGCAGAAGCAGGCTGCGGAAGAAGCACAAGAACGGAAGAGGCAACAAGAGCGATTCATTGATATGATCAGTCACGAAATTCGCAATCCTCTATCCGCGATAGTACACTGCACCGAGGATATTCAAGAGGCGATCTTCAACAAGAAACCGGAGGAAATCTCGGCTATGGACATCACCGAGGCGACCGAGACTATCAGTCTCTGCATCAGACATCAAAAGAAAATTGTCAATGATGTTCTCACCTTTTCAAAACTCGACGCATCGATGCTGCCGCTGTCACCACGAAAGGTCCAGCCACAGCGACATCTCACCATTCCGATGGCAATCTTCCGACCCGAGCTCCGAAAGCAGAGGATACATTTTGAATACAAGGCCGATGTTTCCTATGCCAAATGCGGCATAGACTGGGTCATGGGAGATCTAGATCGGATGGGCCAGGTTCTGGTCAACATACTCTCCAACGCTATTAAATTCACCGCAAAATCGGAGAGTCAGCGATCGATCCGGGTCTCAGTGGGTGCTTCGCTCGAACGTCCACCTTCATATCCGCCAAATATAGTGTTCTTCGATTCAGGCGAATCAGCGCTCCGCCAAGATGCGACTCACAAGCCCGAGTGGGGAAGTGGCGCAATTGCATATATTATGGTCGCCGTCAAGGATTCGGGTATCGGGGTCACTGAGCAAGCCCAGAAGCGGCTCTTTGAGCGTTTCAACCAAGCAACTCCCAAAACTGAGAGCATCTATGGCGGGTCTGGCCTTGGGCTCAACGTGTGCAGGAAGCTCTGCCACCTCCATGGGGGCGAGATTGGGGTGAGCTCGAAGGAATGTCAAGGAAGTACCTTCGGGTTCTTTTTCAAAGTACGCAGAACAACCAACGAAGGTGGCGAAGTAGATGGAAGTCCCAGTGTGTCTGCTATTGATAAGCTCTGTGTTGATATCCAGTCACTGGGCAACAAAATGCGTGGTGTCGATCAAACGACGCAAGAGCCCCACATCCCGGAATCCCCCCCTGAAGATAGCGTCTTTGCGGCACAGCCAGGTGGCCTGAAGGACGGATACACAGTGGATACCCACAGTATAGCCGGTGAGGTCAAGAACCATGAAATCAAACGGGCGAAGCCAAACCATCCATCCCATCCCAATGACGAGAAACTAACTGGCGACGGTCAACGCATTCTCTTGGTTGAGGATAACATTATCAACAGGCGAATTACATCACGGAAGTTGAACACTCTCGGGTTTGACATATCAGAAGCGAGCAATGGGAAAGAAGCGGTGGATGCGAATCAAAATAAACCATTCGACTGCATTCTCATGGATCAGCAGATGCCTGTTATGGATGGGAACTGTGCCACGAAAGCCATTCGTGATATTGAAAAGGAAAGCGGAGGGCACGTGCCAATCCTGGGTGTCACAGCAAATGTCAGGGAAGAACAGCAACAGGAAATGATGGGCGCTGGAATGGACGATATCATTTACAAACCCTACGGGACTCAAGAGCTCGTGAAAAAGATCAATTACATGGTTTTGAAGCGTGATGCGGCAGGTAAAGGATCGTGAGCGTTTTGCACATTCTGGAAGCATGGGAGATGTGTCCTCGTACCATAGACTGAGAGATAATATACCAACGTGATAAACCCGACTGTACATGTCAAAAATCCCATAACCGCCATCACAACAGATGTCCACCCACAATGAAAGAATCCAGAATCCAGAGACTCAGCTCTACTCCGATACTAATGAAAACACCTCTATGAACGTTCCGTAAAAGTCAATGGACATCCATCCTGTGTCAAAAGTTAGTAGAGTTTAAGAGTTGAGCATTGAGTTGATAGTGGTACTAACCATTGGAAACAGCGTAGCGAAAACTCGAATCTCTTCTGATCTCTCCGTGGCATGGTGCTTCCAGTCGAGCTCCAGTGCCGCTTTCCCAATCATGCCAGCCATAGACAGCGGCACATATTTCCTTGCGAGGCAATCGTGTGGTCCCGCACCGAATACTAGCCAATTCTTAGTCTTGGACTCGGCGTCCCCGGAGATCCAACGCTCGGGATCGAAATTATCGGGATTAGGGTAAACATTCGGATCATGTAAAGCTGGATAACAGGACGGGATAATCATCGAGCCCTTGGGCACGGTATAGCTGGGCGTGACAGGGAAGTTCTTCGTCGCGAGATATGGAACCATGATAACGGGTGGACGGTGGCGCAGGAGCTCTTTGATGACTGCATTGGTGTAGGTGAGCGACTCTAGCATGGGAAGATCGAAAGACCTGTTTTTATCACCACCGCGAGCAGCTAGATTTTCTGCACGCAGTTTATCGAGTACGTCCGGCCGCTGGGCGAGGATTTGAAATAGCCATGTCGTGGCACTGCTCGACGCATCTTGAGAAGCAAAGAGAAAGGTGAATAATGTCTCACCGATTTCCTCATTCGTGAACTCGCGGATCATGTTCGTCGGCTTCTCGATGTCTGTCTCCCCTGCGGCGATTCTTTCGTGGTATCGCTTGGATTCCATCATATGAAGTACCCAATGGTCTACGATACAACTCGGTGTCGCGCCAGTCGCCATGTTTGCTTTGCATGCAGCTGCGCATCTTGCAAACTCTGCATGAACAGCGTCGGCTGTCCGCTTCCCGAGCCAGGGCTTGGTGAATGGAATGTAAATTGACAGAGGCACGTTGACTAACTCGAGCGCGGCTGTAGCAAGGTAGAAATCATCCGCAATCGTCTTGACTGCGGCTTGAGATATATAATCCCCGAAGAATGTGCGGCATGAAAGTGCACAGTTGATCTCGCGAAACATGGTCATGAATTCCCTTGGCTGTCCTTGATTCGCCTTGCTAGTGGCGACAAACTTAGCGAAATAATCGGCCAATACCTTTTTTTGCACAGGCAAGTACGTAGCCATGGCCCTGTTGGTGAAAAGGGGAGTCAGGCCTCTGCGGTACTCGGTGTGATCTTTACCCTGAAGGAAGACCCATGCTTTGTGGCCTAGAATGTCCTTTGCGATCGGCACTATACATGGTTCGGCGTATGTGGGCGACTTGAACACTTTGTGGGCTATGTCTCTATCGGAGGCTAGAACGACAAATCTATAACAGATAGTATCAGTTTTGACAGTATGATAAGTTGATCTAGTCCGGCGAGACGACAACAGACGTGAGCGCGTACTTATGAAAGACAGATACACAGCTAAGTGGCCCACTTGCCCACTGTGCAAGATAACCTTCGAATTTCGGGTGTAGGGCCTGTATGAATGGCCCCATGAGTGGTATCTTGAGTGCAGGCCCTGCTATAGAGCCTTTTCGTATGATGTACATCGCTAGAGATGGGATTAGTATACTCGTATGGCCTTGAAGACTCTGCCTACCTTGATCATAGACTAATACGGCAATCAAAAAAGTCACTGCGTAATGCCATATTGAGAAGCTCTTCAAGGAGGCCAGCAGGTAGCTTTGAAACTGTGAATGGCTGGAAGGCCATTTCTGCGGCAGTTCATCCGCAACGATAGAGATGTTGGCCATATCAAAGGCCATGTTGGTGTCCATGATGATATATGGAAAAGCAAAATTTCAAAAACTGCTTTGAGAAAGACAGACGATATTTACAACATAGAGGGTTTGTAATGGCATGATATACTGCCCAGATATCTGATTATAGATTGTACCCGATTAGGACTAGACTCCGATGCCAAGCAGGGACGAAGTGGAGACTAGTCCTATTTTGATTTAGGCTCGGGACATTATCCTGAGGTCCACATATAACAGAACAGTTGTCTGGGTTCAATATTGAGCCGAGCTTCTGTCAAAACTCAAGGTCGAGACGCTCCAACTCTTCGATTCACATTGTGATCCCCAAAAGCGGTGTAGAGCTCGAATTTGAACGATTCCTAGAGCTAAAATATCCCCCCACCCCCTTTGGATGCCCAACAACACTCTTTCAAAATGCGCCAATCTCTCCGCCGGTCCTGTACGGCATGTGCCAAATCAAAGTCTGCCTGTGATCTCCGCAAACCGCGCTGTTCCCGCTGCATCAAGCGCCATGTCGAGTGCGCCTATGTGAACGAACCCTCGACGGGGCCGGCAACTCCCGGATGGCAGAATGGGGAATCAACGAACCATCTGAGTGGATCCAGCACTTTAACTAACTACAGATTCGGGTCTCTTGATCCTTTTGATTCGTATCCACAGACTAGACTCCCCCGGGAACACGTTCAACGTCTAATATACGGCTGTATGTAGCCTTTCCATGAAGCACTGTCGATGAGACCTTCGCTTACCCATTTAGTCCTTCACAAAATCGCTTTCCAATACTACCCTCTTGACCTTAATGCGACTTCAAATCCGTTTTTGATCTCTTGGTGGCCGTTGGCCCTAGGGGATCCCGCACTATTTCATGTCTCTCTTCAGACAGCATGTCTTGACGAAGAGCTGTTGGCTCAGAAAGGCTTTCAGACCTCTGAACTTCTGATGGCAGATTCGGTGGCTTTACTACGACGCAAGGTTGAATATATGTCACTAGCTGTTCAAGATGGGACTATGAACTCAGTCATTACCTTAGCAACCATCGAGGTGAGATACTATCACAAGCACACTCTTTTCCTGCTGTTTTAATCCGAATCAACCCTGATTATATATGACTCTCAGTTCGGCAAAGGGAACGTAAAAACTGGCCAAATGCATGTCAACGGATTGAAAAAACTGGTCGATATGAGAGGTGGCATCAATGCGGTAAGGCAAACAAGCCCACTCACTGCGAGAATGATCAGTTGGTAAGCCAACCACCCATTTACAAGCCAGAGGACCGCTATTCACATGTCTCAAAGGGTATCGATGCTTATCATGGGTCATCCACAATTCGAGACTCAAGATGACTTCGGTATTGGAGATGGCATCCCTCCAATCCCGGAATGGCAGTTTGACTCGACCGCGCATGACGATAACCTATTTGATCTCAGCACCATTGAAGTAGACTATGCCGTCCGCAATGTTTTCAATCGCCTGCGCAACATGTTCCAGCGAGCACGTGATATACCTTTTCCAGTCACACAACTTCACGACCTTACTTGTTTTGTTATACACCGACTCTTGTTGTCCACCCCAGGTACAATACCCGCGCTCTCACCCATGACGGAATCCATCCGCTGCGGAATAATGCTCTACATGTTCATCGCTCAGGGACCTACGTATTACTCGCATGCTGTCATACTGAATACGATTGTCATTCGATTTATGGAGCACCTCGAGCATCTTGCGTCAACGCCTCGAGTGTATGATTCACTGGATGTCTGGTTTGCTGCGGTCGGCATGGTGGCTTCAGCTGGCACACCTCATCACCTCTGGTTTATGAAGAGGGCACAAGATACAGCTGCTTCTCTACAGCTAGACAACTTTACTGACACCCTGATCCATATCAAGGCTGTCTTGTGGTTGGAGAAACCGCAGAGTGAAGATCTCTTTCGATCTCATTGGGATACTATCTTCAATTGCACGGATCAATCGGTATTATCAGATCTCTCGGTATCAGTCTCATCATACAGCAGTAGCGTGGAATTTATATGAATTCCAGTTCCATACAACTTGACTGTTGGCCGTAACAGGGATCAAATGTGCGTGCACAGAACAATAAGAGTGCGTGTCCAACAAAACCAGCCCCCCTCAAATCACGCCAATTCAGCGCGGGCCTTGAGATCCCTGTGGAAGATATCGAAGTGAGCACGCATCTTCTTCCCAAGCAGAGAAGGGCTCATAATGAACGCAAGGAGACCTTTGAGATCCTCAGACTGCGTGAAAACAGTCGAAGCACCATCATTGGCCGGTTCGATATGGAATTTGTGCAATCCAGCAATGGTAAACACGGGCGGGCCTTGCCAAGAAAACAAGCTCTCAGTGTTCTCCTTTAGCATTGGAAGTCTTCAGCTTAGGTGTCTTATTTTTAAAATCTCGGGAAGAGGTTATATTGTTCTCACCCTGACTTCGGCGACAAACTTGAAATTCTCAATGTTGACCTCAATTTTGTCCCCTGAGGAAAGCTGCTGCGGGGTCTTGGTGGTGTCCTTGAGCTCAATCCCCTTCAGCCATTCCGTATGCCATTCCGGGTATGCTGAGAAATTGAGCAGCTATGGAAGGGTTAGCTGGTCAGCTTGGTTTGCCAAGAATTCAAGCCCAAGGGTTATATACAATGTCGCGCACTTTGGCGGGTGGTGCCGCTATCTCAACCGTGCTTGTGATCATTTTTTGTCGGTTGAATGGTTAAGGGGGTTGGTTGGAGGCATGAGAAAGGGGAGTCAAATAAAAGATGCGATAATATGGGAAGTGCGTGCGTATAGACTACTGCATATCCTTGCTGTATTCATCGTGTCCTCCCCAGCCTCAACATTTGTTGGTCATTGCACCTGTCACATGTTCAGATCATCCCTATGGACACCGAATCAATGTACTTTGGAGAAATAAATGTGAAAATAACATTGTAAAAATTTAAGTCTATTTCATCCAACTTGCAATGAGAGATAGAACAAAGTCCAACTCCAAAATTATATAGTGGTCATGACGTGGTCAATAACAAGGTCATCAAGAATCCTCGATATACACATGACAAGTCATATATACATAACAGGGAAATATATACAGTTTGATATGCTTCAGATAGTGCAGCTGCACGTCTAGATCAAGGCTCAACGCTGATCCTGCTGACACGGCGGCCATGGTTTTGTTCTCTGTCGGCAGCAAGAGTAGAGGCGAACTTACTCTTCGCGCGAAGTTGAGGTCCCTTCCAGTAGAAGATGTAGATTGGAGTCACAACAAGACAGGAAAGACAGGCGAGAATGGTGGTTGCATACTCAACATGCCACTTATTACCGATATTTGTGTACATGGGCGTCGCGTACATGGCCGAAATACCAGCGAGCAGATCACGCGCGAAAGCGTTACCACCGGTCGCGGAAGCAGAGTAGACACCATAGGACGCGACCATGTAATCAACGGAGGATAGGTAAATGGCAAAGTTGGCGATACCGACGCAGCCGGAGAAGATCATGGATCCGATCCAGTGGACGTTCCTTGAGTCGCCGAAGGATGTCCAGGCGAAACCGAATAGACCAATGGGCTCAAGCGGCGCAAGGAAAAGCAGCCACTTGAGACGACGCTCGGGCGGGATGGCAGCATCGCCATGTCTGAGTCGGAGCTTTTGGTCGCGAAGGAACCATGGGAAGTAACTGAAGTAGGCAATGAAGTAGGCGGCGTTGATGGGAATAACTGCCCACGCTTGTGCGAGGGTACCGAAGCCCCATCCTTGCTTGTAGACGATGGCGAAGCTCTCCAGGAAGGTGAAAATCAGGGCATCGGAGAAACCGGACAGAAGAGACAAGCACAGGACGATAGGCTCGCGCAGAAGCATGTAAAATGGACGCGCCCAAATCTTGCCAGCTTCCTTAAGGGAGATACGGGGAGACTTGAGCTCGTTGGGTCCATAGATGTTCGGATCCTCTCCGGTCTTGCGGCGGCGCTTGGCTTCCCGGTCCATGATAATGGTCGAACGACTCTCGGGCATAAAGAAAATGATGAGCTGGGTGACTCCTCCGAAGATCAGCTGGATCCAAAAGAACCACTGCCAATCGAGGTCTAGATATCAAAAATATGTCAGAAGATGCTTCAACTGGCATAGGGTGGAGAAAAGGTGATTTGCTTACATCGCGCAATTGGCCCTCCAATCACACCACCGATACTGGTACCGAGACAAGATGATAGAACGATGAATGCGAGAGGGAATTGTTGCGTCTCGGGCTCATAGATATCTGCAATGAGACCGAGAGTGACACTACCACCAGCAGTAGAGAGACCACCCTGTAATTTGTTAGTTTGCCAAGTTATCAGAACGGCTGATTGTCGACGGAGAAACTAACCAATGCACGAGCTACAACGAGACTGCCCCAATTAGGGGCAAGGGCTGCAGGGAGTTGCCATATGTTGATAAGGAACATGGAGAGCTGGAGGATAGGCCAGCGACCGAATTCCTCGGACCAAGGAGCCCACAGCTCACAGCCGATAGAATAAGTAACCAGGTAAGCCATTTGGCCTGTACGAGCATGTTGCTCGCTAATATGGAAAGCCTCGGAAAGGTTCTTTACAGCCGCAGGGTAGACCGAGGTATTGAAGTTCATAGAAACCTGAACGAATGCGACCGCGCATAGATAGGTCCATTTCTTCCATCGTGGCCAGCAGTATCCTAGGATCTCGTAGCAATCTCCTTCCTTAAGCTCACGTTTTCCGTCAGAGCGTTCGCTCGCTTCGCTCTCCTTCTTCTCAAGCTCGGCGGAGATATCCACGGGAGTAGTAGATTCACTGTCGGTGCCATTGGTAGACGGTCTGACTTCTCTATGAACAGGAGCTTCATCTTGCTCTGGGGGCGACATCCTTGCGTGCGGGGGGGTGTAGCAAAGAGCGTGAGAAAAAATATTTTTGTGGATCTTCTCCAGGTATTATATGTACGGATGAATAGTGTACCTAGCTATGTATGCGCAGACTTTTTCTTACCTCGCACACCACCATGGGCTGAAACCGGATTTATAGTGGATTTATAGTGGATCTACACTGCACTCAGATTAGGGGTGTGGTGGCGGCTATGGCGCACAACGCATAGTTCGATATAGAAAGAATAACGACAGTAACATGTAGACATATCTATTTGTATACTTTGATTATCATAATATTGAGAATTTTGCACTCTACTCACAGTGTTTCTCATGTCTCATGTGTGAATATCTTCAGAAGAAGAAAAGAAAAAAAAAGAAAAACCAATTTTCGATCCCCTGGCATTCCCGACCCACTAAGAGCCTGACGTCAGACGGCTTTCTTCTATTGGCAGCCCATTAACATGTCAGAATTGGGTATATGGAGTGTACGTAGTAGAATTTTCGATTGTTCTGGTTGCCGCCAAGAGAACCAAGGGTATATCTGGTTCCTAGGCAGTCTTGGCTGATGAAATTCGGCACGTGGAAAAGTTGTCGCCTTTGGCCCTATGTCGTAGAATACTCTGAACTCGGTATGGAAAGAGTGCGGAGAGGTATGATGTATGTATGAGGAGAAATATGGGGTGAAATACGGGGTGAAACTGCTATGCAAACAGATGAATTTATAAATAATGCTGTACAAGTATGTTGTACATACTCCCCCTTCTGAGTCAACCCTGCTGCATAAGCAATAATTGTGTACAATATAGCCGGGAGATCTTCAGTCATCAAACCACAGACCTAGAACTCAAGCATTGGATCTTCACTGATCGCCACTCATAAACCTGGTATAAGCGCAGATGCACTAAATTAGTGCACAAGAATGACATCATCTCTCCACCGAGGCAGGTACAAAGTACAACAAATAGACAATATAAAGCACCTTGTACTCTGTGCCTGAAAGAGTGTGTACCAGTATGTTAGATTGTCTCTTACTGCGGACAGTCTTAACTTGAACTCGGGAAAAAGCGATGCCGAGGAAAGGGATAGAGAATGAAAACGAGGAAGACTTCCAACCTTGGAAGGTTTCCCGTGACACATGTGATCAGCACGATAAGGATATGTTCTGAACGCCCGTGCTTGGGAACTTCGCTTCGACAAAATGTACTCCGTACGCAGGGGTAATGAAATCCTCCAATCCAGGGCTCAGTCATCCCCTTACAAATCTCACCCTTTCCTATCATTTATTTGCACTTTGATACACACAATATAGTCAGGTTCTGATGGCGGACCTCGTTCCAGACCCACACAATTTCCACATTCCGCTTCCGCTTCGGTCGCAAACAATCCCCACCATACAAGGAATCTCCACAACAGATTGTGATGAGGATGGCCTTTATCGCTACACATCCAGAAGATAGCTTTGGAATGAAAAGGAACTCGCCGCTATGTCAAGTTTGATTTGGCGAAACTTGTCAAGATCGCGACCCAGGCGATAGGGTCTACGTCCTGCGTCGAAGTGCAGAAGCCTCCAGGGACAAAGTCTTTCTTCTTACGATGAACGATGGCAAGGAAGTAATCGCAACGCTCCCAAATCCTAATGCCGGAACTCAATACTTTGCCACAGGTAGTGAGGTGGCGACGATGAACTATGGGAGGGTTGCTTGGCTTCATGTTGCTGGGCTATATGATCTAATCCTATCTTTAAGTTCGGGTCGTACTCGATATTCCAGCCCCGGTGGTGTACGCTTGGAGCTTCTCTACTGAAGACATTGAAGCCGAGTATATTATAATGAAGAAGAGCCGGGGAGTGGAACTTAGCAAGCTGTGAGATGATATATGTACCGGGTCCTGACACGTTTGGGATCATTCAAAAATTGCTGTTGAGAAAGCACTTCTATCCACTCAGTTTCCTATGTACGGGAGCCTGGTTTATGAAAAGGACCTGTCCAACCCAGTGGGTCGACCTCGGGACTGAAAGGAGCAATGCTGGCTTAGATTTTGTGATGCGTCCATTACGAATCGAACATTTCTCGATGACGGTAGAAATGCTGTCGATGCAGGTCACTAAGGACCTTGTAAGTGTCTCTTTATCCGCTCCTTGGAAGACAATTCTGATGATTTTCTTTCTAGTAGAGGCATGTGCTGACGATTACGTTTCTACTCGTGTTATTTCTTCAAGTCCGTCATCTAGCTCTGATTAGATCTGATGGGTTCGTCCCGAAGGGCCTGTTATCAATCGGACTACCCGAAAACTTTGATGAGCTCAGCGCGGAAGAGCAGCTTGAGGCGAAGAAGCTTCGTGCTGCCCAGTTTCTCTATAAGCTGTATGATATTACGACGATCAAAAAATGCCTTGACATTGCAGCCACATTGCAGTTCAAATATTCACTTGCTGGACAATCACGGGCCTTTCGGGCTTTATCTTCACCGACGATGAACTAGTCGTTCAAAGTATGCTCAAAAAATTACAGGAAAAATGGGTGACTTATATAGGATCGACCGTCTTATGTCCGCTTTCATTCACCGAGGACAAGAAAATGCAAAGGAAGACGAGAAAAAGTGGACCACTGGCGCTGCACTATTGGAGGATTTCTTTGATCAAATTGGTGTATACCGAGGATGGGATGGCTTGGTGAACCGTAGTAGTTATGAACACTACAAAATACGTTTGGAAGAGTGTCAGCATAATTTCTTGAATTCTCAATGGACGAGTGATGAGAGAAGTCAGGAGGAAGCAGTATGGCCATTCAAAGGCAAGCAATCATGCTGATATATTACTAACCTACCTCGGGATGTTTGAGCTGCAAGTGAAATAAGAACAAAGCTACCTCGGTCCGACTTCGGGAGTGATTCGGCAGAGGCAAAGGGACTCTACGTGGAAATTTCACGTGTGTTTGGCCTGTCAATGTCTACACGGATGCCTGATTATGTTCCTGGATCATTGTATTACTCTCCGTTCTTGTTGCGACCATCTCCCCTTGAGAAGAACCAGAGTCTATTTCTCAAAGTTTAGGTCGCATATCCCCCCCCATTGAAAATATCAAAGAACGCATCTCCCTCAACAGTCTCACGCTCAGCAATGAACTTCTCCCACCTCTCTGCGGAAAGTATTGGAGCTGTGAGATAAGGTTCCATCTTATCCAAGCGATTCAAAATCTCGCCAATCCGCGGCAGAACAGAATCAGCTGCCTTGCATTCCATATCAAATAAATCTGCCCGACTAAGCCCCAGATTCTCAACGTACCAACTAAAGTCAGTCTTGATCACACCGACTTCGAACAGAGTAAGCAGATCCGAATCAACTCCGGCATTCACCGCCGCCTCGTATGCCATGCGATGGCCGATGGCTAGGACTATGGGCCGACAATGAGGGAGGATTCGATTGTTAAACGCCTCGCTTCTGTGCCCTTCATTAATACTCCTCTGCAGTGTCAACATCTCTGCAATGTAGCCTTCTTCGTGCTTTGCTATCATCGAATTTGGCTTGGTGGCTTTGGGGATCTGGTATCGACCGAGAAGGATCTCAGTGGCCAGGCCTAGAATGTGTGAGTCGTATTACATGCACATTGTGGAATTCTGGGGACCTCACGAATGCAGAGAACTAAGATTTCTCCTTCTGCTATACCGTTGCAACGATTGAGATCCTACAATGGCTGTCAGTACTTCACCATGGGTGATATTTCAGTTGTTCTCAAATCCACTAACCTCAATTTCCGCGAGCTGATTATGAATAAACACGCCCTGGGCACCACAGCGCTCGAGTAGATCTCCAAAGCTCGTCTGGGTGTATTGCATCACAGCTCCCTTGAAGATAACTGCCAACGCATGTCTGACAGGAAATTCCAGTGAAGTATCACTGAATTGAGCTGTGATCCAGTGTGCAAACGGCTCTAGAACTGTGCTCTGTGCCAGGGCATGCATAATGGGCAGCTGTTGAGTACGGAAGGAAATGATCGGCTTCGGAAATCCTTGAGCGTCAGAAACCATTCGACGGAGGCTATACTTGCCAGCTATAAGCGTGGCACTCCTCAAAGATGGTACAGCGGCCAGGCTTAAAGCCAGTGTTCCAAATCCTAGCCGGTTGATTGCTGTCAGGAATTGAGATCGCATGTTGGCGGGCTTTTTGGGACTGCCTAACATCGCCGTTGATGATAGGCAGACTTGGTCAAACGAGGTGATGGCGTGGTCGAGAGTCCTTCCACAGGCAATGGAGGGGAGTGTTCTAAACGTCTTTAGTTGGAGTTGAAATACTTAGGCTTGCTCTTCTCTTCCACGCACGTTGATTTTACCCCTTTGCACATCTCCTTCCCATCCCCAAGTGCAACTATAAAGGGGCGAATCCCTCTATCGTCTTCTCCAACCATGAGACGTGCGAATACGATAGCAATGCGAGGGATTCCTGCTATGGGCATTGACGGGGGCATAAATCTGGAGATATTAGTATAGTATCCCTTCTGCTGTCATTTTGTTTCGACGTACTTTGCTGCCCCGGGCGTAGGACTGTGAAGAACGAAACTACCATCGGACTGTAAGGTTGCAGTGGTTTCAAGGTTCTTGGCATCGCAGCCATGGTCAATCTCGTTGAGCATAAAGCAAGCACTGTACAATGATAAGTGGGCCGATTCCCTAAGATATTATTGCTGAATTCATACGAAACATCAAAGCTCAAGATTTTCTCCATCACTGGTCGCAAATCTGGCCTCTTCATGGCATAAGGGCCAATTGTGCCTGCCACCAGGTTATATTGAATTGTAAAAAGAAGGTGAGCCACGATATCCCGGATGACTATAGCATCCATATGGGATTGCCAGAACTTCGGGGTGAGAGAGAGGATGTCATCAATAGTGAGCCCTATGATCATGTTAATTCCCTTCGAGTAGCTTCATGCTGTTTCACTGACCATGATGTCTGCCGATTGCTCTGGCTCGGTGGTAAGAACGCTCTAGGCTTTCATGTCCTGAAGCTTCATACCCTTCTGATCGAAAAAGAGAAGTTGATAAGAGCTGGAGACTAGGTTCTGTTTGGGGTGGCATTATATATGACGGAGGTAAATAATCCCAAGGATCAAATGATACAAAATCTAGATATTTAGCCGTGATGTAACAATTTATATACTTTGAATGCAACCGATGATCTCATATGCCTATATTCCATCTTCCTGGATATGCACCTCACCTAGATTCCCAATTCATGGGAACCCTAATTTTTGCCTCTATTCCTAGCAAGGAACTACGCACTGCCTCTCTGCAACATGGTGGCACCGCATGTAATCTACCCAATCATTATATATCCCGCTCATCCATCATATGGAGTGGGTTTTCTACAGGAATTGTGTCTCGTTTTGGAAATGCCTATGGTCTACTAGCCCATCGAATAATTTTATGTGAGAGCTAGCCTTGGGCCGTGACTGATTTGTATATGGCATTAAGATGAATGAATGAGTTAAGTCCTTGATCGGATAAGACCCGTATTTACACGTCGAGGTACTCGGAATGGGAATGGGATTTTGTGACTGGTACGTACTCGTAATTGATATCAAGTTGTAAGTCAAATATTACCCCCGGTCCTAGTTTGCAGTAGCACAAATGCGCAGTATTATATTCCATAGCGGTGAATATAAACTTTGTCAATGTTCACAAAGAATGCAGGTGGAGACCTGTTGATATGGATCCTATCGTGCATTGGTCGATCAAGCGGGCTGCTTTACCCAGCACAAAACAAAATATTCTCATCTCGGCTGCAACAATGTGGGTTGCTTCATCGGATCGACGTATTGAATTTAACACTGGTTAGATTACGGCTTGGAGTATCCTGGTGAGTCACGCCACACCTTACTTTTCAGGAGTTACAAGGCACGGAATAAGCTGGAATGACATGCCTCACATTTGAGGTGGAAGGATTGCCGTAGTACTACCCGTACGAACTGGAAAGGCTTTTGCTTAAGACTTAGCTCGGAACAGATACAGTAAACACTTCGTTCAGTTACAAGAATCAACTAGTCTAAAGTTTGGTCAGGTAGGGATTTGAGATAGACAAGAACCACAATAGTAGTCCATCGCTCCAATCCACACCGATGGAACTATTAGGGCTGGGCTTTAGCATACCTTGTTCGAGAAATGCTGATAGTGATAGACAAAACAATCTCTCACTTTTTATGAAAGTGGGTTATTGTCTTGTTTCTAGTGACCAGATACGCGGACCTGAGCCTCCCGCCAATGGCCACGACAGATTTTTGATATCTATCACGCCAATAATGGGATAATCTATGACCAGTAGGAGTTTTATCAAGATGGGTACAGCCGGAGTCTTCCCAGACCCCGGGGGTCCGGCAGCCTGTTACCGCCAGTGTACCACTTCGCACTTTACTATAGTTGATTTTCAACCATTTGCTAGCTGATTATCCGAACGTCAAACTACTAGCCTTATGCCCAGCAAAAGCCCGGTTGGCGCGGTAGTGGTCAAAACCTGCCGAATGACCCGTTCAACAAAGAAAACGCGCTAAAGCCTTAGCGGTGAAGCTGTAACCGAGCGACTGAATGTAGACTTGTTCAACCACTCTGTGCGCAATACAATAATCATGTGAATGTATAGGCGCTACGGCCTGTTGAGGGTGTTGATACACCCCTCCGAGCTAGCTAGCCAGTTTTGCTTCAAGCAGGGCTCGTAGGAGACAGCTGTCTCGGATAGGATTGGTCTCTGAAGTTTGTCTGTTAAGGCTGGTTGTTGAAGCTGGCTGGTCAAGTCTTCTCATTAAACAGTGCACTTTCCAGAGTAAAAAAGAAGTTTCTTCAGCAGCGTAAGCAGAGCGCAAATATTTGAATGAATTCTGATGACAGAGAAGATGATAATATTCTCTATCTAGAAGCAAGACTGAGAGAGAGAGAGAGGGAAGAGAAAGCAAATATAATGAGACCCTATTTATACTGCCAAACATGATGGCATATCATGCATGTTTGATCTATATGCCTGGATACCTATGACATCCGACAGCCTTTGACACAATTTGCTATGCTGGGTCGGCTCATATGGTCGACTGGTGTCACTCATCTTATGATGAGGGAGCCAAGATGGTCACCACTATCCCTCACCCCAAAGCCTTGAAGTGTTTTGCAACAAGGGCGGACGACTTTACTTTTGATGGCCCTAATGGCAGGGTCACATATCCTGCTAGACAGGAAGATGCTGCGCGCATTTCCAATATTTTGAAATGGGCAGTGGAGAACCTTCGATCCCTCCAGGTGCCCACTGTACGAACGGTTGTTGGGAACGATGCTGCGATTGAAGCTATCATTCAATCTGCTGAGGGGGGTGTCAGCTTCGAGAAAATTGTTGTCAAACACACTGCATTGGAATAAACAGCACCGACTTGCAACTATATGTTCACTTTCCATGATAATATGAAGGCTTTTCTGGAAACCTTGCTTCTAGGATGAAATAACAGTTTTTTCCTTTCTCAATACTCAGGACACGAGCCCAAGATAGCGAATTTGATGCAAAACCAACTTAGATTGGAAGATAAATAAAGAAAATACTTGGCAAGGCTACAAATGATCGGTTTAAGGGTCATGAAGGGATCTATCTGTAGAATAAAGCCTATCACTACCAGCCTTCTTGGGGGCGTTTTTATATAAATCATAATTTACTATTATACAGCCACATCTGCTGGAACTAGTGATTCGCTCAGCGCTAATATGAGATACAGTGCTCAGTTCTGGGTTTTCTTCACGCATATACTGTAAATTTGTCGCTTTTTTCCCATTGACTCAAATGGAAAGGGCCTTATACTACTAGCTATACAACTAGCGCTATGCCGTTGATTTCCAACAACGCAACATTGAACGTGAAGCATAGGTCGGGTCGTGACTATTGCATCGATACCCAGTCGGCATCTGATTTACCCTAGTTTATTTGGGAGTGAAACAATAAAGCGAGACAACAAAAACTTACTCTTTATGCTAGAAAAGCAACCGAGTTTCAAATCGATCCAGACGACCCAGCAAATCCTTCACCGGCAAAAAACCATCGAATTCTTTAATAGAAAAGACGACATCCAACTGGCTAAACTGAAATTATGGGGGGCGCACAAATTTGGTATCACTGATAGTTCTGTGTTGGTTGCTGCAATTACCTTCCGGCTCACTTTTGGTTGGCATTTACAATTGGGACTTGGGGTTTGTTTGGAGTGCTAGAAAATAAATCGACAGTAGCAGCCCAGGTTTGACTTACAAAGTCCGGCTTGCGCATTCAAGTAGTCTGGGTAAATATAGAGAGGTTATAAACTAGAATCGAGGCAAAGTTAAGTAATCATTCAATCTCTTTGGGCCCTGACAATAAATTGCAGTGCGACAGGGACGACTATACAGCTCTGTTCACGTGCTACGTCTGTAGATTGAGATTAAAGCAATTCAGGTCTATTTATACCACTTTTCGGGTCATATTTGCATGTAGCTGCATGCCAACGAGCATAATTCGTAGAAGCGTATTGTCTGCGAGCTTTTACTCTTCTTCTGTGTCTTCTTCCGTAAATGTCTGACGTGTACCTATTGAAATGAATGACTGTGTTGACCTCGCAAATCAATACTAGCCCCGAGATAGAGCTGAGTTCTGGTAGCTCGTCTTCTCTTAGACAATAGAACTTTTTATTGGTGGTATTGGTGGTTTTGAAGTTTATCTTCGTGGAGACCTTATTGAGATCGCATATCACCACTGTCGTTTGCTCCTAGTCTGTCTCGTCCTAGTTCCACATTTCATAGTTCTTTCTCTGCTCAATGTACTTGCTACCCCTCGATTCTGCTATCTATCTCGAGATCTGTCTCACATTAGAGCTCTCTGCACCCGACAAAGAGCCATAGGAATCCATCTCATTGATTGCATCAATCCTCGTGGCTCTCACTTGGCATCTCAGTCGAACAGGCAAATCAATTTCCGAACTGTCACACACACACACATACACCTCGACTTCTCAAACTTGGGCTACATTGTCAAATCATCTAAGCAGTCATGAAACTTGAAGCAGGTAATCAATGAAATCCTTTCTATCCCCATGAAGCCACATATGCTAATGCTATTCCTACAAATGGCATAGATGAAAACGTCGTCGACGCTAGTCATAGCCCGATTCCAGATACAATCTCTCTCGCGGATGCTCGACAGGAGGCTGACACAAGGTCAGCTATCGTGTTTACTACATATCATACCTTAAACAATATCCTCCAGCATCATGAGGCAACAATTCATCGGCGATGGTTAAAGAAGGGTCGCCATCAAAAGCTCAAGATCCTGTTGGGTGCTTGGCCCAACATGCCAGCAATACATCACCCCGATTTGGAAGCTTTCTTCGGCCGAGATCCAGCTCTCAGATCTCGGAATACATACCTATGACCGCAAATCAATCAGCACGACCTGTTACAGACAAATATCCTGCTGTTGCTTCTAAATGCAAGAGGCCGATATCCTCCCTCCAATTTTGCCGCTATGGACTACGATACTACGCACGTGGGCCGAGTCACTGATGCCATTCAAGTCGTCTTTCTGGACCACCACGTGATGATCATGAGCGGCTTCACTGAGAATACCAAGAATTATGGAAATATTGTGGGCTTGGATGAGTACTCAGATACCTTCGGATGGATGGGTAGCAACGAGATATATCCTCCTGGGGAGGGCCTCCTTATACTGGAAATCCAGGCAGGGATTTTGAAGTTTCTCTACCAATGCTGTACCCAAATCTTGCACGATATTTCTGAATCAGATCTGATGAGCGACTCCCTCCCGCTGTCGCCAGAGCCGCCCCTTTACCCCGAAAGTGAGACGAGCGGGTTCGAGTCCTTGAGCGTGATGGCTTCAGAAGCACCTTACCGCGTCCCAGCACAACTCAATCTTATTCTTGTTGAGTCACTTCTCAGTGCAAGGGCCTCTGCTGCGGAAGACCATCTATGGGATTTACGCGAGGATCCTGACTATTTTTCCAGAACGCTTCTTGAGGCCAAGGACCATTACCAGGAGGCTTTGAAGGACAGTAATAGCAGCTTGCACCCCTCTTTGAGCCGTGATCTATCAGAAAGCCTATGGGCACAAGTCATTTCCTATGCCTTATCAAAGGCATACATTGAGCTGGAGTTGTTCACTGAGCTCAGCAGGCAAGCTAGGAACTTGGTATTGCTGCAACGGCAGTATGCTAGCGATGTGGATCCCTCAAAGGATCTACCGGATGAGTACAAAGAGGCACTTCTCAGATTTCGTTATTACCTTGGTCGTGGGGCGGAAGCGCCATTGTCCAGTCTTAAATCTGCAATTGTGGCCTCGCCCCCTTTACGGAGATACTTTTCTCGTCAACCATCACCCGACTCTAACTTGACAGATACCTATCGCGCTTCTCGGAAACTACTCATGAAGGATAAAAGTGCGCAGCAACTCTTACAGCTCCTTTACGTACTTTGTGAAGACAGCAATGCTCTCAGGGTCATCGGAATGTCCCACGTGACGGACTCAATTGAACGACTGCTTCAATCGGACAAGAAGGCGCAGCAACTGCTCTCTTCATATCTCACGACAGTCTTTGGTGACATCTCTATCATTTCTCAGTGTTTAAAACAATTGAACTCATATTACCCATGGGCCCGAGGCTTTGATGTTGAGACTCTTGAGCATGAGAATGAATTTGAAAAGGATTATGCAGAGAGAACAAAGTCATGGGACCTTATCATTGCCACAATTCACAATCAAAGTGTCTCGGGCCAAGCTGCGAGTCTCGGTGAACCTTCAGGTGACAAGTTCTTCTATCCCGTTGAAAAGCGCCGTACCAAAAAGATTGCGGATGCACTCCGGCGCGCAGAGCACAATTTGGATGATTTTTGGGCTTATCTTGATAACAAAATGTCAAACAAAGCCGACTATTTAAGTGACACGGCTTCACGAAGCCTCCTCTCCCAGTCACGGAACTTACTCCGTACTCCAGAGTGGATTGAAGAAGAAGACTCTTCGACTGGGAGAGGAGGCTTGGCACAACACGAATCGACCGGTTCGATACCAGGCCCAGAAGCTCTGTACCATCATTCTTCTGTGGTGAATTCATTCGAGCCAGCCCCACGAAAACAAAAGATCAAGACAAGAGGGCAACCAAATCCATATGTTCCTATCCCGGAAATGGAAACCTCTATTCAAGCCAATGATCCAGATTCTCAGCCCACCTTCTTTCTTGATCCACGAGCTCTCAAGGTCTTCCAGACTCTGTTTTTTAGCCCTGGTATGAAATCTCCGCCGGGCGAAGTCTCCTGGTGTGACTTTGTGTATGCTATGACCTCGGTGGGCTTTACAGCTATAAAGCTGTACGGTTCGGTCTGGCAGTTTCAGCAAAGTAAGCTGGAAGTTCACCAGAAAATCAACTTCCACGAACCTCACCCAGAGAGCAAGTTGACCTACAGAAATGCCCGTTTGTGCGGCCGCAGGCTGAAAAGAGCGTTTGGTTGGCATGGAGAAATGTTTGCTTTGACCCAGAAGTGTGTAAGAAGTGAGTGAGAAGTGAGTAAGATCTGAGTGAGAGAGACTTATCACTGAGGCGGTCATTCGACTATTGAGATAGTCTTTAGGATGGGGATGAAAGTGGATATGACTTGAATTAATCATCTATCATGTACAAATACGAAAATGAATTGAGAAATCACAAAGATTGCGAACAAAGATATGAATGAAGACGCACATAGAAATGACAATAAAACGATTTTAGAGATTTCACATCTCTTAGACCTGTAAGATATATATATTACCAAAGGCAACAATATCTCAATAAGTTTAAAACCCCTGGTCGGAGCTGATGGCCTATTCTGAGCTGCTTGGGTGTATTACATGGACTTTATTCCCTGTTCTAGTGACCTAGATCTATATTAAGTCCCGAGGAAGATTCACGTCCCCATTGAGCGGGGGGTTTCGCGCCGTTCGCGGGTTGTGAGAGACTGTTCCATATCAAAGAGATCAGACTGAAGGGCCATTTAATAGGTGGCAGACTTGGGTGTTACTTTTGCTATGACTCATTGACAATGAGGGATCAACCAAGCTCCCAGCAGGCCTTTCAGGCCTGGTCCTTAAGCCCACCGGGCTCTAGACGGGGGCTAGCAGGGCCCAATAAGCACCAAGCAATACAAAAATTCTAAGAAACGTGACTTTTGTGACTTTTAAGTTGCATTTTGATTAGATCACACTTCTAGCTTTTGGTCTAAGTTAATATTCTACTTTTTTAACTGATGTATTAGTCTAGGATTTGGTTTACAATTAGCGTATACACTTATAAGGTAGATGTCACTGTAAGATTTGATTTAATTTCTATATGATTAGTATGATCAGTAAAAGGGCTAGGATGCGGCGATTATAAGATCCTGGTTGAGCCACCTACATGAGCTACAGTAGGGGCCGTATGAGCTATCCACGAATTGGCTGTGGGTTGGGCCTTGGGCCCGCAAAGCTCTCGAGCGTGTGGGCCGTCTAGCCTACAAGCTAGACTTACCTCCTTCGTGGTCCATCCACCCAGTCATAAGCGTGGAACACCTCGAACCTAACCCACCCGGCGAGGACCTATGGCAAAGAACACCAGAACCAGCATAGCTACCACCTATCGGTCTAGACTCAGTGCAATCTATCTTAGACAAAAGAACCAGAAACGTCGGCCGACCACGAGTAGACGGTACAAGAGCAACCAAAACGGAGTACCGCGTACGCTACACTGGGCGTGGTCCAGTAAGCGACGTATAGGTCGACGCTAGGTAGGAACGTTACCACGACGTTTTTGAGGCCTATAAGAGGAGGGCACAAACACCTTAATCATAGCTTAGTTAGAAAAACTCCACGCTATACTTAATATCACTATCCTTACTTTATATGACCTCGTTTTATCTTCCTATATAACTCTCACATTATCTTAACTCTTACCTGATTCACGTACTATTATTCTTATATCCTCTTTCTAACACCTATATTTACCTTACCCTATTTTATAAACTTTCACTTTCTTCTTACCTTACTTCTACGTTACACCTCAATTACCTCGTACACTTCTAACTCTTTCACTCTCACTTTAATCACTAAATTGACTCTTGATTCTCCACTTCCTTATTGACTTTCACTACCTTGTAAATAATATAGCGCCAAAACGGTCTAATCCACGTTTAGATAAGAAAGCCAACGGTTAGAGGGCCAAATCGAACCTCTCAAACTCCGCCTACTAAGGACGAAGCCGTATACAGCGTGATCATCGCCAAATAAATTACTGAGGCGGAGAAACGCGCTTATGAGGAAGACTGCGAGCGACGGAAACAGGAACACACGGAGGCCGCATTACATAGCTCATCTCGGACCTAGACCCCGAACCGCTTAACGCTCCATTACTCCCACAGCAAGCTGCAGAAGCTCTATTAGCTAGGGACACAACGTTCGACTCTGACAGCAAATGGGTTCAACCACCTAACGGCGTGAAACTCTCCGACGAAAGTGTCTACCTCGTTACCAAGGTCATGACAGCAGTCGGCCTTGGGCCCGGACCCCGGGCCCATTTATCCATTTCGTGGGCGGGGCCAGAAGACTCGCATTACAAAGAGATCCAGCAGACTTTGTTTTGATGCTGAGGGGATATTCAAGTCGTGGAGACTCAAATCAGCTCTTTCATGTCCCAGGACTTTTGCAACCCTTGCTCATTTGTTTTGGAATGTCGGGACTTGATACAGCGATCGGTTGGATGTTTGGGGGCCGTGTGCCTTTGGGAAGCACAGACAAAGCGGATATTTTGTTTTCAAAAGTCTCGCAGAGGTTCGTAGTGATGCGAGAAACATAGGGAAGGAAATACGTAGGCACGACAGCTCCGCAGTATGCAGCGGTATACGGAGTATAACTATCAGGATTAAGATACCTCCGCTTTGAAGGGAGTGCCTGGATCCTGAGAGATGGTTTCGAATATTGAATGGATCTTAAAGGGGTTGTATGGGTGATGGTGCTTTGGATAAGTGATGACAGAGAAGATGATGATATTCTGTATCTAGAAGCAAGACTGAGAGAGTGACAAAGGAAGCAAGTAGGAATAGGATCCTATTTATACTGCCAAACATGATGCCATATCATGCATGTTTGATCTATATCATGCATAGATACCTATAGTATCCAACAATAAGCATTCTTGATTGCCCAATGTCTATTTGATGCACATTTCAGGGGGTTAGAGCCTATTTTTGGAAAAGATGAGACTTTGATTATTTTTTCTACAACTGCGTAGGGTTGAATTGAGAGTTCGACCCTAGATCACACTATTTCTGGCCGTATCTGATCAATTCAAGTTTCCACATTTCCCACGCGAGTCACGCACAACGTGGAAACGTGCGACCCCGTCGTTCGCCAATTGTGCAATAAGGCCGTATTCCCAGTCAAGATACCCCTGCATATCCTTGCGAGCGTTGCTTGTTCCTTCATAAGGCCGTTTATACACATCGATTGGCTGCGATAGCCACCGCGGTTCGGTCTCAAGGGTATGACCCGCAGCCACCCAGGCTAATGTTCCTCCCACCAGGTAATAAACTTCTCGCGAAACTGCACTTCGTGCTTCGTCAATGTTCATGGCAGCAACCTCACCATCGGGTGAGGTCAAGACGATAGGGCCGTCGCTGCCGATAGTCCGCAAATCTCGGGCAAGTTCAGGTCCGGAAACAAACCATGCGCCCGGAATGTGGCCTTTGCGGTAGGATGGACTACGGGCAAGATCGATCACAATTGCTCCCGTGAGGTTTTGCAGTTCGTCGATCGTGATGGCGCCAGCCTTTGAGGGATTCCATGAAGGGACTTTCGACAATGAAAAACCATCAGGCACTGGGGACCGGTCTTCAAAGACATACACCTCCCATCCGAGTTGTAAGAGCCAACTAGCTGTCATACGTGCTCGCACACCGTCCGTGTCGTATAAAACAATGCGAGATCCTCGAACACCAACCCATTCATCGGTGGCTTGTACCAATTGACCACCGGGAGCATTGGAGAAGCCGGGCGGGTGCCCAAGGGCGTACTCCTCCGGGTCTCTCACGTCTAATAGGTAAAGAGTTCGATATTCCGACTCCGCGGCAAATCGAGTAAGTTGATCGCCATCAACGAAAGGAACACCAACACGGTTTGCCCACGAGTGAGCGTATTGCCGTGCCCTTTTGGATGCCTCATCTGAAGGCCGTGGAACCCGCTCGGTCTTTTTCCTCTCTAGTTCCAAACCTTCCAATGTCCACCCTATCGTCCCATTTCGAAGCGCCACCACTTTGTTCGGAATTCCAGAGTTGATCAAAGACTGGGTTCCAACAATACTCCGCGTCCGACCTGCACAGTTGACGACGACTGTGGTCTCCGGGGAGGGTACAGCCTCGAAAAAGCGATACAGAAGTTCTCCTCCTGGACAGCTGCGGCCATGGGGAATGCTCATTGTGTTGTATTCTTCAAACCGTCTGGCATCCAAAACAACCACATCCCCCTCACCCTCCAGCATGTCCTTGATATCCCGCGCAGATAAGGATGGGGTATGATTTATGGATTCAACGAGCTCGCCAAACGCCTTCGATGGCACATTGACATCGCGATAGACTTCTCCAACGAGGGCATAGCCCGAAAGCCCACCTTTGAGGATCGCGACATCCCGGTACCCCAGGGCTAATATCCGACTGGTAGCTCGATCAACATAGCCTTCGCCATCGTCGTAGACGACAATCGGGGCCGTGAATCGAGGGACTAATGGAGGCAACTTTTTTTCAATCTCCGAGACTGGCACACTAAGTGCGAACAGAGGATGGGACTTGGAGTAGGGGCCTTCTTCGCGTACATCAAGGAGGGCAATTTCATGCTGATTTACCCAATGCTGGCGCAACTCGCGTGCCGTTATATATTTGGCCATCTTTTTGCCCAAATTCCAAGAAAGATGTTCTCTGGGGGAAATCAAGGGAAATAACGGCCAAGCGGAACTACACGAAATCTCGGTGGATATTTCTCGGAGGTTTTTGGGAAATAGACGAAATGCACTACAGCTAGCATTATTCACAGCAAGCAGTGTCTATTCTTTGCTACTCGAATTGATGCCTTCTATAAGGAAAGACATGAAATGCAGAAGTTGCTGTACCCCGCTCGAAGCTTTGACGCCATGTCGCAGGATGGGATGACCAATCGTGACCTGAACTTCCGATCTCGGTCCTGTCCTCAGTCCAAACTGACAATATGAATTCCACTCGACAGAGAAGCTCCTGTGAGACATGTCGTATGTCAAGCCATGCAATCTCGTAAATGAGTACTAACGATACATAGGCTCACGGAAGCTCAGATGCTCAGGTGAAAAGAGCGGCTGCTCTCGTTGCAGAGGCTTGAGATTGACATGTAAATTCAAAGACAAAGGAGCTCCTGGAAGGCCAAGAAAACGCGTCCGACAAGAGGAACAAGATCGCGCTGTGCCAAATGGACAGAACCAAATAGCATCCCCAACCTCGCATTTTCCATCTGCCCTATCTCAATCGGGTTTTTGCCCTGACCAAAATGCGGACGTGTTAATCGGAAACGGTGGACTTGACTCGCTACCATACGAGCTGCCTGGGAATTGTGGGCTTGGCCCCTCCCACTGGGAGATGCTCGAGAACGGCGATATTTGTTCTTTTCCCATTGAGTTACTACAGACATCATGCCAGAACGCAATGCACGACCCCGAAATACCCCCAATAGCCTCGGATGCATACATCTCTCCCATGTCGTTTTCACAATCTTGTAAATGCGACGAAGAGGTTTCCGATCTCGTCCGGAACCTGAGCCGCGCCAATATGTCGCACGATATCGTTCCGATGCTTCGCACAGGAGTATCACTCACAGAGAGACTATTGACCTGTCCTACTTGCTATGACGTATCCAAACCGCCTCGATTGACGGTTCAGAATGTGCTCCTCATTGGTCAACTCATGCTTGAAATAACATCCAGCTACCAAAAATACATCCGGTGGCTGAATGAACACTGTACTGAGCTCGATATTAGGAATGAAACGAGGACTGTGTATCTTGACTCCGGTCTCGGACTCCCATCAAAGCTGAATTTGGAAGTCAGTGGCGAGAAACTCCGAGATCTTGTCGTGCACGGCCTCCTGACAGATGCCGAGCGGCTCTTGATGCTTGGGAGACACTTTGCGCAACGACAACGTAATCGTCATATGGTCGGCCACGAAGCTTGCCCCAGTCCGGAAGGACGCTGTCGGCGAAAGGAGGATGCTGCTGATCACGATCCGCTAGATCTCTGTCCGCATGATCCGGTAGCACGGAAGCTGGTGCCTTGTTTCCGTATCGTCGATGAAGTCCGGGGAATGATCAAGCAAGTCGCAGATGCCATTGTGTGACACCGCTGTTTATGGATTCTTTCAAGATGTTCCTGAAGACCATAAAAGCCCAAGATGGTACATTTTCTGTCTAACTTTGATGGGCACAGTCTACATTCTATGAATTTCCAGCATCATAAACGAGTAGCCAATGGAATAATGCTCATTTCATCAAATTGTTCATCTAGCCCTTACACTTTGACTCCCCACTGTGGCAAACATTTATTTTAGGCTTTCCGCGAGACAAAGACAATTTCCCAAGTCGGCAAAAGCATGAAGATGTGATTTCGACATCTGCCTCTACAAGAGCGAGGGAAAGTTGCTTTTTTATGATGTTTCCCTCGGCGTGGCGACCCAAAAGTTGAAGGCACTCGTGATAACCATGCAAAGCCCAGACGTTATTTGGGTGTTGATGAGCACGTTTGGGTGTTGGGGAGAGCCCCAAATCTTCAGCGTACGCCTGTGCAGCCTGCTCAACTCTGCCCTGTTCCAATGAGAGGGCTGCATATGCATGCCGAGCTGGAAGCATCCACCCCCATGGCTCTGCAAAAGGCAGCTCATCTTCCAGATTAATTGCATCCAGTAATCTGCCGAATGCTTCGTCATAATCGCCTCTTCTATACCCGATTTCGCCGTCTAGCATAGCAGATGCTACTTTCAGAATGTCAGTTATTTTGTTAGGGAAGTCGAGGCGTGTGGAAGGAACAAGTTTCGAAGCAATTTTGAAGAGTTCTCGCTCTTTGTCGGCTTCCTCAAGCTGAGACGTCGCTGCATACGCAATGGCCTTTCCATAGTGTCTTATAACATTCGTGACACAATAAAGATTTTTATCTTTAAGGGGGTCGAGCCTCTTGAGTTCTTCCCACATTCCAAAGCGAATGAGCACATGGACTCGGACAGCTTTGAAAAATTCCATCCAGTTGGCAAGCGCAGGCGTTTCAACCCGAAGGATTTCCTCCGTGATAGTCGCCTCCATTCGGTCTGTCGCTGACAGTGCCGCCTTTGATTTTCCACCTAACATCGCAGCGTATATGAGGGAGTGATAGTCATGCAGGCGATAGTAGCTGTAGAATGTCAAGCCGCCATTCTGCTCAAAGTATTTGTCATCTGCGATGGTCGCTTTAAGATTGTATTCGACAGCGCGACGATAATCACCCACGAGAACATCGATATGGGCAGGCATGTGGAAGGTGTGGCCTGTATCGGGAAACATTTCGCGGATCATCTCCGCTGCCGGCAAAGCAGCCTCGGGAGTCGCGGACATTTCCATCAAGTGGATATACATGTGTGCGGGGCCTGGATGAAATTCGACGTTCGGCATCTTCAAGGCCCGATCCAGTAGATCTTTCACTTCGAATACCGGGGAGGACGCTATCGGGAGCCCCGTAGAGGCGTCGAATAGCTTTCGCGGAGCACAATTCATCAATGCATCGGCGAAGAGTGTGATGATGTCAAAGTCTTCGCGACCGAAGCTCTTGTACACCTCTCTCATAGAATCGGCGTACGCTTGGCTACATTCCGCAAGATCCCTACTTGGATCATCGTTGGGATAACGTTTCGCAAGAGCCTTGATGAGCGCTTGCTCCCAATCTGTCGCATTGCTTGCCCGTCTGAGAGCCTCTTGCGAAAATATGTAACACTGTTTGATCGCATTCAGTCGATCTTTTTCATCAAATAACGCCCATGTTTTGTTGTAATTAGACCCCGAGCAGAAGGATATCCCCCAATAGGCCATGGCGCAGTTCTCGTCGTGCGCAATTGCTTGCTTGTAGCAGGTGATTGCTTCATCATGATTAAAGCAATATGTCCAAACAAGTGCCCTGTCGAACCATATTTGTGCTTCCTGGGAATTGGTACTGACTTTGCGACTCAGTGTTCCCAAATCAAAGTAGGAATCGCTTGAAGCTTTTGGCGGTTGCATGAAGGGTTCCATCGCATAAACTGTATGAGTCAAATACCAACCTGGTCAGAAACTCCGCGAATAGATAATATCGAATCTAAGAGAGGACGAAGTTCCCACAAATTGGGAGGGGTATGTATGGAGTCGGAGGGTTTTCTTTAGCGGTTAGATCGCTCGGGTGTGATTCGACTCTCGGACCTTTTTGAATACGTGCTTGCCTCGGAGTGATTCAACCTTGGGGTAAGTCACAATCATATACGGAGTAGTGAGTAATAACTTGGAGGATGCTTTGAACAGAATGTATGGAATCTAGCACGTTCATAATTAGCGACCCGACCCTACACCTAGATCTGGCCTTAGTCAAAATTTTACACAACAGAGAAGATATTATACTTGTTAGTTGAATCTGGAGCTATATTACAATATTTTGAACGTTCCCTTTTTCACCATTCGAGTATTAGATGACTGCGATGCTGTAACCTATGATTGAACATCTCCTGGGTATCTTTGACGGAATAGCTGAGCATAAGAACATCGTTGCTTTCGAAATTCTCAAATATGAAGACAATTGAACATATTTTCATTGATTGCCAGTTGACCTGAGATAGTAGCTTCTTCTCGGTATTGTTCTACCGCTCGTAGGCTCCAGATCATAGCCATCAATGCTTTGCTAGGTCGATGAGATTTCTGTGACAGCCTCACTACACCCATCAAATGAAGCTCATGATTAGGATTGCTACGACGGGTTCTAACAATAGAAGTGGCTATGATTATACTCAAGACATTGAACGGAGTACGTTTCTCGGTCTGTTATTGTTGCGAGTTTACTTTCAATAAAACAATATCAAAAGTCACAGTTGACGATCCCAGTTAAAACGAACAGTCGTTACGAGATCTTCATGCCTTTGTTTGATCAATCTAAAACCCATTTGTTTGTTCTTTTCATTGAGAATTTTCTGGTAAATTCTAGTGGTTGATCGGTCTCATCATTATGCCTCTCAAATAAGTCGTTCTTTTGAATACCTGATAGCAGCTTCCAAAATCTAATATCATGTGTTTTGATAATCTGAAGCAACTGTCGAAATTTGTAATTCAGTAGCGGTTTTGGTGTTGATCACGCGAACGGGGAATCGAATGATGAGGTCCGAAATCTAGAGCTTCTGCATTCGCGAGCTATTAGTGCAATCTAGTGGAAGATCGACCGATCAAAATGGTTTCATGCATTAGAGAGCTGATTCTTAGTGGACGACAAATCCAGAGACACTCACTTTTTCCCTCGCTTTAGTCCTTAACCAGATTCCCTTGGGGTTGTTGGCCTGTGTCACTCGAAATATAAAGGTATATTTAGCACGAAGTATAGGATACTCAGGGAATGGTACAAGAGGCAAAACGCCTACATCGCCACAACATTATATATTAGCAATAAGACTTGACCTCAAAATTCAGAATCCCTGTTTCTTTGATATAAGTCTCTTTTCGTTAAATGAAAGATCTTGAGTTGTTGGGTGAGAATTTCAATGGGCCACCCCTTTTCGTGATCACTCAAGATGATAGTGTTAAAGCCTCTTCCGCGACCAAGACCCTGAATACTAATGATCTATAGGATATGCGCCCTTGGAGATACACAAATGGAGGTGGAAGAACCGCAAACTACTTTCTTTTTCTGTGTATAAAGTTATGGTTGATATATAAGGGATTTACACAATGTACCTTATACAATGTCGTCCTATGTAGAAGGTACATTTCTGTGTTTTATGTAGTACAGCCCAACAACCCAAAAGGGTTGGCCGTGCCTTGAGGCTAATATGAAAAATGTCGATCTTTATAAACCCCCATCTGTTTTTCATATATATATTGTACTACACTCCAGATTATTTCTGGTATCCCTGGTAACCTATTTTTACTCCAGCTTATTGGGATCATATTTTATTCATTTTTATATTTTGTATATTCTATTACATCACTTTGCACGAGCCATGGCATCTTTGACTCAACCTCCAGTCCTAATCCCTACAGAATGTAATATCCCGACTTACCATCAGGCCCCGGAGACTACTTTTGACCGTAAGTTTCTCGCGTCCTCCGCTCATGGTGCATGGTCCAGGGCCCTGGTGAGGCCGATAGGTGATGCACGACTAACTTCTGACTTGCACGTAGTGGATTGGGCGGACCTTGCCACTTTGGACCTGGCTCTGTTTGACCAACCTGGAGGTAAAGAGCAGTTAGCCAAGCAGCTTTTCGAAGCTATCCAGAAGATAGGTCAATAGTCAAGTTCCAACTTCCAGCCTCCATGCTTGCAATACTTATTTGGCTTTAGGCTTCTTCTACATTACCAACTTCGGCCTCTCACAGGAAGAGGTCGACCGTCAATTCTCTATTGGCGAGGCGATCTTCAAACTTCCAATCGAGGAAAAGCTCAAATTTCGTGCGGAGCTTGAGAAAGGTGCTTACAATGGCTACAAGCCAATAGGTCTCCAGGTAAGTTAGAAATTTGATAATATATGAGGAAATAAAATCATTGATATTTTATCCTAGGAAATCATTCCGGGTGTTCGTGACAAGACCGAGATTTATAACATCCCCAAATTTATCCCAGCCCTCAAGCTTCCCCAGCCTGATATTGTAAACCACAATCGTCCCGTCATCGAGAGCTTTGCACGCCATATCCATGACAAAATTGTGGGCAAACTTCTCACACTCTTCGCCATTATCCTTGAGCTACCAGAGGACTGTTTTCTTAAGGTGCATCGCTACGACGAGAAAAGCGACTGTCACTTACGATACATGAAGTATCACAGGCGTACCGACGAAGAAAACGAGAAGGCGAAAGGGATTTGGATCAAAGGTCATACTGACTTTGGGAGCTTAACGTTGCTATTCCGCCAACCCATTGCCGCGCTGCAAGTTCGCACCCCGGACGGCGAGTGGAAGTGGGTCAAGCCGTATCCGGAGAGCATCACAGTGAATCTCGCAGACTCGCTCGATTTCCTCACCAACGGCTTCCTCAAGAGCAGCATACACCGTGTCGTTGTGCCGCCGCCGGATCAGAGGAACGTAGATCGTCTGGGTGTTCTGTACTTTGTTCGACCAGAGGATAGCCTCGAGCTGCGACCGGTTGTGAGCGAAGTATTGCGTCGTCTGGGGTACAATCAGACATCTGAGAACAGTGCAGTTGGTATCACTGCTGGTGAGTGGGTGAAAGCGAGGGTGAGTAAGGGAATTGGCAGAGATTTTGCTCGGGGTGAAGTCGGCGATCAACCGATCATCGGGGGCGTGGTGACTAAATATTATGATTAGTTTATATGTAAATAGTCTTCTTGGTTTCTTTTGTGCTTTGGTATCTTTTGTATTCCAATATTCGATATGTGAATGAGTGATGACTTGAACAGCGTCTGTCTTTTTAAGGAAGGAACCTTAACTCACCATATTTTCGGGCTACATCCCAGGCTATTTCTCTTCTCTAGCCTTCTCAAATCACTTTGACTATATGGTCAAGGCAGACTAGGACAAAAATCAGAGCTAATGTAATGGGATAAGAACAAGAATGAACTGTATGGAATGAATTTGCTTATCCAAGACATACCATTTCCGGCCCAGAATGATCGTCAATACACCATAATCTGAATGTCCGAATGTCTCTGTTTGACGTGGCTGCATATAATGGCAGTGGAATAATTGGTGGACTCTTTAACTTGAATTATTGCCATTCCTTGGCCTACTAAGTCAGATCCTTCCTCTGTCGTACTCTGCCGATTAGATCTGGACACTACATGTTTGTCTTCGGGGCACAAAGATTACAATTGCTTTCTTGAAGTTTTGAAGTTTCACTTTGAGCTGAATACATAAACTTAAACTTATCACTACGACGAGAGTCTGAAAGCAGCTGAATAATACCGGTATCCGTAGCAACCATTTTATTTTTGTTAGCTTGACTCATCGCTCCCGGATATCCAGGCATAGCAACTTAGCATCTCAGTCCTAGTATGTAGGGTAGCTCTATACAGTAAGAAATGAAATACAGCCCTACTCAAAATTTCATGGGAACTCAAGCACAGGTGAGATCTTGTCGGCCCGGCAAACCCTAGGAAGAGTGATGCGCAACGCCCGAGGGGATAAGCTCGTTGCATCCCCATCCTGATCCAGTGTAAACACGAACTCTGGAAGACCCACATTATCATACACGATAGACTCGAGCAAAATCCAGGAGAAACACGATCCAACAAGGGGTCCATCATCTTCCGACACAGCAAGACTATAGATAACAGCCAAGAAAGAAATCTGATCTCGAGTTTGAAGACCGCTAGGCTGTAGACGAATGCTTATTGCAGAGCGATCATCCACTTTTTGCAACCCCATCAAAGTCTCAATCATATCGACCGAGTTGCTGGTCCATTCTGACACCACTAGGCCGGCCCCGTCATCGGCCGTTATGGTAATTGAGGAATTGGCGGAGCCTTCCGCGAGGGCATATGTACCCCCGAATCGTTCGAGAGCTTGGTTTCTGGCGACTTCGTCGAGTGTGGGAAGGATAATATCGGACACCATCTCCGAGATTCTCGATGTCATCAAGTGAGAGTTGTTACCAGCAACTAAGACAGTGATACCGGCATTGTGATCTGGTGAAAGGCCCATAAAACTAGAGTACAGTCCGATATCCCCAGCTTTGGTGTACAGATCGACCCGACGAGGTGTCAAAAATGTATAGATCTCCCAGGGGGCTCCCACAGAGTGTTTCAGGGAGGATGTGTGTGTTAATGGCTTCAACCACCGTCTTGTCACAGCAGGGTCAACAAGAGAACTGGAAAGAACGGCACGGCCGAATGTGGCCATATCTTTTGCGGAAGAGAAAATGCCTCCGGCACTAAGAATGCGTAAGCTCTTGTATAATTCAAACACTTGATTCGCACTCACGGAGCTTCTTCGCCAATTTGATAATCAAACCAACTGTCAGTCTCGTTTTGGGGAATCACGGCCAAGCTGGGGTCGGGGACTTGAAGACAGGACCGAGTCAAGTTGAGTGGTTTGATAATACGATCCATCAATATGTCTTCGAAGTTGGAATTCGCGATTGACTCCAATACATAACCAAGAATTTGATATCCTGCGTTCGAGTATACCGGTGTTTGTGAGGTCGAAGTCAATGGATCTAATAGGCCTTGTTAGGGGTATGTCTCAATTCAGCTCATTCACCCTACTCACGCGTTTTGAGGATGCCACGAAAAAATTCTTGAAAGTATTCCGTCTATTAGCCAAGCAACTCTAGTTACGATGTGAGCTGGCACAATTGACTTACCTTTCCTATCACACGGATACTCCTTTCCACAAGACAGCCCCTCTGCTTTTGGAAGCGAAGGGAATCCAATCGTTTGCAAGAGTTTCGACTGGAACCCGAGATCTCCAAATGCATCTAGGATATGAGTTCAGCCTTTTTTTTCATTTGATGCTCGCGGGTCATTTATGGTCATCGTACAGTCTCTTGCAAGACCGGCTTGATGACTAGCCAGTTCCCCGATAGTCACATCGCTCCATTGCAAATAATTAATTTTATCCTCCGCTTGCGCTGGGCTGTATTCTGTTCGCAATTCAGGAACGTATTTCGAAACGGGCTCGTGGAAGTACCGTGTTCCTTCAAAGGTCATGAAAAGAAACATAGTCCACAATTTTGAGATACTCCCAATGCGAAACATAGTATCTTCGTCTACCTCTTGAACACCCACAGACCCAACTGTGATTGGATGATCTGTGTGGTAGAAATCAAATACCGAATCGTCCTTGTCGGTGTTGTAAACTTGCACTGCAAACGATATGGAAGAGAGATTCCCATCTTCGATAGCTCTATTGAGCTTTAAGGTCAACTCTTCAGCTTTGTTGAGGAATGTTGGATCGTTTGACAGAGCAGTAGGCGCTGGGAACGCCGGCCCCAAAAGAGGACATCCTACTGTGTTGCTGGCTTCGACTGAGAGAGCCAGTGCTGATAACAACCATAGCGAGCGCATTATCAAGAGAAGTCAATAGACCGATAAATAAATTAGAATCCGAACATTTTTGGTCGGAAAATGCATCTTTATATGTAGGGACAAATTGATGTTACAGATGGAAAGAATGCGGATTACCGATTTCCCATCTAAGTTCAAGGGTCCTAGATTACAGCCCCGTCTAGGAAGACTCAGAGGACTCAGGGTTCAGAACCCCCTTTGAAGGCGACTTGATGCCTGAATGCCTGAATTTACAACGCCAGAAAACGTAAAATACCGGAATTTCTATTACAAGGGCCTAATAGTACCCTGGCTCCCTGTCGTGTTGATCAATTCACCCTACGCTTTACAGAGCGGTATAAGAGGCGGTGCTCAAGAAGACACCAAGGCATCAATTCCTACTTACGAAGGGGGTTTTGAACCCTGAGTCCTGTAAGCCTTGATACCCGTCAATCTTACGATCCATTGGACTGGATTATTCTGAAGTAGAACATAATAAGCTAGAGCTGGACTCAGACCTAACTTAGTTAAATCCCTGTGCCGCCCTGGTGATCAAGGCCGTGTACTCCTCGCACGCGCACTACTTGGTCGAACCAAGCCTAAGGACCTTGGCATATGGGATTTCTTTGTTTACTATTCAGGGGTCTGATCAAAGAACCTCCTTAGCATTCCAAGGAGATTCAATTGAAAAGCCAAAATACTTATCATATTACGACAAGTGCAGCCATCAATGGAATCGTGATATCTATGAGATCGTTCGCATATGTGGACCTCAGAAGTTAGAACCTCATACACTGTGTTTTTATCAAAGTGTCATTGTCACAAGACTTGATCTGGAATATCCTCCATAATTGAATGTTTCAAAGCAAAAGATATTATAATAATCGGCTCGAACACAGCAATAGGTAGATCTAATTGACATGGGGAATGTCACCAAAATACAAAAAAAATGGGGCTCAGCCGGGAATCGAACCCGGGACCTCGTCTATATTAGGTAACATTTGAAACCAGAGATTTCTCCCGAAAGACGAATTATCCCACTAAACCACTGAGCCGCATTACGATATTGTTGATTCCTCTGCTATTATAACCAACTTGCTAGACTACCAACCTAGGTAAGACAACTCCAGGACTGCTGCAGGTCATGGAATGCCAACATCCCTGCATCTTCCCGAATTCCAAATCTGAGAACCTAGGTTCCACTTTGCATACCGTCCTTATTCTTAAGATTAACAATCCCACATTTCGCGTTCTCACAGGACAAGTCGAGGTTTATACGTATTTGACGAATACAAGGAATGTAGGCTCTCAAAGGAGGATGATAAAGTGTAAGGTCTCTGAATTCGGGCCTATGGAATACAGAAGAAATCTTCATAGAATCTGGATACAAAATACAGGTAGGCTCAGGGAGGAATAGGATCATAGCGGCGAGCAGTGATTTGGGCAGTAAGCTGCATCACAGGCCAGTTGAAACTGTGATATTGCAAATACAGGTGCTGTAATGTATTGTGCATGCATACCGCGATCCTGCACCTCGAAATTATTTAATGATACCCCCAATCCAACTGAGAATATCTAAAGCGAACGGTTGCTCTTCAAAGCACCGGGGAAATCGTCACGAAGCGCCTCCCATAGCGGCTTCCCTCCCATCTGAAGGTCTTGGAATGCCGGACAAGTAAGATTGAGCAAAGGCACAGCAAGAATGTTAGTGACAAACTCCAACGGCTTAGCTACAGTCGAGTATATCCCAGCAAGCGCGTTGGGGCTGGCGAACTTCAGAACCTCAGTCACAAAGCACAGCAAGTTGTTATCCTTCAGCAGGCCAGCCAGGTTCAAGACACCACCTGTCAGATCGCCTAGGTCAACTCCAGCAAAACTGTCCACTTCACCCAAATTCCCTCCAATGCTGTAATCAAATCATTGTTAGGGACTGACCAATATGGGGGCCGGAACGGTCTCTTACCTTCCAAGTTCCGGATACTGCAATACGAAGCCAATTACATCCAGGTTGAGTGAGATGAGTCCGTAGTCAACAGGAGTCTTGTACCAGTTCTCGGGAATTCTTTCCCAGCCTTCACGGTACGTCAAATTGTGCTCCGGGCCGTAGATGCCATAGAAATTCCGGAGGTGACTCTTAGCTATGATGGGGTTAGCGAATCTAGCATAGTTAGGCATATATAACCATCTCTTATATCAACTTACTCAGTGTTCCCTCTGGGTTTTCGTGCGAGTGATTTCGGAAGAGCCGACCTGCGAAAATGTAGCCAGCGTTGCGCGCAATGAGTCCTGTCACAGGTCCGTAGTAGAAATCTGGATTTGTATGGATAGACTGCTCCATTCGGATTTTTGCGCGTTTAGCCATGAGCCTCATATCATAGGTACCGTCAGAGGACATATTATACCAAGTCATGAACTTGTCCATGTTCAGTTTCCAGCTGTTGCCTGTAACGTAGAGATCATCACGCGTGTTAGAAGAGTCTGCTTCGATAAAGTTATGCGAGCCAATAAGACCTTGGGGTTCGCCTGTAGGTAGTATTAGCAGTCGATCGGAGCTTGCAAGACCGTTAGAGGGTCTGACCGAGAACACCACCCAAGTTATTCAGGAGGTTGTTAACTCCAGTATCGGGGCCCCCGATTGAGAAGCTGGGCTCGAGGGACAGCACATCCCCCGTCCAGACGGTGCCCATGATCGCAAGGATAGTGGCCAAGTCAACACCCATACCATACACTGTAGGATAAAGATCAGAATGTGCCGTGTCATTAATTAGATGATGCACCCGTACCTTTGTTGATTGCCGCAATCACATTGACGAACTTTTTCATGCTTAGCTTGTGAGTTGATGCCATTTACACGGGAATAACCTACCGATACCACTCCACTCCGTGGGATATATCCATGATTTGCAAGTGCATTGAGACCTGGACAGGGGCCTCGCTGGTCACCATTCTCGAAGTTCGGGGGCTGGAATGCATGTTCGCCGGTAACTATAGTTTTTAGTTACAAATTTTGACACTGTGAGGGAAATTTTTGACATACTATCAACAGGCGATTTCATCAAACTAAAGAGAAACCTCTTTTCATGTTCCGTCTTCGGCTTGGCTTGTTCCTGGGCATTGGCATATGGGCAGGGCTTGTGCGTGCCTCGATGGCCTGAGTGGGCATTGTGGTCATTCATTGACCCCGGGAAAGCAGATACTAGGGTAAAAAGCGACAATAGCCAGAGCAATAGCCCTGAAGTAAAGATTCTCATAATGAATAAAGGTGTTGGCTCTCCACTCGAAATGCCAGTTTTCCCTTGGGGTCGAAGGAACGATAATGTACCAGGCGACTGAAAAACGCTGTTCCAGAAGACTGGAATAATGTATCCCTGAGATATCCCGCGGCAACTCTGTGCCTAGGTAACTCATAATGATACACACGCTGATAAATGATGATCATCTGAATGGCCCCCTATTCGCACATGAATACATTGTAGAATACACGTACGCAATTATGGCCCGGGGTTACATAGTAGAGACAATTCCCCAGCCGTACCACAGTTGTATCGCATAGTATATATCGTACTAGGTAAAGTAAACGGTCCACTTGATGTTGACATCCAGATTCAAGGCTCAGGATCAGGCTCTCTCGAATGATTCTATTGCAGATCCGTTTCGGCACCCCTGTAAAAAGTTGCAACATTACGGTGTAAGCCCCTGATCTCTGAATGCTAATCCGTGTAGCTATACTCCGTACCCTGTCCTGCAGTTTGTTTATGGACATATTTGTAAGCTGATGCTGATCAGGCCCGATTTGAGAAATGTTCGGCCGTCTTTCTCGTGAACATGATTCTTAGCGCACGCCTTTGCAGTGAAGTCGTATCTTATTGTGGTTCAACGAAAGCGCCGATCATGGCACTGGGCGTTTATGCTATGGGTCGAAGGATGTACTTTGTGTGCACATCGTAATATTGAAGCGATCTCTACCTCAAAATAGCAGGACTGTAAACCCACTTCGGATTTCGGATCTTTTCCGGAGGGTCTGAACAATGACAGGCTAGCAAATTTTCCGGAGCTCGCTTTTTCCCCCTCTTTGGTGAGAGTTAGGGTCAATTTATAGAACTGGAACACATAAAGCCGTTCCGGGTGGGGCGAGGTATCAAAGTCCCAATGTAGATCATCGGCACATCAAGCTCTTCGGCTTGCTTGGTGGACGCTCAGGCCGGTAATTGTGGGCCCTAGAGCGTCTCGGTTAGGGCCAAGAGGAATTCGGGAAGGGCTCGTATGGATGCAGATCCTCATTTTCTAAATCAGCCACCATGTCAGAGAGGCCAGCGAAGGGAACTTCACAATGGATCCCCGGGTAGGTCTAAAGTTACCGAATGTGTGGCTGTGTGTTATATGCAATTGGTATGTATCTATCGTGGTCATAGCAGAAGCTCAAGAAGCTGCGATCTATCTTCAGACGAAAATTTGAGGTCTGTCAGGACATTGAAACAGTTTCCAAATCACCTTTAGTGACAGATCTGTTCTTAGTTTAGTTTAGATACCCGTGTAACTGGGCAGTTCTTGGTGAGAACGAGCGCAGAAATTAATCCTGATGTGTTCATACGCTAAGATTCTCGAAAGGGGAGGCATATCAAACTCTTCTATTCCAGCCAAGAGATCGTCACGAATATCATAAGGTTACCCCGTAGAGTCTCCTGACTCCCTTGGTCAAATTCAGCCTAGAGCTCCTCTTATCGGTTTCTTGATCACGAATGCATCATATGCTGCAATCTTCACAATGCGTTTGTTCAGTACAGCAGCCCTCGTGGCCGCCTTGTTCGCAATGAACGTGATAGCAGGGATGGAACAGTTGGCGACCGTCTTACCCTCTTGCGCGGTAGGTAGTGCAATCTTTGTGCCCCTCTTTGACATGAACTCGATAAATTGACCTTTCGAAGCTGGATTGTATGGTGACTTCGGTATCACAATCGTCCTGCCAGGCAGCTGATCAAAAATGTCTATGCAATGATGCACATTACACAGCCATTCTTCAGGAGTGCGTTCTCGCTAGCTGCACCGTTCAACAGTCCCTAAGTGAGCCATTGCGTTTATCTTCCATCCCGAATTGGCCATCACTACTAACATACACAAGCTACAAAAAATGTCACGACATCGGCGTGCGGGGACCCTATCCGGGATCGCACAAATATTGTTTCTCATACAGGGGTTGCCGGTGGAGTTATAGCTCTTGTGGCTTTTATTCTTCGTATGACTGCTCGGTTGAGATGTTGTGGTGGTGTATTTGGCGCGGATGATTGGACAATGATGTTGACGATGGTATATACAAACTTTCTCGTTGCTCAAAGTCGGATTTCCTTCTCACTGAAAATCTTCAGGCCTTTCTCATTCCACTTTCAGCACTTTCAGTCGTTCGTATGATTCACTTTGCCGCCGGTTAAGCCTATATTCACTCAACTAACCGTTCTATTACAATATAGTGGCCAACGCAGGGTTGGGAAAGGACATGTGGACCCTTCCATCCAACAATATTACCCATATCCTCTATGTAAGTGACCTTAAGGTGTTACTTCATGCGCTTTTCAAGGCGAAGTGATCTAATTGCTCCAGGTTTACTTTTGGGATGAATTGATCTATCTGAGCATCCTCCCGCTGACCAAAATATCAATTTGTTGTTTCTACCTTCGTATCTTCCCTGATCGGAAGTTTCGGAATGCAACTTACATCACAATTTCATTGAACCTCTGCTACTGGATTGCCTTTATCTTGATTTCGGTGTTCCAGTGTCGGCCTATACCCGGAGCGTGGCACCGCTGGTATGAAGAGGAAAACTACAAGTGCAACCATATCAATGCACAGGGCTGGGCAGCAGCAGCTCTCAACATGGTGCTGGATATTATTGTCATGATACTTCCACTGCGCCAGCTTTACGGTCTAAACCTTTCCGTAAAACGGAAATCATACGTAATGTGCATGTTCAGCCTAGGCATCTTGTGTGTTGTCTCTATCTAGTCTGTGCCCAAATTTCAACTGCTAACTACTGAGCTTAGTGTCACCCTTGTGAGCATCCTGCGACTCAATTCACTTATTCATTTTGCCTCTACCACTAATCTAACGTGTGAGTCTTCCTTTCTTTCTTTTGTTTTTTCCTATTTTCTTTTTCTATATGTGCAAGTTTTTTAACGTCTATTAGGGGATTACGTGACTGTTGGGTATTGGAGTACTATCGAATGCGATGTTGGCGTTGTCTGTGCATGTCTCCCTGCCATTCGATCGTTACTACGCCGTGTATCTCCCGGGCTCTTTGGGGATACCGAGCACGCCAAATCATCATATGGTCTGAACTCCCATTCTCGTGGGACTGGATCTCAGTTCGCAGTGGTCCCGGTCCAGAGCAAGAGTGATGATCGCCAATTCTACCCACTTGGTGATATGGACAATTCTGATGAAGCCCGCCTACACCACAAACATCCGGTGTAGTCGAAAGCTAGAATGGCTGGGCGTTTCTTTACGTGGAGATATGTCTGTGTCTTCAATTTCTATTATTACATTCTACTAAAACGACTTTCTTATTCAATTTTTATATTAAGTATTTCACATGAAGAATCACCGTGTAACAAAAGTCTCCATGTACTTCTTCAAAAGACTACGTCGTAGTTTCCTTTCACGCAAATTCCATCCTATATGATATATGATACTCAGAGGCTTTAGTGAAACGGGGAAGCAAAATAGGGAGCAAGGGAACTTCGGCTTCCAGGCGCGGAGTACTCCGTACGGAGCACAGATGGCCTTAACGCCCGTTTCCACTGGAGAGTGGATCAATTACCCAGTGGCGTTTGAGTGTCACTTCCAGTACGGAGTATGGAGTATGGAGATAACCCACTTATTTTGCGTAATAACGCCCCTGAATCTGTAAACTGCACCTTGATTACGAAAAAAAAAAAAAAAGGAAGAAATAGAAACATTTGCCAAAGAAGACTAGCTTCACCATCGTCTAAAGCTATGATCGGCGTGTCAAATGGAGAAGACATCGACCCGAAATTCAGCATTAAAATATATCGACACAAGATATCAATATTGAAGATTCGTGAGGTTAAGACCAAACATTTGATTTTCAGTTTCCTTTGTGCAAGGAAACCATGTATTTACAAAACATAATAAACGCAATTCAACAGAGATTCACTATTCCCTGGGAGAACTTCTGTTTATCACAGCTGGATTGGTGTACGGGACACCCATGAGGCTAACTCAGAAAGTGGAAGCTCATGCCGATCACATCCACAAGGAATATAGCACAGTTAAAAATTGAATATATGCCCATCGTGCTTTTGCTTATAACAGAGCCCGAGCCAGGAGAATACTTGGCCATTCGTATACCCTAGGTCACTCCTTTTTGCCTTGAGGATTTCATTTTTTTGCTTGCTTTGGGAGTACTTGTCCTTTTTCTTTGCTATGCGCTTTACCACAGCAATTGGGTTATTGTCCGCCCTTTCAATTGTTTTGGCTAGGTATATCTCCAGCTTCCTAGAGCCCACCCGGATCTTGATGACACATACTGACGCCGTAATATAGTGAGAGACCGGATCATCGATATCATGATACGCACAAGCGGTCTTCAGATAACGAGAACTTCATCAAGTATGATTATGTCGTCGTTGGCTCTGGTGCTGGAGGTGGCCCTGTAGCAGCACGATTAGCAATTGCAGGCTACAAGGTGCTTCTTCTGGAAGCAGGAGATGACCAGGGAAATGCAACCAAGCAAATCGTCCCCGCTCTACAGCTCCAGTCTACTGAATATGAGCCGATGAGATGGGATTATTTCGTGAATCATTACTCGAACCAAACCCGCCAGAAAGAAGACACCAAGATGACTTACCGGACACCTTCCGGTGACCTCCACGTTGGGAGTCATGCACCCAATGGCTCCGAGCCCTTAGGAATTTTATATCCTCGAGCAGGTACTTTGGGTGGATGCACTGCTCACAATGCCATGATGTGAGCAATATCCTCTCCCCCGTATTCTTCGAACCTAGGTTGCCATCATATACTTACTGATGTTTTGATAGCACCATCTACCCGTATGAGAATGACTGGGAGCAGCTGGCGAGCCTCACTGGCAATGATTCGTGGTCTGCCTCGAATATGCGTCAGTACTTCAAGAGACTAGAGCGCAACCGATATCTCCCCAGCAGTTTGCTAGGCCACGGATTCGATGGATGGCTTACAACGAGTCTTACAGACTTGCGTCTAGTCATTGAAGATCAAAAGCTTCTGTCCTTAATCCTGGCCGGTGCGGCCGCCGCAGGTCAAACACTGTTGGGCAAACTGATCACCACCGTTGCAGGTCTTGCAGGAATTCTGCTGCGTGACCTGAACAACCCGCTCCCCTTGCGCGACTACGAGGAGGGACCATACCAAGTCCCTCTTGCTGTGGACGTTCCTGAGTACAAACGCACAGGTCCTCGAGAATTTCTAATGAAGACAGTCAACGCTGTGAACTCGGATGGTTCGCGAAAATATCACCTTGATATTCAGCTGAACACTCTGGTAACTAAGCTCCGATTCGATACTACCGGGGCCAAGCCACGGGCTATCGGGGTTGACTACCTACGGGGACAGAGCCTTTACCGCGCGGACCCCCGGGCTTCCCAGACTTCTTCTAGTGGGAAACCAGGGAGTGTGAATGCTGCTCGTGAGGTTATTCTGTCGGCAGGCTCGTTCAACACTCCCCAGCTGCTGAAGCTGAGTGGTATTGGCCCAAAGGAGGAGTTATCCAAACTTGGAATTTCAACCTTGGTGAATCTCCCCGGTGTTGGTCGTAATCTTCAGGACCGGTACGAGATGGGCACAGTGGGCAAGTCACCCACCGATTTCGTCCTCACATCCAAGTGTACCTTTATGTATTCCCTTCCCGACCCCTGTCTGGAACAATACGAAAATGATCCATTCTTCAAAGGTACCTATACCACTAATGGAATCGCCATTGCTATAATTCGCAAGTCGTCCGTCGCGGAAGATGAGCCTGACCTATTAATTTCGGGAGCGCCCGTCAACTTCCCCGGTTACTATCCTAACTACTCTTACGATGGTCTCAAAGATTCCCAGCACTGGACCTGGATCACGTTGAAGTCGCGCTCCCGCAACAATGCTGGTACAGTTGAGCTGCGATCTACCGACCCGCGTGATATGCCCATCATCAACTTCAACTCGTTCGATACCGGAGTTACTACAGATGGTGCAGATGAAAAGGACCTACACGCTGTGTTTGAAGCAATGCAATTCTCTCGCACAATCTTTGATGACCTTATTCCCCTCGATGGCGGGTTTGAAGAGGTCTGGCCAGGACCTAATGTCACTACGGAGAGTGAGATGAAAGACTTCATCAAGCAAGAGGCATGGGGCCATCATGCCTGCTGCACTGCTGCTATTGGAGATGATACGGATCCTCAGGCTGTCCTGGATGCTGACTTCCGTGTTCGTGGTGTTGATGGGCTGCGTGTTGTGGATGCTTCGGTCTTTCCCAAGATTCCTGGGTACTACATCGCGCTGCCGATTTATATGATTAGTGAGAAGGCCGCCGAAGTCATCATTGCTGATGCTGTATAATACTTGCGTTCATACCTAATACCTTGCTTGCAATCTTCATGCCTTTTACTGTCTTTTCTTTCATTTTGATTATCTTCGCTATTCTTGTGAGCATGAATTCTTTGTCTGGCCATTTCTGAGAAATTGCTGGAAGGACTCGGCTTCAAACATTGCCCGTGTCAAGCTACAAGTTACTCTTCTTGTGTGGCCAACCCAACTGATGATTATTTTTTGCTCACAGAATTATCTATCTACTGTAGAAGAGAATTGAAACTTCATAATAGTGAGGTGATTTCTAAATAAGACTAGTGGATGCAAATAATCAAACTTATATAGCTCATGCAGCTGTGGCCACAGCAACTGGCTCACGAACAATAGGCTCCATCACGAATCGCATCTGCGGATGTGTCGCAGTCGACCAAGTTACAATCTTCGTGATCTTCATTATTCCCCTAGGAAAGGACGATAGGACAAGACAAGCCATTGATACACCCAACCGTGTACCAAGGAGCTCTTGATACTCGACGCTACCATGTTCAAACTCATAATAATCCTGCCGTCCTGCTACCAACCACTCAATGCCGAGTCTAGGGTATAGCTCATAGCGTATATACGGTCCTGTTTGTTCATCTGTTATATCGACAAACGCAACATGTCTCAAGGTGTCTATGTTATAATCAACCGAATATTGAGCCCGGGCGGCCTCACACCAATAAGGACCGTCTGATCTGAAAATTCTCTCCACAACGAGAATGCCACGACCAACATGATGCTCATATTCATTAACCTGGTACGAATTTGGCCCTGGGTCTCTTCGGAGATATGTGTAATGGTAGTTTTTACCGCCACGAGCAATATTCATCGATGAGACACCGCCACCTCTGAGTGCTAGGTGCTCAAACTGGTAGTTAGAATCCTCGATTACCCAAGGGTATGGCTGTGCATCGTCAATCATCTCTTCTAGAGTCAATGTAGCTGGTCGAACGTTGCACCCTGGCGCGTCAGGATCGTCTATCCATGCTTGGTATTTTGCTCCTTTGATTCGGTACCTGTAGACCTCCCGCGAGCTTGGTGGCACGCCAAGTTTCCGTTTCTGCTGTTCAATATCGACGAAAACATCACTGGATAGGCGCCTGCGCTTGGTGCTGCTACTGCTGCCGTCGGATCCATGAAGGTCTCTGTATTCAGCATCAGCTCGATCTTGACTCTCTAGGGAACGCCGGCGCCTCCTGTCACTAGAATGACTCGCAAATGATCGGATGTGACGTTCCGATCCTTCGTGCTCGGTCTCATCATTGTACATTTCTTCGTCGATTGGTTCGAAATTAAAGCTGTCCTCGTCACCTGCATTATAGCCCTCTTCGTCAGTGCTAGGCATCCTCACTGGCAAAGAACTTCGTTCTGATTCTGGGAACGAAGCATACTGGGACTCATCAAGGTTAGCATCACTCATCTCGGGAGTAATGCCTGTGTGTGAATCTTTTGTTAAGATGGAATAAAAGTCATCATCAGATGAACTCTTCTTGGAATTGGTGTCACTTAGATTGAGCGGGCAGTCTGCGGGATATATTATTGAGGGGGACGATGTTTTATCGCCGGACGAAGGCTCATGTTTGAGATCTTCCTCGCTCATTGGGGGGGTGTTTCCTGTGTGAGAAAGCTCAGGAGATGGGAGAAACTCGCCGGCGAGGGGGGCAGCAGAAGAATCATCGTCGCTATACTCTTCCGCTTTGGCTTCTACATGTCTTTTGTCCCCGACAATATCCTTCTTGTCCTCAACGATGTTTTTCTTTTCCTCGATGATGTTCTTTTTGTCCTCGATGATGTTCTTCTCGTCCTCAACGATATCCTTTTTGTCCTCGATGACATTGCTCTTGACCCCGACTTTACGTCTTAATGGCCTGATCACATCCACGAGTTCTATAATCTCTTGGTCCTCATATTCCATACTGTCTTCATCCTCGACCTCCATACTGGCTTTATCCCTGTCTTCTTTCTCTTCACCTTCATCACGGGGTTGGGGCTCAGCTGGCGCTGGAAGTTTTCCCACATTCTTAGGAAGTGGTTGGCGCAGGGCTTGCTTTGGTGCTTTTGCCCGCGGGCGGTTAGGCCGGCTCCCCCGTCGGCGGTTAGGTTGGACCGGAGAGTCACTGTCGTCACAATTGCAATGGCATCTTGGAACACACCGCAACGCGTGATGAAATCTGCTGGGCATTTTACTGGTTTTCGAATAAATAAATCAAATCAAGTCAGATATACTTTGGTAGTGATCTTGGAATGAAGACCGAGAGACAAGCAGAGGGGAGTTAAATAGGTGGCTTTACACATTTGAATGATCTTTGTTGGAGCTATTATTATCCTTATCCTGACCAAGCACAAAATTATAGAAACAAGGTCATAAAAAAAGACACAAAAGGGTAAACAATTGACAATATCCCAAGGTGGGTGCCAAACATAGCCCCAGAAGACAAAGAAACTCGTGGTGATAACCTTGAGAAAACAATGAGAAGAATCTGTCAAGGACAATGGCATGTTGGATCAACTTGAAGACAGTAGGCTTGAAAAATTGAGAAATTCCAAGAATAGAAGACAAAGAACTTGACTTGAGGTTCCTCGAGGGATAATTTACTTCAATCGCATTTAGGCTGTTCAGGGGGCGTTTCAGGGGGAATTATACAAATTCGATAGTCTTGATACTTTCAATATAATGATCTCATGTATTTTATACAACCCATTCTATCATCATCGTCAAACATGGTATATACAGTTGGCAACGCTCAACAAATCAAATCTATATTTTATGCATGCTCCTTCTGGTCAATCTGACGCTTCTCCTCGGACTGCATCCACATGTCCACCTCAGCAGCCTCACCCTGGGGCAGGTGACGAGCCATGGATACAATATCCCATGGGGTTGCGGCATCGCGGAAGACATGGTTCAAAGCCTCCAGGTTGCGGTTCATCGTCTCGGGATAGAAGAAGTAAACCGAGACTGGGATGCAGGCAGAGATGACAGCGTACACAATGTAGTACCTATAGCCAATGGTATCGAGGGCGACGGGAGTGATCATGACAACCACAAAGTTCCACAGCCAGTGGTTCGCAGTCGAGACGGCGGACATGGCGACACGGAGACGCATAGGAGCGACCTCGGTACAGTAGAGGAAGTTACCGCCAAGGAAACCGATAGGATAGAAGGAATTGAAAAGGAAGATGAAGACAGCCGAAACAATCGATGCGGTGTGGTTGTCTTTGAAGCTGTTGGTGATGGTGAGGACCGTCATGCAGACACTCATGCCAGTACCGCTGATGATGAAAATCTTTCGGCGTCCGAGTCGGTCGATAGCGAAGAAGGAGATGAAGCTGCAGATGAACTTCCAGGTCATGGCACATGAAGACAGAATGCGAGCTAGATCACTGCTCATGTTGAGGTTCTCTTCGAAGATTGTGGACACGTATGTCGAGATCAGGTTTCCACCACACATTTGCTGGAAGAATTGCAGTGCAACACACAGACAGAACCGGTAGAGAAGACGCTCGTCGTCGGGCTTGCTGAAGTTGAAAATATCCATGAGCGAGGTGCTGTCGACAGTGCTCTCAAGGGAGGTCTCGATGCCAGCGATTTCGGTGCGGACGGCCTCGTCATCGTCAGACAGACCCTTGTAGGCAGCTAAACTGCTGGTAGCCTCCTCGATCCGGCCAACTCGCACGAGCCATCGAGGAGACTCGGGGAGCAAGAAGACTGAAGCGATGACAACGAGGGAGAAGAAGAAGGAAATGGCCAAGGGAATACGCCACTGCAATGCTCCATCGATTTTGCTCAACCCAAAATCAATCCAGTTACAGAGAACATAACCCAGACAGATACAGATACCATCCACAACGACGTGTTGACCACGATGTTTGGCTGACGTGCACTCGGACTGCCAGACGGGAACGGCAACACTCAATTGACCGACACCAACACCGAGGACGATACGGCCGACAACGAATTGTGGCAAGCCATAAGCCGCAGTCTGCAGCAATTGACCAACGATGGTAAGAATAGCACCCAAGAAGATGGTCTTGCGGCGACCGAGCCGGTCACCCAGGAATGTACACGACAAGGCTCCCAATAGAGCACCGAGCTGGAAGGATCCGATCACGGCACCCTTGCTTGTAGAGTGTTGTGCGCGCTCGGCACCCTTTGTGTTGATTGTGTCGATTTCAGGGAAGATGCCCACCCAGCTCTGCAATGTGGCCAAAGGGCCCAAGCCGGACTGGTTATAACCGAAGAGGATGAAGGCTGGTGCTACAATGAGCAGCGCCTGCGCTATGCTCAGCGCTTTTCCTCGGAATAATGTGACCATGTTGAGCGTGTGTATATAGAAGGTCACTCTGAGGGATGAGGGAAACAGAGAAGAAGTCCCAGGAGACCGGGCCCTCGATGGGTTTATAGCCTCCGGTCAGGGCTTCTCGTGGAGACCCCGCAATAGAAAAAATTAAAATTCTGTGCCTGTGGGATGGAGAATTCCACAGTGGATAGGCGACTATAGAACTATCCACTGTGGTGGCACCAATTTAGTCAAATTTCGAAAATCTCGACTGTGACTCGACCATATCGCCGACTCCACGGGGTAGCTTTGGTCCCGGTGTGCCAGAATGCCGTACCTTCGCCACACCCGAAGCAGAAGCGCTTAGATCCACGGTCATCAGGGCCGAAAATCGCAGTCAAGTGGCGGCAGGATCTGGGCTGACCAAGGCTGATTGGATGAAATGCCGAATGATAATATATACCCGAGGCCAGGTATCCGATCCTCCCCCATGATTCCGGAGTTTGTATGAAGCATCTGGATGCGTATAATGAATTATAATACCTAGGAAGTCCTTTTCAGGAAAAAAATTATTTTCCGAACAAATGCCGGCCATAAAAATCTCCAGTTGAGGTCCTGAGGTCGCTACTCGGGCCGGTCTCGGCATTCTAAAACTCGGGTGCGTAAAAAGGCTTGAGCTAGCCTTAAAGGCTTAAGGCTTGTCCACTGCCAAGTGCCAAGACATAGTAAATTCAACTTCGGATTTTGACCTGGGGTCTTCGAATTTTCCCACTTTTTTCTCTCCGGATTTGCCCGTGGGGTAAATTCATTCTAGAGCTGGTACATATACGAAAAAGAAAAGGGAAGTCTTGATATCCTCGGCTATATAGGTGGCCACCTACGTTGTTCCCTTGTTCCCTTATACTTTGGTGGACACCTTCCTTTCTCCGAGAGATGTCCGAAGCATGAGAGAGAATGGAAGACCTCCACACCGTAGACGTATTCGGCTCACCCGGAGTCAGAAAATTCAACCTTTCTTTTTGCGGGGTCTAGCAGATGCTTCAAGATAAGGTGGAAAACCTGACCAATCAATCTTTGGTAGAATTAAGAGATCTGTCAGCGCATTTTGCTATGGAAAGAATATGTTTGTATCCACACAGCCTGGGGTTTTTGAAAATTCACCCTGAAGGTGGATGGGATATTTCTGGCCCTCTCTTGTACTGACACGCTTAGCAACACGTTCCACCTCCTTTCCCTTCGATCATGTGCCTTATCAGTCAGATCCTTCACCCAGATCATATTCCAAAATTCTTATTCACTCAGCATATTATGCACATTGTATTATGTGCACATATGTGCACAAATAGATCAACGATATGAATTAGCTTGATCCGGAGGACAAGTTCCCGGTTCATATGATTAATCTAATTAGACTAAATGATGGCTATATTAAGCGCGTCATACCCATTTTCATCCGTGTGACCCAGTTTTCCCGCTGCTAGCCGACAGGGTATATGTGTTGGGCACTTGGCACAATTATGGAGCTTTAGGGGTTCGGATTCTCTCCACGATTCGATATGTTTCATTTCATTTCGCTTCGACAAGTAAATATACCATGGCCCTAATGCTTTGACCTAGGTATGAACGAACGCCAGTCTTCCTATTCTTGGGAAGCTAAGTATACTCTGTAGTCCAAACTATGATCAAACTCAAAAGCTAATCGCCATCCGGGGACCACCTGGGCACCCCTGGGGTCTCAAGTAAACTTCCAAGGTTGGAGCTTGTTCATTCTGTATGGAGTTACCCCGAGTAACACACGTGGCCCGGGTAAATATAAGGGAGCTAGAACTACCCAAGACTATCCAGGTCGGCAGGAAACGGACCTCGGGAAGAGATGAAATCCTCATGGCAGGCCAGACTTGCAGGGTCCAATCCTTCATTCTCCGGTCATATGACGTACCTTGTAAGTAATGATTTTCAAGTACAGTCTGCTCTTTTCCGGAGACTTGACCGTGGAACAGTGTCCTGTCGGACAAGATGGGCTGACCTGTAATCTGACAGGGGTAGTGGATTGGAACTTGGAAGAGCCCAGGGTGGGTAGGGTCTGAATCGAACCTTCTCGGTATCATTCCCAATTCTACTGGCTATACCCCGTACATGTCTTGGCTTGACGATGATAATGGCCTGGAGTGGTAGCACCATTGGGGATATCGCTTTGGTTGCTTTCAAGGTTGGAGCTGGGCATTCTTGAAAGCCCTACTACGGGCGACTATTGGGACCACGATTCATAATTCTGTTATTGGTTAATATTGCCAGGTAGTATTCAGATCCACTCTCATTTTACAAGAACTATTTATGTACAACGTAGTTATCAAATTGAAGCATAAATTGAAGTTCATGGAATAGAAGTACACCGAATTGTATTACATCAAATCAGAGTATATAAAATCAAAGCATAAATTCAATTTCATTATATTGGAGTTCATAAGATTGAAGTACCAGGCCCTATGTATGGCTCAATTCCCCAAGGGGTGATTGGGGCCGCACGGGTTGAATGCAAAAAGTACATTTTCTATGGGATACACATACAAAAGGTACTTTGTAAATATATACATATCTTGCCTATATCGTTATACTTCTGTCGAGCAGACATAGACTTCAAATAATAAAGCCTATTCATTGTAGTATAATAGAACTCAACCAGAAATAAGATAGGGGGTTCGAAGAAAAGCTTATAGAAGAATTTGTATGTATTACACTTCTGATAGCGGTTCTTCATTTTTCTTTTTTGAATAACAACAACAGGATCCAGTGATTAAATCTATATTTCTAGATTTAAGTAAGTAGTTTCTTAACATCGATATATCTTCCTACAATTGAATAAGATGGTCGAGAGATGAATGTACATATATATGTAAATTAAAGTACCTTTGTATACTCTAGCTATCTCTAATTAGCTTTGTCTAGCTCAGTCATAGATATAAACTTAACTGCACTACTAGTAACATCTGAGCAATTAGATATGGGCTAACCGCTGGTGTATGGGCAGTTGATAACAGAGAAGATGATGATATTCTCTATCTAGAAGCAAGACTGAGAGAGAGAGAAGAAGAAGAAGAAAGCAAGTATGAATAGGATACTGAGATCCTATTTATACTGCCAAACATAATGGCATATCAAACATGTTTGATCTATATGCCTGGATGCCTATGGCATCCGACAGCAGTGTACTATTCTGTGCAACCAGCTTCATCATGTTATCTCGTAGGCTCTGACCGCCCACTTCATCGCTACTATCGCCACATGTTTGGATTATCAGTATAAGATAATAAGATAATGACGCCCATGCGAGCTGTGAAAAGACTGAATCCAGACTTAAAGAAACTTGCAGATTGATCTTTGTACGTCATGTTCAATCAAATTTAACTTGTAGTGAAGCTTGCTTGCAGATGTTGATTTCATTTTGTCGTCTTTCCATGAGCGAGAAAACAGGCAGAATAAAGGGCGGTCTGGAACCGACGAATTGCAGTCTGTCTACTGAATGACCTCACCTTGACAACTAATTCCCTGCTCGTCTTTGCTCTGCCACCAAAATCACGCTGTCGCAAATCACAATGGACACGCAAGAAGATATTGTACCGACCGAATCTCTGTTTCGCCCCGCAAAAAAGCGCAAGTTCATGCGACGACGTCCCGAGGTCCCGGACACCGAAGAAGCCGATAATCAGAATGACAATCCTGACGAATCACGAGCCCTAGGGAGCAATAATCTTCGGCGTCCACGCGCCTTACGGAAAGGCGGTATTGGGTTCTCTACCGCGTCACGACTTGGAGATGATCAGGGCCAGCAACTAGCGCTAGTACCAGCGGCCGGAGAAATTGAGGATGAGAAGATGCGAGCAATGAACGAACGTTTCACGGGATATACCGGTCAGACAGTTGATGTTGACAAGCACATGTACGATGGCTTTCCGATAGGTGATCCTCCAGTTCGATTGATATAGACTAACGAGATAAGGATGGCATTCATAGATTCCGAGATGGCTAAGCGCTACCAGCCCGAATCAAAGCGGGACCAGTCAGGTTCTATCCAACAAAACCAAGAAGAAGTCGCTGCGGGGCTGTCGCTACCTGGACACCAGACACGCGAGCCTGCGTCGCTAGGCAAACTCCATGAAATTGATCTCGGCCATGAAGCCACATTGCGAAACATTGCGCGGACAGAAGCTGCGACGCGGGAAATGGCCGAGAAAGGAAAATTGTCGCTATCAGCGGGTCATGCTGCTCCAGAAACGGGTCGTCCTGGTCCAGACAGCAAGTCATGGCGCAATCGCAAACAGAGGACAGAGGCAGACATCGCCAGAGATCGTCTTGTCGAAGAGGTACTACGTGAGAGCAAATGTGGGTCGTATTCCGAAGTGAAATACTACTGGATTTTTGTCTTTGCTAACACTGTTGTTATAGTGGAAATTTATGATGAACACGAGGAGGAGATACAACTCGATGATCAACAGGCTGCTGATGACCGAGTTGCTGAGCAATTTAGACGAGACTTTATGGATGCCATGCAGACTCGTCGTCGAACTCGACCCACAGCAAAACCGGCAGCCAATGTTGAGGTGCCTCGGGGTCCGAAGCTTGGAGGCAGTCGCAGTGCAAGGGCTGCAATGCGGGAGAAGGAAGCACAAGCGGGCAGGAAATGACTGTCGTTCTCATCTAACACGGGAAGTTTCCTTTAATATGGACTTTATGTACTTGAGCCTCTACGGCATGTGTTTTTAATTGATATGCATACGATACCATAATGAATTTGCGCCAATGCTATTTCTGACTGCCTTTTCAAAGAACTGCTACGCCAAAAGCTTCGTTTGACCGCAGGTGATCAGCGATTTGCGGCCAATTGTCTTTATCCTTCTGATTTCCAGATACTAAGGAGCAAAGATATTGTCGTATTACCTCAAGTGTAAGCTCTATAGTATCTTCTTGGGCTGATTGGATATTCTTTCCATTCAAGTCCTGCGTTGTCAGGGACAAAGGACGTTTAACTAGGTGACTATTTTTGGTATATATATATTTAGATACATGCTGGGTTATTCATGCAGATACTTCATTGTCAGTACACTCAATGACTATTCTTGCCCAGACGCCGAAGGAAATATAATACACATATGTAGAAACCGAAACACATATACAAAAAAGAAGTGAGAAAAAGGAGGGAGGGGAATGATACCTTGTTTGTTGGGCGTTGGCAGTATTTTGTTCGGTATAGATCCTTCATTTTGCTTCATTTGGGTTATACTTAGGTACACCACGCCGTCATCTTATTTTTGCTTTTTGATACGGTCTTCTCTTTCAATAAGCTCTGCACATCCCTAATACCACTCATCAAAAGAATATAAAGTGAAGGATGACCACATATATTTACCTGAAGCATACCCATCTAGGTAGGACGGTACCTGATTAGTCATCAACACAGTTCACGGTGACTAAGCCTGATCTTGAACTGCCTGTTTGGGAGCCAAAGCCAAAGCCAAAGCTACACCCGCACCAAAAAGACCCGCCCTTCTCCTGCCTCCGACCAGCCCCTCTGATTGTCCGTCTGATACGCATGGTCACGTTTTGATTTGTCTTTAAGCGATCGTATCCAAGATATCCACATAACCCTTGTGACAACTACGACCCCTTTCCCGGATATACCTGGACAACTTTGACGATGAACCCTTCCAACCCACCTCAAGCTGCTGAGTATGGTGGAGGTGTGTGACCCCCTTCCAATTGCGCTCGCCGCTGCGACCGCAAATCACTCTTGGCTACTATTCATTGCGCAATATACTGATCATGGTATGATTATAGATGAGGTGTCGGCCATTGTCCTAGACCCGGGATATTCAACCACTCGCGCGGGCTTTGCCGGTGAAGATGCTCCCAAGTCATTGATCCCAACCTACTATGGAAAATACAACGCGGACGGCCAAGAGAAGCTCGTATTTGGCGACGACGTATTCGTTACCCCGCGACCCGGTCTGTCCATCCACAACCCGATCGGCAAGGATGGAATCGTCGAGGATTGGGATATGGCAGAGAGAGTGTGGGAACACTCATTTATGTCGCGACTCACCGGCACGAAAGCGGGCAACCCATTCCAGAACGGACTAAACGACGTTTCCGCAGACGAACTCCCCACAGAAATGGAGGTGGAGTCAGAGGAGAAGCCTTTGTCGGATAGTCCGTTGTTGATGACGGAGCCTGGATGGAACCCAGCAAAGGCACGTGAAAAGACCATTGAAATCGCAATGGAGAAATGGGATACTCCGGCCTTCTATCTCGCTCGCACCGGTGTTCTTGCTGCGTATGTACCACCATTAACCATGATAGGTTGAACATTTGCTGATCCAATTGCACGTACAGTTTCGCCTCTGGGAAAGCCTCAGCCCTAGTTATTGACATTGGAGCTTCCAACATCTCTGTTACGCCCATCCACGATGGCATGATCCTGAAACGGGGTGTGCAACACTCTCCGCTGGGTGGTGATTACATCTCTTCGCAGATCAAAGCAATCTTCAAGGCCAACTCGCCGCAACCCATCACAATCACGCCGCATTACCTTATCAGCTCAAAGTCGGCTGTCGAAGCTGGCCAACCGCCCCAAGCGAAATACAAGACTTTCCCCGCAGACAAGGCACCCGATGCGTCGTACCGTGCTCTGCTCGAGGAGCGCACACTGTCCGAGTTCAAGGAATGTGTCGTTCAGGTGTGGCCTGGGCCTACAAGGCTCTCGGCCCCCAGTCCTACGGGCGTCTCCAATGAAGATATGGCTCGAACCGCCCCCGGTCGCCCATTCGAATTCCCCGATGGATACAATCAAGTTTTCGGTGTCGACCGTTTCCGCGCGGTGGAATCTCTTTTCGATGCCAAGGCTGCCATTCCAGACCCCGACTCATCTTTCCCTCCCCCAACACCCGCCCAGACTATCCCAGAACTCGTCAAGGCTTCTTTGGCCGGTGTTGACGTCGACCTCCGGCCCCACCTTCTGGCCAACGTCGTTGTGACGGGTGGATCCAGCTTGCTTTATGGCTTTACTGATCGCCTGAATCACGAGCTGATGCAGATGTTCCCTGGCCCTAGGGTGCGTGTGACTGCTCCCGGTAACACTTCCGAGCGACGCTTCGGCTCCTGGATTGGCGGAAGTATCCTGGCTAGTTTGGGAACTTTCCACCAGATGTGGATCTCCAAGAAGGAGTACGAGGAGCATGGGCCAAACATTGTGGAGAAGCGTTGCAAATGATTCAAAATCTTTGCATCTCCTGTTGGGGGTTTTTTTTATGTTTACAGGCGTTACTGTGCTATCTTGGGCGCTTGAAAGGGGGTTTTGAGCAACTCCGGATCTGGCCTGTCTGCAAGGAAGGACCTACAAAACTGATCTAGATATTTTGTGTACGACTAATGCCACTTGATTTGATTTGTCCGAGAATAATATGCAGACATGGAGATGCACAACAGTGTATATATTTATGTAAAAGAGATGTATGGAGTAGTGGCAAGTCATGGTATCCTTATGTACCCCGTACTTATGAAGAATTATTTTTCCGACTTTCATACAATTCTTCATCTAAAAGATGAGACGTTTAATGTGAGATATCCATTGGCGGGGATTTCCACCTGCATGCGTTGGCAGCCAACACATCAGTGCAGCCCCCGGGGGTGGTCCGTGTTTCACTTTATTTATGTTGGCCATGTCCAGGTCTGTCTGTCAATTTTTCTTCACCTACGAGCATAACCGAGACTTTCTATCACACATCAATTCAGGAAAGTGGCCTGGGAAAGAAAAAGACAAGGGGAAAAAAAGAAAAAGAGTCAAATGAAGCGCACACGAACATTAACAATAACATACATCACCACCATGAGTTCGAGAATCCATGACTGACCAGAAAGAAGGAAAAGAAAGACTACATCGTCAACGTCGTTACACTCGAGGCTGCGGGCCAAACACGCTAGAGTCTACTAGAGATGAACAAAATCAAAATGCGAGACGGTCATGGGTATGAAAACGAAAGGGAAATCATGAGTCGAGGGGTCAAAGCTGGCAAAACAAGGGGCAATGTTCTCATCGGCTAGCTCGGGCGATGAGCCAATGCAGGACGGCGTCGAGATTGGTTTCCTCCTTGGCACTGATACCATAGCAGCTTACTTCACGATGGGTGATGGATTTCAGATCCATAGCTTCAATGATCTCATCAACAGACAACTTGTCTGGAAGATCGGACTTGTTCCCGAGGACTAGGAGGGGGATGCTATCCAGCGTGGGCTTTTTCATCAGATCGTGCAGTTCTTCTGTGGCTACTGGGAGTGCAGCGCGATCTGCTGCATCCACAATATACCTTTATTGACCTTGGTTAGCATTTCAAAAGGAAGAGAGGATCCAAGACATGGAAAATAAGCAAGTCTTACACGATCGCGTTGACGCCTCGACAATACCGTTCCCACATCGGCCGGAACCGAGGCTGCCCGCCTAAATCCCAGCTGCAGAGATATATTAGCGCCGTACTTTGGTCGGGAAGGATGAACGTACCATTTCAAGGTCACATGGCCCTTTTGGACTCTTTTGGTGTTGAACCCGATGGTCGGGATGGAACTAGAAGATATTTTAGAACATGGCGGGGATGGAAATGATAGCCATGAGACCATCTATAACTTACTCAACAGTGAACTCGCCACCCTATTATGGTCAGCAACCGCGAATGAAAACCTTATCAGATTCGACTTACGGCCAACACACGCAACAGGGAAGATTTGCCGGCATTCTGAAGGCCGATCATGGTGACATCCATCTCACTGGCCCTATATGGAGATTAGCAGGGCTTCATCTGCGGGGACGGGCCGTGGTCTCCCGGGAACTGCATCTATCAACGGCCCACTTACCAGAACATCCTCAGAAGCCAGTCATAGATAGCACGAAATATGCCGGCCATAATGGGGAGATCTTGCGGTAGAAAAGAAGAAGAGAGAAAAGAGATATAGAAAGAATAGAACCAAAACAAGAAAGCCAGAGAGATTAAGAGCTGGGAAGTTGCTTGTGTGTGGAAAAAGCTCAGGATGACAAAAGCCAGAGAGTGGGGTCAACCTAACTGCGCAGGTTCAACTGTTTCTTGATATCAATTTTCTTATATGAAGAGGTCAAAAAAAAAGGGTAAGGGAGAAAAGAAGGAAAGGGAAAAAACAAAAAGCAAGATCGTCACACCGTAACAAGAACCAGAAGCAATAAATTTCAAGGCCTATTATTAGAGAGCTGTTTTAAGGGGATAACCGCCTGCGGCAGATGTTAATAGAAAAAAAAATGGATATTGAATCTAGTTTCTATGGAGGATTGATGGATCTACCTACACACATGACCCCAAGGGCGCTTAGGCTCCATTGGCCTCAAATTGGAGGGGGTGAACAGTGTGCATCTCCAGCCCGTGTGGCGTACGTTACGAATTTCCAAGTTGCGGCTTATTGTAAGTGAAATCAAGCTAGAGTTGACTAGGACTAGGGGGTTCAAGATCCAGGCACTTGCAGTTGAACTAGAGTTTTAGTAGTACTTCATAGGGATACGGGATCAACGGCATCGAGTGAACGGCCGAACTTCGACATGCCCAGGTGGGAAAGCCTCTTGGCGCCTCAGGCCAGAAATGCATATCACCACGTGATGATAACCATCCGGCTCCACCCTCGAAAAATTTCCCCAAGCAGAAACAGACCTCTCATCTTCGTTTGGCAGCTGCCATTGTCGGTTCAATTCCTGTGGTCTCGTGGCTGATACAATCCTGGGCGGAGGAATCGAACCGATCTTGTCGTGCTTCTATCCTTACATTGTAGGACACATTTAGTGTGCCGTTCAGTTCTTTTTCATATACATCTTTTGAGAGCTGCGAATTTCCATCATGGCGCCCGCAGCCACAGAAACAGAGTGGTCAGTCGAATACGACACCCTGCGACGGGAGAACTTGTTCAAGAATCCTCCCACCGATCACACGGCTTATCCATCGCTGGCCGAGTCGATTCGACCGCATATTGATTCCTTCAATGCTCTCTTCGACGACAGCAAGATCCTGGAGGCAGGCTTGAGGGATATCGGTACCAAGACGTTCCTCGATGGTGAACTTGAGACCTACGAGCAGAAGAAGGCCCGCCAAGCAGAAGGTGTTCGTCCGCCGAAGCGAAATCGCTTGAACGTCCGCGTGCGTGAAATCTTCCTCGAAAAGCCTACCCTGCCCCCCACCAACAAGTACACCACCCGAAACCGTGAGATCTATCCCTCGGAATGCCGAGAGCGCCATGCGACGTATCGTGGTAAGCTCCGCGCTCGCCTCGAGTACCAGGTGAACAACGGAGACTGGATGGAGTCTGTTCGCGAGCTGGGTAATGTCCCCATCATGGTGCGCACCAACCGGTGTCACCTCGAAAAGGCTACCCCCCAGGAGCTTGTTCAACACAACGAAGAATCGGAGGAGCTAGGTGGTTTCTACATCGTCAACGGAAACGAGAAGCTCATTCGTATGCTGGTCGTCGGCAAGCGCAACTACCCCATGTCCATCATTCGTGGTTCTTTCGTCAAGCGTGGCCAGACCTACACAAAGTTCGGTGTTCAGATACGATCGGTCCGTCCCGATCAGACTTCGCAGACCAACGTGCTTCACTACCTCTCTGATGGAAATGTTACCTTCCGTTTCTCATGGCGCAAGAACGAATACCTCATTCCCGTGATGATGATTCTCAAGGCACTTGCGGAAACCAACGATCGCGAAATCTTTGAGTCCATTGTCGGTGGCGCTTCCTCCAAGGGCATGAACAACACTTTCGTCACGGACCGTGTTGAGCTTTTGTTGAGAACCTATCATGCATACCAGAAGCACAGCCAGTACGATTGCCGTTCTCACTTGGGCAAGGCTTTCCGACCTGTGCTCGGAGTCCCCGCCGACATGCCCGACGAGGAGGTTGGCACAGAGTTCCTCCGCAAGGTTGTTCTGCCCCATCTTGGAAATGAGAATGTCACCGAGACACAAGACTGGGACAAGTTCAAGTTGATCACCTTCATGATCCGCAAGCTTTACTCTACAGTTGCAGGAGACTGTGCTCCCGATAACCCCGATGCTGTCTCCAACCAAGAAATTTTGCTTGGTGGCTTCCTTTACGGAATGATTTTGAAGGAACGTATTGAGGAGTGGCTTCGTTCATTCGGCCCCATTGCCAGAGACTGGTCTATCCGTAATAACGGCGCAAAATTCACCGATGAAGCATTTGAGCGAGACTTCCTCTCTAAGATCGTCAAGCGATCAAACGAAAATATTGGTAATGCGCTCGAGTACTTCCTCTCCACCGGTAACTTGGTCAGTCCTACAGGTCTTGATTTGCAACAAACATCAGGTTACACCGTCATTGCAGAGAAGATCAACTTCTACCGTTTCATCAGTCATTTCCGCATGATTCATCGTGGTAGTTTCTTCGCTCAGTTGAAGACTACCACTGTCCGTAAGCTGCTACCAGAAAGTTGGGGTTTCCTTTGCCCCGTTCACACTCCTGATGGTTCGCCTTGTGGTCTGCTCAACCATTTGGCGCACAAGTGTTTGATCTCTACGGACAACCTAGATGTGTCTCATCTGCCTCGGACTCTGGTTCAGCTTGGTGTCCGGTCTGAGTCTTCTGTGGCTCTGGACGAGAGCGTTGTCGTCCAGTTGGATGGCCGAATCATTGGGTACTGCTCCCCCAAGCAGGCCCAAAGAATTGCCGACACCATCCGGTACTGGAAGGTCGAGGGCAAAAACAACATTCCTCGTGAATTGGAAATTGGATATATTCCTAATTCAAGCGGTGGTCAATATCCAGGTGTCTACATGTTCTCCCAATCAGCGAGAATGTACCGCCCCGTGAAGTATCTGGCGCTGGATAAGCTGGATTACGTCGGACCATTCGAGCAGCCCTTCATGGAGATTGCTTGTGTGGAGTCCGACCTGATTCCCGGTCTTTCAACCCATATCGAGTTCACACCTACCAACATCCTCTCCATCGTCGCGAACATGACTCCCTTCTCCGACTACAACCAATCTCCCCGTAACATGTACCAGTGCCAGATGAGCAAACAAACCATGGGTACGCCAGGTACCTCGATCGCTCACCGTACCGACAACAAGTTGTACCGCATCCAAACGGGTCAAACACCAATTGTGCGGCCACCTCTTTATAACGCCTATGGTCTGGACAACTTCCCCAACGGTATGAACGCAGTTGTGGCTATTATCTCCTACACCGGTTACGACATGGACGATGCTATGATTATCAACAAGTCCGCCCACGAACGTGGCTTCGGTCACGGTACAGTCTACAAGACCAAGGTCGTCACTTTAGCCGAGAACGACTCCCGCCGGAACAAGTCCAAGCGTGAGGTTACCAAGCTGTTTGGATTCGCCCCTGGCGACGAGGTCAAAGAGCAGGTGCGCAACATCATCGACGAGGATGGAATGCCCCACTTGGGTGCTCGCGTCAAGGAGGGTGACAAGATCGCCGCCTGGCACAATGTCCGCTTTGATCCCGCCTCTGACTCGTACGTTAACGTTGATGGAGTCACCCACTACATGAAATACAAGGATGCCGAGGAAGGTTACGTCGAGAGCATCCGCCTCATGGGCTCTGAGTCTGGCAATGAGCCCGCTCAATCGCTCAGCGTCAAGTACCGCATCCCCCGAAAGCCCGTCATTGGTGACAAGTTCTCCTCTCGTCACGGTCAGAAGGGTGTTTTGTCTCAACTCTGGCCTGCGGTTGACATGCCCTTCTCCGAGAGCGGCATGCAGCCCGATCTGATTATCAACCCTCACGCTTTCCCATCCCGTAAGTTCATCGCTTTGAAAAGTCAAATGTATTTACCCATCTAACATATCCCCAGGTATGACAATCGCTCAAATGATTGAGTCCATGGCCGGTAAAGCTGGTGCCATGCACGGTCTCCCGCAAGATTCCACTCCCTTCCAGTTCTCCGAAGAAAATACCGCAACAGACTACTTCGGTGAGCAGCTCCGCAAGGCCGGCTACAACTACTACGGCAACGAGCCGTTGTACAGTGGTATCACGGGCCGCGAGTTCTCCGCCGACATCTACATGGGCCTAGTCTACTACCAGCGTCTGCGTCACATGGTTAACGACAAGTTCCAAGTGCGTACCACTGGTCCCGTCAATGCGCTAACGGGCCAGCCCGTGAAGGGTCGTGCGAAGGGTGGTGGTATCCGTGTTGGAGAGATGGAGCGTGATTCGCTCATTGCTCACGGTGCGGCCTTCTTGCTGCAGGATCGTCTCATGAACTGCTCCGACGCCCAGCACACCTGGATCTGTCGCTGCTGTGGTTCCTTCCTGTCCACACAGGTTGCTGTTTCTGGCTCGTCCCGCAACCGTACGGCTATCAACCCTGGTGCTGCCGCCGCTGCTGCCAAGGCTGCTCCTAACCAGCAGAGCACCAATGCTCACGCTGGTGCTGCCATTGGTGCTGTTGGCGGTGTCAACGGTATTGTGCGCTGCCGTCGCTGTGCCCGCGAGGCTACCTTTGATGATTCCCGTGCCGAGGTCTGGGAAGATGGTAGTGGACAGCGCTACGTGGGTGGCGACAATGTTACTATCGTTGCTGTGCCTGGTGTGCTGCGGTACTTGGATGTCGAGTTGGCGGCTATGGGTATCAGAATGAAGTTCTTGGTGGATAACTGATATATCAGTCTCTAACTGGGGATCTCAAAAATTGTTTCCTTGTTTCAATGTCATAGGTGGCGTATACCTGGTTTTAATGATTATACTCATCTGCTTCTTGTCTTATTTTGCTTTTTTATTTTTATTTTTGCAAATATTCATTCGTGTTTAAACAGCATTTTCTATGAGAACCAGAGGGTTTAAAAAGAAAATCGTCTTCGTATATGGGTTACTTCCTACAATCTTCTTTACCAAGCGTTTCAAAGATCTGTGGATTCAGTTACAACAAGATGAGATATTCATTTTATTGATCCATATTACATACTATCAAGCTCGCCACTTTACTATACCCCCACTACTAAATTCCACATATTATACCTCAAGCCGAGCCTTTCTCCCCCTCGAGCTCACTCTGCACCAAACCGGTCTTCGCACGTGGGAACTCCCTTGTGCGCACCTTGTTCTCAAACAGAACATCCAACTCAGCATAAGAGCGGCCCCTGGGCTCAGGAAGTCTGAAGAACGACCAAACAAGACAGAGGATGCACAGTCCACCCCAGAAGAATCCAGACTTTCCCCTCCAATTCCACGCATCCACATTCAGCATGTAGGGAATGATAATGCCGGTCACCAGATTGAGGATGTTATACGTGTTTCTAGCCAACACAACTGTCTTGGTGCGAAGTCTCGACGACGGCATTTCCGAGACCAGCGAGAAACACACCGGCCCGATAGTCGAGTCATAGATGAACGTATACACAAGCAACATGGATCCAGTAGTCCACGAGAGCGCACTAGTCGATTCCGGAATGGACACAAAGCCAATCACAAACAGAATGGCAGCCAAAACAGCCAGACCACCCACATATAGCGTGCGGCGACCCAGGTAGGACATGAACAGCCACGAGCTGAACGTACCGACAACTCCAATCGCATATTGTGCCAGCGACATGGTAAACGACATTGAGTCGGCAAGTCCAGCACGCTGGTAGAAGACAGTCGAGTAGCCCATCAGACCACTGCCGCACAGACTTTGTACCGCCCAGACACAGCACGCGATCTCCGTGCGTCGCAGATCAGTCCCCTTGAAGCAGTCCAGGTACGAGGCGCCCTGCTCGGTGCGTTGTTCCATCGCATTCGTATACACAATCATAGAAACGGTTTCCTCGGCGCTGAAGTTAGGGTCGGCACGCGTGAGTCGTTTCACAGCCTTGATCGCATCTTCGCGTCTGTCCTTTCGCACAAGCCACCACGGGCTCTCGGGTGCGAAGTATACTCCAATAAAGATTGGAATCGGCCACACCCACTGGATGGCAAATGGAATGCGGTACGCCCACTGATCAGTGCGCTCGACGAGACCCTTTAGAACGCCTGAGGCGATCAGCTGTCCAAATACCCAGCACAGGTTGACGTAGGTGGTCAGGTATGCGCGCAGTGCGACGGGGCAGACCTCTGACGCGTATGTGACTGTGAGGGTCTGGTAGACGCCGAGGGGGATACCCATAAGCAGCTCGCCGGCGACGAGGGTCTGGACGTTTGGAGCGAAGAAGAGGATGAAGATGAAGCCGACGGTGCTGGCGAGACAGGCCATAAGGGTTTTGCGGTAGCCGTAGCGCTCGGACACGATACCGTTAACGAAGAGACCGATGATCTGACCGACGCTCATTCCGTTGGTCATGCCTGCTTGCCAAGATGCGTCGAGGCCGTATTTTCCATCGGACATGAGGTGGCCGTACTTCATGTTGAAGGCAGGGTAGGCGAAGAATGAACCGATCAGGACCACGTCGTAACCTTCCATGATGATGGCACAGGAGAGGAGAAGGGACCAGGCAACGGCCTTGGGGTACAGCTTGAGAGCTTGCAAGGCGGTCATGTTGTGCTCTTTTTCGATGGCGGCGTGAGCTTCGGTGGTGGTTTTGAGGTCTGTGAAGCCATCTAGGTCATTGCCTACTGGTTCGATTGAGTCATGTCTCTCGACATGGTCGCTGGCTAGCTTTTCAGAAGCCATTTTTGGGATCGGGGAGGCAATGAAGGCCCTCAAGGTGATGCCAGGTTGGGTATGAAACTGAGTAGAAGAGAACTATTCCCGGGTGTTGGAGACTTATATACCAAATTTGCGCTCCAGGTCGATGGTTTGTCCATAACGAGCGAGGACGGGACTGGGGTTCGATTGGCCCACTCGTCCGTCTCTAATAATCCTTGTTTTATCCTCTGACAAGCGGGAATAGTGGCGTGGAGAAACTTTCCCCGGTTTATCTGCACGGGGTATTAGGGTCAGTCCACTATCCCCGGATTTTCTGTGTGAGTCATGATTGGATTGATGTCGGGCCGGAAAAAGATGAAGAGGCATTTGGTGACCTCCCATTTGCCTGACCATTGCCTTCTAGTCCTTCGCAGCCGTTTTGCTCGTATTGGCTGTCCTAGGGCTCGCTTCTCTCAAAGTAGTTAGAGGAAGTCGGGGGGAACATCGTGGCTTCATTGGTGAACTGTCGGCCCGACATACCCCTTTCCCCCTCATTTTTGTTGGATCTAACGAAGGTCAGTTAGACTCGGAAAAGAGACGAATCGGCCTAGAGATCGTCGGCATTTCGCATTTCACATGGTCAGTTGGAATGTTCGGTATGCTTTCCGGGTCGTGTGATTGAGTGGAAATAAGTGGAAATCAGCATCGGACTGAAACATCGCCCCCGAAAGCGAATCCCGGCCAAAGGATGAGTGGCACAGACTACGGTTGATAATGGGCAGTCGGCCCGACTTCGAGTCAATGGGAGCAATGGCCCTCCCTACATGGACATGGGAGAAGCCTGGACTCCATCGTCGACAACTGCCCAAGTAGGCAGTGCAATGATTATCTAAAATTGAATGCTGTGGGCATATATATAGCCTTGTTCTCTTCTGTAATGAAGCTGTATTTTCTCTTCTTTTACCCTTTCTCGGTAGAATCCCTCACACATTCACCATGTCTCCTGCTATAGTGGGCGAAAAGTGGTGGAAAAATTCCATCATCTACCAAATATACCCCGCCAGCTTCAAGGATTCCAATGGCGATGGCATTGGCGATATCCCAGGGATCATCTCGTCTCTCGATTACATCACAAGCCTTGGCGTCGATGTGATCTGGCTGTGTCCCATGTACGACAGCCCACAGATTGACATGGGCTATGATATCTCCGACTACCAAAGTGTTTATGGCCCATACGGCACTGTCGAGGATATGGAGACCCTCATCGATGCATGCCATAAGCGAGGACTTCGGATTATTCTGGACTTGGTGGTGAATCATACTTCAGATCAGCACCAATGGTTCAAAGAGTCCCGCTCTTCAAAGACAAACCCCAAGCGCGATTGGTACATCTGGAAGCCCGCAAAATACGATGCCAACGGAAATCGTCAGCCGCCAAATAACTGGCGCAGTATTTTCGGAGGCAGTGCTTGGGAATGGGACGAGAAAACAGAAGAGTATTATCTCCATCTGTTCTGTGTTGAACAGCCCGATGTCAATTGGGAGAACGCCGAGACTCGCAAGGAGATCTACGAGTCTGCAATGGAATTCTGGCTGCAGAAGGGCGTGGATGGTTTCCGCGTCGATACAGTCAATATGTACAGCAAGCACCCCGATTATGCCAATGCTCCAATCCTTGATCCAAAGTCCGATACACAACCTGCTTTCGATCTGTTCACCAATGGTCCTCGCATCCACGAGTACATAGGCGAGATGAACGAGGTGCTTTCCAAATACGATGCAATGACCGTTGGCGAATTGCCAAACACACACACCGTGGAAGGTGTTCTGCGCTATGTATCAGCAGCGGAGAAGCAGCTGAGCATGGTCTTCCAATTCGACCTTGTCGACCTCGGTCAGGGCAAGGACTACAAGTTCCTGACCACTTTCCCAGGCTGGAAGCTAGGAGAATTAAAGAGTGCCATAAAGACCACCCAAGATCTTATCAAGGGAACCGATGCATGGACCACGGTGTTTATGGAGAACCACGACCAGGGCCGCTCTGTGAGTCGGTTCGGCTCTGACAAGACACCCGAGTTCAGAGTTCGGTCTGCGAAGATGCTCGCCATGATGCAAAGTACACTTTCCGGCACACAGTTTATCTACCAGGGCCAAGAGATTGGAATGGTGAATGCGCCCCGGGAGTGGACGATTGATGAATACAAAGACGTTGATAGCACCAACTACTATCGCATGACGAGCAAACTGTCTGGCAACGATCCAGCCGCGTTGAGCACGGCTATGGATTCTCTGCAGCTCTTGGCAAGAGATCATTCCAGACTCCCCATGCAGTGGAGTGCTGACGCTAATGCGGGCTTTTCACCGGCCTCGTCGGCAAAGCCGTGGATGCGCCCGCATGATAATTATCCCGAGATCAATGTGCAGCTCCAGGAGAAAGATTCGTCTTCTGTTCTTTCTTTCTGGAAACAAATGAATGAGCTGCGCAAGGAGTATGCCGATCTCCTCGTCTTTGGAGAGTTTGATATTCTCGACGAGCCAAATCAGCATGTCTTCACTTATACCAAGACAGCTCGCAACCAGACTATCCTGGTGGTCCTTAACTTCTCGGATACAACACAGAAGTTTGAGAAACCGGAGTCGGTGAAGAGCGAAGATTGGAAATTATTGGTTGGCAATGTAGATGGGGCCAAGGAGGACTTACAGGCGTTTGAGGGAAGAGTCTACTTGGTTTAGGGCTGGGATATACTACTGGCTAGATACCCCCATAGTCAAAGTCCAATAGAGGACATTGTTCCTGCAGATTACAAATCAAATTACACTCATTGAATGATTTCAGTCATTTTTTTATGTATTCAATCTTCTCCGTAAACCTCATGACATATCGCTCCCTGGTATAAGCCACTATGCAACCCCAGACTCCCTAGTCCACCCTAGTTCACCCCGGATTCCCATTTTAAGCTTTTAATTAATGCATTCCATTACGAGGTAGACCTACCTAGATAAGTACATGTTCATAGGATATATTTTCTATATTGTAGTTCCTATAGTCCGCGGAGGATAGGCCCGTGGCGCTAAGAGTCTGAATTGCCAAGGCCTCAACAACGCGGGGAAAAGAAGTACATGTTTCGACTAAACATCAACAGATCTACCCCTGACCATTTGAAACCCCCAGAAAAAATGACTAGTCCACCTTCCCAGTCGCGAGTTCCCAAAGCCTGTGACCCATGTAATCGTCGCAAAGTTCGCTGTAACGGCCAACAAAGATGTCAGCAATGCGAGCACCTCGATCTCCTCTGCACCTACACAGAGAACCGTTCATTGAGATCAAGAAAGCATTCACTACGCCGAGGAGCTGTCATCTCGAAATACAAAAGCGCGAATACCAAAACTACCGCTCTGACACCACTCCTCTCTCCTCCACTGGCACCTACAACCTCACTTCAATTATCAACCTCGTATTTTGAAAGTCTCATCCCGGCCTACATGACCTATGTCTACCCCTTCAGTCCACTCATCACGGACAAAGAAGTGCGTCTGTCAATCACGAAAATGAACGAAAGAGAGCACGCAGCCTTCATTTACGCCTTCACCGCAGTAACCCTGGACCTGACCCGGTCCTCTCAGCTCACCACCAAATCCGGCACTCCACCAATCTCAACTCAAATAACAGACCTAATGCGCCAGTCAGTGGAAACTCAACAGCCGCTAGTAATAGGTTTCCGGCCCTCAATTCTCCGCGCTACAACAAGCATCTTCATCCAGATGTGCGCCATGAGCCTGGGCCACTACGATCTAGGCTTCTTCTACCTCCGCGAAGCAATCAGCATGATCCAGATGCTTCGCATCAACGACAAAACCATCAACGCAGGCCTCAGCACGGCCGAGCGAGCCCGACGCCAACGACTGTACTGGCAATGCTTCATCCACGAGCGATTCATGTCAATCGTCAACTTCACACCGGTGACGCTGCCCCCGCACACGCAGTACCCAGAAGAAGACGAGTCCATAGGTGCTGACATCCAGCAGGGCTGGACGCAGGTGATTAAGACCTTCTGCATGTTGGATGCGTCGTTTATCAGTTTGTGGATTGGGGACCGCACGCAGGTGACTGCGTCCTGGGTTGAGCGGAAGCACCGCGAGCTGGATGATGCGCTGTGGGAGGTGGAGGTTTCAGCGCTGTCGGAGCTGCAGCAGGCAGATTTGGTTATTACGAGGCAGTGGATGAGGACGCTGTTGTGGCAGATGGCCATGTCGAATTGCTTGCTGAGTTCGCATGCGTCGTGTCCGTCGTTGGAACTGGAGATGCCGTTGAGATTGTCCAGTCAACTCAGGCAGTTTTTGACGAAGATCTCGCAGAATACGATTCGTGTGCATGGGTCGTCGATGATTAGCAAGCTGTTGGAGATTGTTAATACTATTGCTGATGTGGTGATTCACGTGCCACAGGCGACTAGGGAGGAAACGACGAGTCGCATTGATGATATTGTTTTTATGCAGGGTGTTGTGCTTTCTTTCCATAATTTGCAGGTTATGCCGAAGGATATTCTGTTGGATAAGTTTCGATTGATTAGGGGGAGATTTCCGCATATTGAAGTGGCCATGCAATTGGCTGTTTAGTTGGAGACCAGAGATATTCTGTGAAAGGGCCAGGGGAGAGATCTGGCGAGTACTAATTTGAGACAAAGGCAACATGTCCCTAGCAGATTGCCATACATCTGAACAGCAGCATATAAGTTGAACCCAGCATCGTCACTTGAGACCTAAGCATAATCCAATGACATATTGATATCGATATTACACACACAAATCATTTCTCTAGAACCGTTTACAACTCAGATGTCACATTGGAGAACTCGCCCTTCTCGAGCTTCGTCTTCCAGAAGATAGGGTTCATGTCATCGAATCCGTGGTGCACCCATCCTTCTTCCTTGACGTGGTACAGGTTAATGAATCCACCGGAGTAGGCATCACGGTGCATGGCAGCCAGAATAGCCCGGCGGCCAAGGTTCAACGCCTCCTCTTCAGTCAGCTCGTATTTGTACTCGGCGTCCAGCACACCATAAGCAAAAGTCTGACCAGATCCAACACAGAACAGGTTACCGGCGAGGCGGGTGCCGTCGGAGTCGATGTAGTACAGGGCAGGTCCTTCTTGGGGCGTCATCTAGAGATCATTGTCAGTCTCTGAATCTCATGGCTATGAATGATGCTAGGGGACATACTCCTGCTAACATAGTTCCCATGCTAAGTCCATATCCCTTGTAGGCGTAAGTGAGGTTGGCAAGAATCTTGGACGCGGCCGCAACAGTGATACGGCGCTTGTGTCGGATTTCTAGATGGAATTTCATCAGCAATGTCCTTCCACTCCCTAAAAACATCAAGAATCAAGATGACTTACCATGCAGAGTGCACTGCTGACTCAAATACCGCAGCCAGTATTGACAATCCTAGAACTCGCAACAACCATCAGCAACCAACATCCATCACACCATCACACCATCGCTCGTCATCATCACTTGCGGTCCAGGACTTACAGCTGCACCACCGGCCATCGTTCCCAAGAGACCTGGTGTCGGCTCATTCGTCTTCTTGTCCTCACCCCGGCTCAACCGCGATACAGGAATAACCTTCTTGACTGTCTGACTAGCAATCCAGTTGCCGGCTGTTGCTCGCGAATCGGTACACACGATCTAACCCAATATATCAATCAGCACAGCATTCTCCAAAATCAGACCAACAATGGGATAAACGAAATATAGGAACAACGTACGATACCACCCTGGAATCGGAAGGCCAGGGTTGTTGTGCCGTGAGCGAGCTTGATGGGACAGCTGGGATTGGAGTGGTCATCGGTCATAGCACGCAGAAAAGCAGAGTGCTAGATATAAAAACCAGTGTCAGTCTATTATCCGCATTTATTTTATTCATAGATAGGTTCTGGCTGGTAGTTCTTTTTGGAATAGCTGTGATGACGGCGCAGCTTAGATTGACGTCAGGATGGACATCCATCCCTCAACCAACCCACCATCCAGATCAAAGAGAATGAGCAATAGTATCCATCAGAACTCACGTTGTCAACAGGAGGGAGGCTGAACTTCAGCGAAAGTGGAGGGACGCTCGCAGTGAGGTCCTGCTGCTCTTGCTCTGAGTACATCTCATTCTGATGGGGAGCGCGCGAGTATTGGGCGACAAGCTTATCCATTGTGTGCTGCAGTGAGAGAAAATAAGGGGAAAATTAGAAAAAGATGCTGGAAAGACGTGAAAGGGATTGTGGTGAGACAGTCGAGCGATGGTTGAAGCTCCGCTGGAGCTCGGGGTTTCCGCGTCACTCTGGCGCCTGCGGTCACGTGAATGATCTACTACTACAAATGGCAATTTGAATATCATCTTTGATAGTATTTTTGGAAGAAAAAGAAGAAGACAAATCGATCAATGAATTAAGGAATTAGTGAATTAAACTTTACAATACACAATTTGCATATTTCGTGAGTATAGACCCCCATGTTCAGTGCCAACGCCTTCCCGAAAACACCTGCACCTTTTGGTGCCCAATCTGAGGCGAAGAATCGAGTTTACACATCACAACTGAAGTATGTCCGTATCGAACTAAGAAAGATTGAATAGATCAAGCAGGGGAAGGCTCGACCACCATCTTCGCAGGGAGAGCACCGCTTCCCACTGGTTCAGTGAAACCCTCAGTCACAGAGACATTGTCGAGAACATCCGACTGTTGTTCCGACACATCGTCGAGTCCATTGACGCTAGCGCCGTTGATGCCATTAGCCTGGGCCCGAGAATCCTGCTCCACGGAGAAGCCAATAGGCTCAACGCTGGGCTCCCATTCACGGAGATCACTCTCGGCATCTTCGAGAATCTGGCGTGCCGAGAGCTCATGATCATACGCCTGGCGTGCATCACCAGGAACAACAGGAGTGTCGTCAATGTAGTTCAGCAGACGACGAGCGTGACGAGCCAGAATCATCTGCTTCTCGGCGCGCTCAATAACGGCCGCCAGATGAATATCATAGGCCTCCTTGAGCTTTTGCCGGGTCTGTAGACGCGATAAAACGTTAGCCAGTCCAAGCAAAATTTAGTTTCGAACGTACGATATTAGACAGCTGCGCCTCGGCAACCAAGTTCTGAGCCTCAGCCCGGACAAGCTCATGCTCGAGCGTGACCAGACGCGGGCTGCTAGGGTCCTTGTACTTGAGCTTGGCAATCTCGTCGGTGACCTTCTGGCGTTGCTCGCGCGACGGCTGGACCGAGGCCTCCATGTCGCGAATCTGCTTCAGGATACTGCGGTAGTCCTCGAGGTTCTGCGCAAAGCTGTCTTCCTGCTCGCCTATCTCGGCAAGCAGAACACCGAGCTTGTCGGAGATGTCAGAGACATTGTCGTCTTCAGTTGCCTCTCCCCATTCAGAGAGCTGGGCAGCGATCGAGACGCGCCCCCGGCCGGCAGCTTCATGGGCACCGATAGCAGTGTTCTCGCTTTTGATCAGCTTGGTCATCTTGCGGCTGAGCTCCGGCGCTTGCATCCCGCGCAAGGTCGAGATGTTGAACCGCTGCCGGCCGGAAGGCTCTCTGCGCGATCGGAATGAAAGGTTGCGATTCCTGATTCATTTAGTCAAAGCGAGTGTATAGAATGTAGAGTACGTACATCTTGTCTCTTGCAGTAGAGATATGGATCAATACAAGCTATTGGGGGAAGATGTTAAGATGAGAAAGAGAAAGCTGAATATGAGGGAGGTAAAGGAAAGTCATGTGGCTCCTTCCTATAGATGACGATGATCGAACCCTATTCTCTTCTCTTTTGGAGAGGAAGTACAATCCCGGCTGACGTCATGAACGGGGAGAGGCGGAAGTCGAGTTTCATGCACATCACCTGTCCGATTGCGGAAATACCAAGAGTATTACTGTAGAATAGTCGTTGAGTGGTGATGGTATAATTGAGTTATTGGAAGTATCTAGGGCTGATCGTCATTCTCAAGCATCATATCAGAGTACTAGCACTGGAATTAGCCCTAAAAGACTATTATTTAATGATGATATTATATCTATTTCAATCACTTCATACCTAGGTACCTAGGTACAAGTACATGATATAATCATACAAAGGGGGTTGGTGCCTTTTTTCTCAGTTTCTGGATGTGCGTGGATGCAACTACTACCTTCCTAATTGGGAGATATCTAATTCGATCCAACCTACACGAAGAGAACCTACAAGAAGATATGTATGAAAAATAGGGATTAAATTTATGAGAGATCCCACCCTCTATCCTCTCAATTCGAAGCGAGGGAAGAAGAAAAAAGAGAGATTTGCAAAACCAGAGGAAACAGAGAATATCCCCCTGGCCAATCTTATGATACACAACCAGCTAAATCATCCAGCATAAATTCAGACCCAAAACAGTAAGCCCCGCAACGCCTGGAGTAGACCAGAAGGACTGATCCACAGAATAATTCGTTAAAAAAAACTTTCATATGAAAATGACTTAGAGAAGACTAGGAAATGTCGTCCGTATCGGGGTTGTGCGAGTGTTCGTTGTCAGATGCATGGAATGCATCGCCAAATGCCGAGTTCTCCAGGTCTGGCAAGTCAAGCCCATCGTTCTGCTCGCTGTAAGCGGCCAAGGCATCTCCGGCACTGTCAATGTTGGTAAAGTCGAAGTCTTCACCAACTGGCCCATGATCTTTGGCCTCATTGTTCACCATTACCCAGTCATTAGTCTGGCCATTGGTAGCACCGTGGAGCTGGTCGCCCAGATCCATGTCAACATCACCGGACATATTAGCGCCATGGATTGGCTGTCCATTGACAGAAACACCTGATACTGCGCCTGCGCCAACCCCTGGGCTGCCAAACTGGTTGAGTAGGTGGGAATCGTCGTCCATGACCATATCATTGGTAAATGAGTCAGGCTCGTCTTTGTGTTCGGGTTCAATCTTCTCCAACAAGCCACCCTTCTCGACACAAGATACCTTGGGCTCGGCAACGATTTGCTTATTCCAGGCAGTCTCAACCTCCCGAACTACCTCGTCAACTCTGTATTTGGCCTTATCTTCAATGTAATCCAATTGCGGAGTTTCATCCTCCGTTGGAATAACCACTCGGCCCTCCAATCTCCAAATCTCTGGGCCCTTTTCGGTCGGGTCAGCGGCAGACTCTCGGAGGCGCAACTCAGCATCCTTCAGCAAGGAGGTTCGGTTGAAACGTTGCATCCGGCGAGCATGCTGTTTCTTCAAGTTTTCGATTTCAGCGGTCATGTCCGCCACCTTTTTGGAGACCCGCTCGGCGAACTCCTCTGCTTTGGCCGGCTCCATCTTGTTAGCCTGCGGGGCGTCGCCCGCCTCCTGGCCTTCCCCACCGGAGGTTCCAACAGGAGCATCGAAGAAGCCTGCAGTCAGGGACTCGAGCTCTCCCTTTCGGCCTAGACCCAAAGAAACTGGTGTAATTTGTGAAATGCTGTATGGCGACGCGAAAATTTCCTCCATCCACTCGTGATGCTGCTGGTATCGGATCTTGCTGACATCGCGGGGCGTCAAAAGATCCATAGCATCACCACTGGAAACGTCCTCATCTTCAATAGCAAAATCAGCTGTTGCAGAAGCGAGAGCAGCTGATGGCGTACGGTGTCCGCGCGGCCCTTTGGCCACGGGGGCATTGGGCGCAACTGCACCTGGATGACCCTGGGGGGGTATAGAAACCAGGTCCGCGAGGGGCAGCAGCCGGGTAAGCGCCGGGTTGCGCAAAGTTCTGTGGGGTCATTTGCGGGAAATTGATAACTGGCCAGCTGTTGCGATCATGAAGCAAAAAGTCCTTGCGGGCCAATTGTCCTTGGCTCTGAAGGAAGCGGCGCTGGCCCATCATGCCCTGGATCTGGGGTGTAACTTGGATACGGTTTGCAGGGGCATGATCCTGAGGCGCCGCGCGGGTGTAGTGCACAATCCACAGTGATGGGTCAGGCTGGGGGGGCGTTCGGTACTTTGGACGAGGTAATGCGGTAGCGCTTGCGACAGTGTGTCGCCACGGGCTCATTGGGAGGATGGAAACCACTTCGGTGAAGGTACATTTCGACGGTCTGTATTCTCAAAGATTAGAATGGGGTCCACATCCAGCAAGGGAAGCTTTATTCGGGGGAGGCATACATAGCCGCGGGATTCAAAGGTAAAGGCCTGTTCCTGGTCGGCCCAGATATAACCATCACTAGCAAAATTATTGCCTAGGTGGTTCTGTGGCTGCCAGGTAAGCATGACAGTACCGTCCGGGGGACCATCTAGGAATGTCCAATGCATTGGCTGGGTTTGGCAGATCCGGGGTGCGCTCGTCAAATACTCGACAGCGGTCTCGGAGGGCATCATGTGCATGCTAGGGTATCGGTTGCGCGAGACCAGATGCATGTGGGGGAGCTATCATAATTGCGACAAGATTAGTTGGGGGTTACAGAATGGAACAATCAACATAGGAAGTTGTTGGGGTCTTACCAGCTGCCCCGGGATGCGTGTGGCCGGGTCATCCATATTGGGGGCTTGATTGCCAAGTGCAATCAACTCTGGAGAGATATGAGTAAGTTGGGTTCAAATCAACTAAGGCAATTGGGATGCGATGGATGTAGACAGGGTAAGAGCAATGAAGGACGAAGGTGTTCAATGAACGCGACAGTACGCGGGAGATTTTTGATACGGGATTCGATACAGACCTGATATGCATAACACCTGAATTTACAGGCACCAATCCACTTTGATGTGTTTTCTCGTTTTGAAAGGCTCATTCGTTAGATGTCCATGTAATTTGATGTCAGAAATAGATATTCAATAAGTGATGCTACTCATTTTAAATAAGTAGATTTAGTACTGGTAGATAGGGAAAAGGTGTACTCTACAAAGTTCTATGATTGACAAACTAAGACTTTTTTACTATCCAATGGACAAATATATACCCCGGTTGACACTTCAGGCCAGCAAAAGTAATGTATATTGTACATCCCTTGAGAGGAAGATATCAATCAGGTACTTTGTATAAAGTACGCCTGTATGTTGTACTCCAACCTCGAAAGCGGCAGCTCCACCTAAGCTTTTTGCCAATTCCTCCGCATTTTATTTCTCCACACAGAACTTCGTACTTCAGGACCAATAGATCTCAATCGTTTTTGCAGATCCCACCAATAATTAATCTCAGAGCTGGATTACCCAGGATCCTGTGCTACAATACAAATGCCTTTGCCGATCCTGGCCCTTTTTTCTCCCTTTCACCCCGCGAACATGCCTCCGAACCCCGGAGATCTGTCCGGGTCTTTTCTCTTCTCCCCTTTTCATCTTCAGACTAGTATTTCTACTGTCCATTGTAACATCTCCAATTCACCATGGGCTTTTTGCAAAAGCAGCAGCGGCCAGAGGATGTAATCCAAACAGCCCCAGATGAAGATATTGAGAAAATTGCTGTGCCCGCTCACGAGGAGAAATCGCCCACTGCAATCTTGCCGGCGATTGACCCTGAGTTAGAGCGTCGGGTGGTAAGGAAGCTGGACTGGCGTGTCCCAACGTTACTGGGATTCTTATGTATGCTTTGAACTCAGGAGATTAAACGAACTTATACCCTAACCAAGTCTTTCCATGACTAGATCTCCTCGCTTTCCTCGATCGAAGTAACATTGGGTTTGTCTACCATGCCATCTTTGAACTTCAAGCCCAATAACATAACCGCTGATAATGTAAAACCACAGCAATGCCAAAATCGCCGGCATGGAAAAGGACCTCGGCCTTAATGGAAAAAGCTACGCCTGGCTCTTGACAATCTTCTATATTTCATATACATTGTTTGAATTCCAAGCCCTGATGTGGAAGATTGTCAAACCACACCAATGGGCTGCCTTTGTGGTGTTCTCCTGGTACGGATCCCACGTGCAATACGGTCAATTGGCGAGAATTGCAAATGTTCATGACTCTATGAATTCTGAACTGACGAACGATTGAAAGGGGATTGATGGCAACGTGTCAGACAGCGGCCACTAATTGGCAAGGTATGATGGCGCTCCGGTTCCTGATGGGCGTCTTCGAGGCTGGCTTTGGTCCTGGTGTGCCCTATTTGCTGTCATTCTTCTACCGCCGCCACGAGCTAGGTCTCCGATGCGGTATGTTTCTGTCTGCCGCGCCGCTGGCAAATACTTTCGCCGGTGCTTTAGCCTATGGTATTACTTCCCGACATGCTGCGTTGGCAAACTGGCGACTGCTGTTCCTGGTAGAGGGTGTTCCTGTGTGCGCGGCTGCGGTGCTGGCTTGGTTCTACTTGCCGGATAGCCCACTGGAAGCTAGGTTCCTGACCAAGGAAGAGAAAGATGTTGCACGCGCTCGTGCACTGCAACAATCTGGTGAGCCGCATCGCACAGGCAAAGTCCAATGGAAGGAATTAGCCATGACGCTTCTCGATGTAAAAGCATGGATCACAGCAGTAAGTCGAACCTTGGCATCAAAGTGTATTCGAACAATTTGCTAAAATTAAACCGTGTAACTAGTTAATGTACTTCAGCTGTAACGTCAGTTTCTCTTCTCTCCCCGTGTTCCTACCCACCATTCTCAAGGAGATGGGCTTCACGGCCATCAACGCTCAGGGGCTCACCGCACCTCCATTCTTCGCCTCATTCCTAGCGACGATCGCAACCACCTGGGTGGCAGATCGCATGCAACAACGTGGATTGATGATCACGGCTTTATCAATGGTGGGTGGTGTGGGGTACATTCTATGCGCAACTTGCACATCAGTGGGTGTTCGATACTTCGGTGTATTCTTGGCGGCCTGTGGGGTCTTCCCCTCGATCGCCAATATTCTGCCATGGGTTTTGAGTGAGTCATCTATGTTTACATAGAATGTCCTTCCACTGACTATGTGACACATTGTACAGACAATCAGGGCTCCGATACTCGTCGTGGTGGCGGTATCATTCTGTTGAACCTGATCGGCCAGTGTGGTCCTTTCCTGGGCACCAATATTTTCCCAGATAGACAAGCTCCAAGGTATATAACTGGCATGGCCATCTGTGCTGCTTTTATGTTCTTCACTGCACTCCTCGCTTTATGCCTGCGTGTGCTCCTGGTATGGGAGAACCGGTGTCTTGACAAGAAGTATGGGCCTCGCGAAGACCCGACAAAATGGGTGGACACCCCGGTAGCGGAGGATAATTACGGTGCCAATTACCGTTTTGTGCTATGATCTATTTGCATCCAATAATGGATTATCACTGCACGTTCTCTTTTGTCTGCTTGTGTTTTCGAAAATATGCCCCAGTCGAAGACTGTGATGACTATGATGTCAGAAAGCCCAAAGGGTCTTCAAATCGAGAAAGAGATAGTATGCATATTTCCTGTTGAGTTCATAGGTTGTAATTGTAGGTGGATCTCTTACAAACTACTTCCAGTCTGCAATGCTGCCCCAATCTGCGATGCTGCCCAGGTGGCTCTTTGATCCCATCGTCACCCTTACGTCGATGTACCAAGTGCTACTCAAACACCCAATATGTCCCAATAAGACCGTCACTACACAGTGTAGTAGTCGTCAATGTACTAGACTATACTATATTCTCATTTAATCTAGAATTTATGTACAACATACTTTATGTTGCGCTGGAAATTTACTCCTGTGCCGTGGGGCGAAGTGTAACTAGCCGGGACAGAACGCTCCGGTCAAGTTAAAAGTTAAGAAAAGTTAAGAAACGTCACTATCTGCATCTCATTCGTGCATCGTACACCGAGGGAAAATAGCTCACCGAGGAAACCGGAGGGAGTCGGAGAAATACGACCATAGGCGGGATGGGATGGTGGGGAATCCACGATGACTATTTGCATATAAAGAGCCTATATCCCCTGTTCTTTTTTTTTTTTCTCTCTACTCATCAATTTCATTGACAAATTCACATTACAGTAACTATCTGCCACCATGTACTTGCATATCCCTCGGGCTGACACTCGTATAGATCCAAAATATGTACATACTGCCCTTCCTTTGGGAGTCATGGATGCTCTTTGGCTAGGCATATTATCCCTCGGGAATCAAGGTATCTCAGGTAACTTCTGGGTGATGAGCCGGTGTTCGTTCTTGCGTCGGGGGTGAATCCAATGTCTATCTATACATCTAGATATCGGATTCATCCTCGGCGTGGGTTCGTTCTGAGATTATACGGCCTTTAACTTGATCTGGATAATACCAGCGAAAGGATCATGCCCTCCCCCTTCCTATCCCCTAAACTAGAGTAGCAAAACTGACCAAGGCTCAAAGTCAAATCTCCGACTTGATCTCTGAACCATTATGTCTCCTCCCGCTGCCATGTTTGAGCCTGCTACTGTTGCCCCTACCGGCATCAAGGGCAAGGTCATCGTCCCCGAGTCGGTGACCACTACCCTAACCGGCCAGGGCGAGTCAAAGCTCCTTGAACAATTTGGCAACAAATGGGATGAGTTCAAGTTCGCCCCGATCCGCGAGAGCCAAGTCTCGCGCGCCATGACCCGACGCTACTTCCAGGATCTGGACAACTATGCCGAGAGCGATGTTGTTATCGTCGGCGCTGGTTCCTGTGGCTTGAGCACTGCTTATGTGCTCGCCAAGGCCCGCCCGGACCTGAAGATCGCTATCGTGGAGGCCTCTGTGTCGCCCGGTTAGTCTTTTCCCATGCGAGCGGACTCTTGTAGACTTTCGCCCTCAATCCAACGCAGTATCACTAACATAATATATAGGCGGTGGTGCTTGGCTAGGTGGGCAGCTATTCAGCGCCATGATCCTCCGACGCCCCGCAGATGCCTTCCTGACCGAGCTCGGCGTGCCCTTCGAAGAAGAGCCTACGAACCCTAACTTCGTGGTCGTCAAGCACGCCGCGCTCTTCACGTCGACGCTCCTGTCAAAGGTTCTCGCCTTCCCTAACGTCAAGCTCTTCAACGCAACCTGCGTCGAAGATTTGATCACTCGCCCAGACGGTGACGACGTCCGCCTCGCCGGTGTCGTCGTCAACTGGACTCTCGTCACCCTTCACCACGATGACCACTCCTGCATGGACCCCAACACCATCAATGCCCCAATTATCGTCAGCACTACTGGCCACGACGGGCCATTCGGCGCTTTCTGTGCTAAGCGTCTCGTCTCCATGAACGCTATTGATAAATTGGGTGGCATGCGTGGCCTTGACATGAATGCGGCCGAGGACGCTATTGTTAAGAACACCCGTGAGGTTGCTAAGGGTCTTATCATTGGTGGCATGGAACTGTCGGAGATCGATGGCTTCAACCGTATGGGCCCTACTTTTGGCGCTATGGTCATGAGTGGTGTCAAGGCTGCTGAGGAGACTCTGCGTGTCTTTGAGACCCGTAAGCGCGAGTGTGCCGAGTAAATTTGCACACTTGCGTGCTAGCTCACTTTCTCGTTTCTGCTTGCTTCTTGCTTGATGCTGGTGGACTCGGTGGAGGCTCATGTAGCTTTGATGATGACGATTACTTAACAAATGCACCTCACTCATTTCGTGCACATTCTCTTCCGCTTGAATCCGTAGACAGTATCTTGCCACAGGAAGTACTTTTGAATTATGAATTAGTTTTGCCAGTCCAGGAAGGACTAGCTTGGCATATAATATACTACACTTTCAGCACTAAATATACATCTACGGATATGTAAACAGACAAACAAATCATGCAACCTAGCCCCGTCCCCTAAGAATGATCAACTCATTTTTCATAAAACAGCTCGCAGGGAGAACGATCACTTGTCTTTGTGATTTCTCTCTGTTTCTTTCGACGTTGCGCCTGCGCATGCACCTGCCTCGGCGGCAACCACCAAGCTCCTAGCATTTCTGACCTCCCACTCAAACTCTTTCAAGGCACGCAACTCACCCGACATGAACAGTCCACCAATCAGACCGTCCAAAATACCAGCGCCGAAGTTGAGTGTGCTGACCAGGACGAGAATGAATCCGATGTATGTGCGGCTGCCAACCCACCACACGCCGATCATGCAACCAATAGAAACCAAAATAGAAATCAAGAAATGCGCCAGACGCCAACGGCGCTGAGAGCGTTCACGAGACACGTATGTGTGAGTCATGTCAATGATGTGGTCATATGTGTCTGGGGAAAGCGCGGCGTTGGGGGAGACGGGCTTTGAAGTTGTTCTATGCAAGGTAGGGGAGTCGGGAGAGACTGGAACAGAGTCTAAGGACTGAGAAGGAGGGTATATCGGTACCGAAGAACGGGTGATAACAGCCTCAACGGCGAAGTGATCGCTCAGAGAGCAGAGAAGAGTGGGATGACGCTGTGTCATTGAAATTTGAACGGACTCGACTGACCATCTAGACGGCGGGAATGCGGGAGGGTAGCCACCGTCGCCAACAAAGATATAATCCAGGCGTTTGCCGCGCGGGTCCGGGGTTTCCTTATCAATGACAATATCCTCGCCCTTTTCTAGGCGCTTGCGCATGGCCTCAGTCCAGCGCCAGGTATTGAACGACCCGTCGCATGTAGCTCCATTCTCGGCAAGGTTAAACTCTGCGGTGGGAATAGGCAGATTCCGTGCCTTTTCAACCGGATCAATCGCCGCCGCGAGGGACGAGTCTGGGTGTAGCTCGCGCCAGGCATCGCGAACAGGGCTCTGTGCAGTGATGAGGCGGTGGGCGAAAGAGGAAGGAAGCATGTTGAAGTCACCCAGGCCGATGACTAAATGGCCACGCTCAGCCGCGCCACGCATTAGCTTGGAGATCTCCCATGCCTGGGCGGTCCGGTGGCAAATATATGAATCATTCGGTTCGCGCTCATACGGAGCATGTAGATGAGTGCAGAACACCTCGGCGACATCGGTTGTACCAGGGCCAAACCGCACGCGTGCGCAGGCGACACCTTTTCCCACGAACCAATCTCCTCGGAAGAATGCCGTTGGTCTGCCGTTCAACGGGTAGCCGAACATGCTGCTTTCCTCGATCGGCCATTTTGACAAGATCGCCAATCCCGCGCCAAATATGCCGCCATAATAAAATTTCCCATACGGCAGGATGTGTCGTGTCTGATCGCGAATGCTTTCAAAGTCCTGCTGTGTCCAACATTCTTGCAGTCCGACTATCTCCGCCGGCGGGTTGGCTATTGCCAACTGTCGTCCAATCTCCGACATGCGTTCATGGCGGTACTTGGCGATGTATTTAAGACCCCAGCAGTTGAACGTGAGAATGCGGATGTCGCTTGGAGCTTTGGAGGGAATAGGGCAAGCCATTAGGCCAGATATTGACCGAGATGAGCTCTCGAGACTCTAACTGTGTTTAGGATGGACCGAGAAGCGCTCAATAAGTGCTCAACAAAGATCTGAGGTCGATATTCCACCTGAGCGACCATGGGTCCACGTGCTTGTTTAGTATGACGCAGGCCAACAAGAGCTTGTCCCCGAGCTCACCGCCTGGAAAATACGACACCGCCTTGATATTGTGCTTCGCGGCGCCGGTATTGATTTTCAATTTCGAGGCTCGAAATTGGCATTTGTTGACCAATTCCGGCGGCGTATTTGCATCGTTCGTTGGATGTTTTTGCATGTATCTATTGTAAAATGGATCATGTAAACCCAAAGCCTCGGCGCCGAGATCCTCGCGCGCAATCACCTGCTGAGTCGTCCTCTGACGAACTCGCAGCAGGCTCCGATCACGAAGAAGCTGAGCGCCGCCGAGCCAGTTGGACCATACAAAAGGCTTTTACCCCTCAACGCCCGCAGAAGACTGGACGCCTCTACAGCGAATCTGAGAGTCCTGACGAGCTAGCTGTGGACGCTGGCGAATACTGGCGCTCTTCACGCATGCGCAAACGTCACCGAATCCCTTCTCCGATTACCCACACCAACATGCGTGACGACCATTCCCAAGGCGGATCGGATGATCTTCCTGACAACAAAATGCCTGCCTCAGACGTTGAGCAACCTCGCGGCGCCGATGACTGGTCCAATCGTTCTGGCACCTCAGCTCCTACTCCGGCGGCCGCTTCCAATCCCGTAAATGTGGACTACAGAGAGAAATTTGTCATGCACGGTCACCTACGCGGAGTCTCAGCTGTGCAATTCTCGCCTGATTGCTCCATGATCGCTAGTGCCGGTAAGTCTTTTGCTCATAATTTACTTACTACATGAATTTACCACTGACCTTGCACAACAGGTGCCGACGCAGCTGTCAGAATCTGGGACACTGCGAGCGGTAGACTTATTCATGTATTTGAAGGACATCTAGCTGGTATCTCTACCCTTGCCTGGGCCCCTGACGGTGAATGGATTGCCACCGGCTCCGACGACAAAACAATTCGTCTGTGGAACGTGAACACTGTAAGAACCGCATCCATTCTTTTATGCTTCTAGACCCTATTACTAATGTTTGACTACAGCTCAAAGCCCACACCAAGGTCTTTGATGGCCATCAAAACTACGTGTATCAAATCGCCTTCGCGCCGAAGGGTAACATCCTTGTCAGCGGTTCTTACGATGAAGCCGTGTTCATGTGGGATGTGCGTCGCGCCCAAGTCATGCGCTCCCTTCCAGCCCACTCTGATCCTGTCGCTGGTATTGATGTTGTACATGATGGAACCCTTATCGTTTCATGCGCCCTGGATGGGCTTATTCGTGTCTGGGACACCCACAGCGGCCAGTGTCTCCGCACCCTGGTCATGGAGGACAACCCGCCTGCAACTTGCGTCAAGTTTGCCCCCAACGGCAAGTATGTCTTGGCCTGGACCCTGGATAACTGCGTTCGGATGTGGCATTATGCTGAGAGCCGCGTCCTCAAAACATTCCAAGGCCATGTCAACACGAAATACAGCTTGTCAGGATGCTTCGGTACCTATGGGCCCAAAAATGTGAATTTCAACCCGCCCCTATGTTTCGTCGTCAGCGGCAGTGAGGATGGTTATATCTTCCTCTGGGACCTTGTGAGCAAGCAAGTATTGCAGCGCCTTGATGGACATTCAGGTGCTGTGCTTTGTGTCGACACTGGTATCCTACACGGCAAGCGCATGATTGTGAGCTGCGGGGTAGACAAGACGGTTCGTTTGTGGGAAGAGGTAGGCGAAGACGAGGACGACGAGGATACGTTCAGCGATAGTGCCACCCCTACCCCAGAGACCCACTTGCAGTCTCACTCGCAAACCAACACCCCTGTGCACGATGCAGATGGCGATAATGCCATGACTGATGTGTCTGCTGTGCCTTCCACTGCCGCCACCCCGGCGGAAGATACGATGGCGGAGGATGTGACGATGGCATGAGCTGATCTCTGCCATCATCTAACGATTTTCTTTCTTTCTGCATAGGCGGTTGCTTTTCGGGAAAAGGAAAATACCCCGGCGTCTGGTGTTGTTCTCATATGGACAATTTGTCTTTCCCAGCTGTTCTTGCAGCTTGGGATTTTTTTTAACAGTGGCATATCGAGCGAATGTAATTACTCAGAATCTGATAATACATTTCACTCCTGATATTCAGAGGTAGGGCTAGATTCATATTAGAATCCGTAAGAAGCCTTCCATCTCTAGATCGGTTTACCCAAAATACAAATTCTCATTTGATTGATGGGACGGTGAGAGCTTCTAAACGATTAAGGGAATTATAGGCTCTGTGTAAAAACAACAAAGGCTGCAAGGAAACCTATCTACATGACCTGATAGCGTTGTTTGCGACAATATATCAACTCATCTGAGAGGATACTTGCTTACTTTCACTTTAAAACAAAGACGAACCCCATAGAAGTGTATTGGTCAGTTCCCCTGTCCATCTAACAAGGACTTATTAGGTGACTTTCTATAAAACAAACTCGAAGCCCTATGTACTCAACCCCCCACTATCTTTCCCTTCACCTAGTAAGTGTGTATGAAACACCTAGACAGGTATATCTAAGAGCAAATTCAATGAATCGCCGCTCATTTGTAACCATTTACAAAGCGGGTTTAGAATGTGGACTCTATCTTTCAATGCGAAGCAAGAACCTAGGAATATTCATATCAAATTCCATTCTTTGGTCCGCAGGACACAAAGATCACACCATATCAAGATGATATATGCCCGAGGCTTCGGTTTAGGATCACAAATAGTCTATTTTGCGGAAATGTTGCCTGTGACCTCTTTATATATCCAAGACCATCCATGATATATGATACAAACGAACTGCCTGAAAACAATGACCTGACACAGACCCCGGGATCATGAATTTACGTAGGCTTCTAGATCGATGATACAGTAAGTCAACACAGTGTACGGGGTGATTTAGAGATTTCGATCCAAATTGAGACCAATTGTGCGCAATATGACATGGAAGTATCACTCAAAATGCTCTACATATCCTGTAGCTTATATTTGTCACGATAAAGAGAATGTACTTGGTTGGGTCATTGAGCAGCCAACCCCCAAATGAACGCGCAACGCCGAAAATCCCAGGGTATCTCTTTCAACAAGTCATCTAATTGCTGACAATCTGGCTCGCTGCAGCAGATGCAGGGTCTGACTCGCTGGGTGCTAGATCAGATCTGAAATCACCAGCCCAGCCAGCGGGAGGTGTGTCATATGCCTGAACAGCTTGAGTCCGATCAAGTTGGTTGGTAGCTCCTTTCCCAGCCAAAGAAGACCGAACAGGCGTCTGTGTCTTTCTCAGCCCGTCATCATTCAAGAACCGACGAAGTGACTCCTTGCCAACTTTATAATTAACCACCACAAGTAGTTCATCGTATGTGATTTGAGGGTTCGCATGAAAAGCCTCACGGATTCGGGTTCGATCTTCGTCCTTCAGCTTTGACGGTCGGCCGGAGCGGGCCTGTGAGTGGTTATTGACACGATTGTTCTCTCGGAGAATGGTTGATTTGATAGTTGAGAGTGGAATATGTGGGTATTCGTTCTGGATCTGTTTGTAGGTCCATTTGGCTGTGGTTCTGAGCACACAGAGCCGGGTGCGAAGGAATGGATCGAGTTCGGCCCCACGTCGACGAGATCTTTTCTCGGGTTTATCTGGGATCTCGGGCTTCTCAAGCCCCTCGGGCCCCATGGTAGCGAGCTTGTGCCTGGAGAGAGACGTGACGAGCGGCTAGGAGTCTTTGGTTGTCAGTCACGATATATTAGGCGGTATGGGTAGTACATTTTCTGCCACCTGGCCCGAACAGGAAGGTCGTACGGATTATATATCCTCACTTCTCTTTCCTTTGACCTCTTCGCCTCTGTATAAATCACAGGCTACATAGAGGCTGTAAGCATTATGCTTAATATGATGAATGGTCTGTTGTGGCCATTATCATTTCAATTTCTGGTGATAATACCGGAGACAATATCTGAACTTTGTATTGAGGCATTCAAAAGTCTCTACGACATACGATTCACCTCGATCTTTACTCCATCCTCCATATTGAGCTCTTACGTAGAAAGCTTTTCTGATGTTGTTTTTTTAAATAGAATCCTTTGGCGGGACTCTTTCGTGAGACGCGGGATCAGGCCCCTATTTTGTATTTGCTCCATTTGATAAGACCCAAGGAAAGGGTTTTTCCTTCAATGGCAACAATCAACCTGAAACCAAAATCCTTTAGACGTAAATATCTCCAAATAGTAAATTATAGAATATTCTGAACAATATAATTATTCTCTAGTACATAACAGGCTGGGTACTCTATATAGAGTTCACAAATTATGTGCAGACAACTGGTAAGCATTGTGAAGGAGGCGTAGTGATCACAACAATTGGTGTCCCATAGGCTATCGAAAGTGATAAGAATAGATATCTGTGATATAGGGTGGCACCCTAGCGCTTGACCCTGTCTCACATTGATGATGGGATAGGGTGAACCCACATACGCCCCAAATTTCATATTTTACACATTGACAATGTCCAAGGTATGTGGGCAATACACACAAAGTGTGATTTTTAGGACTTTGTTCTGTAAGCTGGATTGATGTGCTCCGTACAGAGCACACATAACACGATTTCCACCAAGAACATTATGTGTCCATCCAAAAGCCTGTAAGGGGGGTCCACAGGTAAGCCTAGAACTAAGATAAAGCGAGGATCTTCGATCCATGCTCCAGTCATAAGCCCTACAGGTATGTCTCCTATGCGACACTTGTCCAAGGAGTACACGTCATACATGAGATGTACTGTAGGGATATTTGATTTACGAACAGGCTACTCTGTACGGAGTATGTATATTCAAATGGGGGTCTGCAGGTACCGTTATTCCCAAGTGCCTGAATTAATTTGAATGGTCGAATCACCTTTGTAGAAGCAGTTGACATCCCGTGTGGCTGGTGTGGCGTTTATGTTTTAGTGCAATCCTAGCTCAGAAACTGTAATGTTGTTCCATGGGTGGTCGAGCGAACTTTAGCGCCACTTGGGCTGGAACCACGGTAACCCGGAGGAAGAAACCTTGGGTCAAGTCTGGAGGAAAGCTTTACCTAAATAATAGCTTCCACCTTCCTGGAGGTTCTTCATACCTTCAGTACTAGTAACTCCTTTTAATATAGGCCTGAAGGTTTAGACGACATTTTTGGTGATAGTCAGAAATAATTTAAGATAGACCAAGTCTAATGAAAATAGTAACATACCGGTTGTTGGGCCTAGACTGAAACGGAGGGGGGGCCAATCAGTCCCAAATTCAGGGGCCAAGTTTAGACTAATCGGTAATATTCTCTACTCCGTACGGTCGAGGCTCTCCTCTCTTTTCTTCTTTACAACTGATTATCGCATTGTGAGAGGGGGAATTTCATTCACTAATCTCCAATCACTTCCTCTCTCCTACTACTCTCGTTTGTATCCTCTTTGCGGCTCCCGGTTGTCTCGAAAACCGGTGTCTCACAATCCCACCTCGTCCTTGCGACCCTTTCGACTCGTTTATTATTTATCTCTTGATTTCTTCTCTATAGCGGGTTGATCCTGCTTTGCCTTTTTGTTTTGTTTTGTTTTCTGCCCTGTGACTTAACCCCCAGTCATTCCTATATCACCACTACCCGCCCGATCCTCGCGCCAGTCGATCCCTACATCCTTGATGAATACGCGCCTGCTTGGTTCGAACCGTTAGATTTTGGATTGGTATAACGTAACGAACATCAATCGTGCTCGGCCAACATGCAGAACTACATCTGGGCTCTGCTAGGCCTGGCCTTGGTGCCTCAAGCCCTGGCAGCCGACACTCTATCCACGAGCGGATTCAACCTGTGCATGACCAATTCGGCAATTAATGTCCAAAAGATGGATGTTACCTACACTCGTTCCACTGGAATAGTTGTCTTCGACGTGGCTGGTACCAACGCGATGGAACAGAAGGTGCGGGCGGCCATCACCGTCACTGCCTACGGTAACGAAATCTACAAGAAAGAATTTGATCCCTGCGGCGACGAGATTCATGTCGACCAACTCTGTCCCGTCCCCAAGGGTACTTTCAAGGCCAGCGGATCCATGGAGGTTCCGTCCGAATATGCTAGCCAGATCCCTGGTATCGCATTCAAAATTCCCGACTTGGATGGCCAGGCAAAGCTTGTCCTGAAATCCAAGGAAGACCAGAAAAACGTGGCGTGTATTCAGTCACAACTATCCAATGGCCACACCGCCGACGTCGGTGCGGTTAAATACGTCTCGGCTGGAATTGCGGCAGGCGCTCTAGCACTGAGCGGTGTCTCTGCCCTCGGCTCGGCGGGTTCTGTTGGATCACCGTCCTCCAGCCCTGGATTTGGCGATGTGATGGGCTGGTTCCATTCCATGGCCACCAATGGCATGCTCAGTGTTGCTTACCCACCTGTCTATCGCAGCTTCTCCTCAAACTTCATGTGGAGTACTGGTTTGATCCCATGGGCTGGCATGCAACAGTCTATCGACAAATTCCGGGAGGCCACTGGCGGCAACTTGACCACGGAAAGCTACGAGTACTTAAAGAACTCCTCTGTCACGCACAGTAGCTCAGCATCCACCAACACAACGAAACGGAGCTGGGATTACACAATCGAATTCGGGCAGATGGTCCCTCGCTCGGTTGAGGCATCCGCCGATCCCAATGTTTCCGATAGCTCCTCGGATAGTGACGAAAGTGACTCTTCGAGCACGGTTAGCGACCTGAAGGAACTCGCTCAGGAACTGATGGTTCCTTCCGCCAACATCTTCATGACTGTTCTCTTGATATTTGCCATCGTCATTGCCGTGGTGGTCGTTGGTATTCTTTTACTGAAGGTTGTTCTGGAACTGTGGGCGCTGTATGGCAACTTCCCAAACAAACTCTCTGACTTCCGGAAAGATTATTGGGGCTTGATGGCGCGGACAATTACCAACATGATTCTCGTGCTTTACAGTATCTGGGTGCTATACTGTGTCTACCAACTACGAAAGGGTGACTCGTGGGCAGCAAAGACGCTGGCCGCCATAACCCTCTCTATCTTCACAGCGGTTCTTCTTTTCTTTGCCATTCGCATTGTATACATGGCTCGTAAGTACAAGAAGACCGAAGGAGATGCTTCCAGCTTGTACGAGGACAAGGAAACCTGGAAAAAATACAGTTTGTTTTATGACAACTACAAGAAGGACTTCTGGTGGCTCTTCATCCCCGTCATTGTGTACGCATTGGTCAAAGGCTGCATCATTGCTGGTGGTGAGGGTCACGGTTTGTTCCAAAGTGCCGGCCAGCTCGCTTGCGAAATCCTTCTGTTGGGACTCTTGGTATGGAGTCGCCCATATGCCACCAAGGCATCGATGGGAATCAATATCGCCGTCCAGGTCGTTCGTGTTCTGTCCATCGTTTGCGTCCTGGTCTTCGTCGAAGAACTTGGTCTTTCCCAAACAACAAAGACCGTCACTGGCATTGTCCTCATAGTCGTGCAGTCCACCCTCACTGCAGTCCTCGCTATCCTCATTGCAGTCAACGCCATCATCAATTGCTGCCGTGAGAACCCGCATGCTAAGCGGAGAAGAGAAGCTGGTAAGTGGCAGCTACTTTGTGATCCAAGCTAGATCCCAAGATGTAAATTTTCTAACAATTCCCCATAGAAAAAGCGAACCGCGACCTTGACGACCTAACTCCTTTGGATGCCCGGGACTCCCTCCTTATGGACCACCCGCAACGCAAGGATTACGCTGAGATGAGCAACTTCAATTTCAACGGCCCATACGAGTCTTACCGAGATGAACCCAAGCGAGCCGGACCAACTGGTAGCGACGAACGCGCTGGTTTAGTCCACAATGACTACGGTGTGGCGTACGGGCGCAGTGCAAGTCCCGACAGCCACCACTCGCGAAGCTCTCTTGAAGGCCGCCGTCCTGCAGCTCCGGGCTACGGGATGGCATATTAAAAAAAAAGAAACAAAAATCAACAAAAATCAATCGACGAAAGCGTCACAGACTCGATATGACGTTACAACTCTTCTTGCTTCCATATTCTTACCTTCTTCGACATTCTTAGATCAGGCACACGCGTTGTGACTTCGGAGTTATTTTTTGACGGTTTTTAGCGTGTGCTTGAAATGGCGGGCATTGATTGATCTTCCCGCCTTTAGATGCATCTTCTTGTGTGATATCACTTACATCCATTCTTTTTTCATCTTGTCCCTATACATACCTCATTCATTACAATATTTACCCTCTATCATTTATATTACAGCTTGCACTTGGTGAGCATTTCTTCTAAATCGAGCTTTTTGATATCTTTGTCTTGTTCGTAGTCCTCTAACCTAGGCGAGATGGGTATGTTGCCGCCAAAGAATTTCTCGTGGTAAGAACTCTTTGAAGAAATGCTTGCAACATTAGTTATAGGCTAAATTTGAGTATTTTGTCTTTTTTCTTATACAGATCTACAGACAGAAACGTTGATATGCATGGCGAACAATGAACAAAATGACCAGGAGAGGAGAATCATCTCTCTGAGCAAGTCCACAAAGAGAATCTTTAAAAAGCCCGTATAATATGTTCCCACCAAAGTCTTGGAAGTTGGGTGCTTACATTGTATGGTAGCAAACCTTTCGACAGATCTGTGAACATCAGGCCGTTTTGATTGAATGCCAAAGTATCAACATTCTTCAGGTTCTTACACTCATTTGAGAAACGATAATTACACGTTTGTACAAAACTATACACTCGATATTGAAGTAAGCGTGAATTACAAAGGCTGTGGTGCCAGTGCAGTTTGGTCATGAACTAGGCAATCCTGTCCACGTCACGTGTACTATGTAGCCCTATCTCAAAGACAACCCATCCATTTGACTTTGGGCAATACGACATACGAACAATGATTCTGATTTCAAGATGACATATGTGTTTATACAAAGGTGTCTTAGGTCTCGGGTCTCAATTTGAAATGCCCCGTGTGGGCTGGTTAGGCTGCGTTGCGCTAGCTCCCACACAGACACCATAGGTACCACGACTTGGAGAGCTCGACCCCCCTGGTTACTCAAGAACGAAGACCCTACACTCTACGCTATACGCCATACGCCCTTCATCCTATGCCCTGTCTCCTACAATATGCTCTACAAAATAAGCTCTCGGATGAACACTTTTGACTCTTGATTGTGAGGCTAACGCCACAACAAAGTAGTGTATCAACGAATTTGAACGAAGGTTAAAGACTAGCTTTCACCGATCGCCGAACAATTTCCCTCCCAGTTAGCACGGAGAACCTCGACGCAAGCCTTGATTCCCAGGGCCCTGGCAAGTAAAAGCTCCACCCACGAAAGCACCGAACCAGGGACAGCCTTGAACTTAAGACAAAGAGTATGGAAATCGCCAATACAACCAGTTCGCCAGGCCCCAACGTCGCCTTCGCTGGCGGCCGCACAATTATCAATCCTTGAGGCCCAAATTCGCTGGCCCCAGGTAAAAAAAAGAGACTTAAAAAACACATAAGAGAAACGAAATCGGATCTGAAACGAGAAGAGACTAGATGCGTCACATGAAGGGGGCCACAGCAAGCAGCTTAGCGCTGGTAGGGGTGGTAGGTACGGTGTCCACCTCGGCCGCCACCACGGTAGTTCGCACCAGGCTTGCCAGCGTTACGGGGTCCAGTAGGAGCATTTGGAGGAGCAGTGCCCTGAGGTTGAGGAGTAGTTCCTGTTTGGGAGAAGCGTTAGTCAACGGAGCAAGAAATAGGAACGGAATTGAGATGAAGGGGACACAATATGCAGAAACTCGTAAGAATCACATACCACTACCCGAACTTCCAATGCGTCTCATACCTGCTGGTCCGGTTGGGACATGAGGTTGAGGGACTTCATCGTACATGCCCTCCCACGAAGTCGGGCCACCCTGCTGCTGGTAGGGCGAGAAACCGCGAGGGTCCATCGAGCGGTTAATCTGCTGCTGTTCATACTTTTGCTGCTCGAAAGCAATCTGCTCGGTGGCATTGTATCCAGGTCCAGTTTGTCCTCTGGCTGGGGTTCCAGCGCCGTTGTTGTAGTTGGCGGCCATAGCAGCGGCGTTGGGAACGGGACTAGCACAATCACTGCCTGTACCGCCGGGTACGTTGGGTTGGTTAGGCTGCATCATAGCCGGGTTCATCATGTTGGGCATAGCTTGCTGGGAGCCAGGACTCTGAGGGCCAGGGCTCATAGTACCTTGCTGCTGGGCACCCATTTGCTGCTGCTGCTGCTGGCGCATCTGCATCTGCTGCATCTGTTGCATTTGCGCGATCATAGCGGGGTTCATGTTCATGGCGTTCATGTTCATACCAGGCATCCCTCCTTGACCGGCAGCCATCGACTGCTGCATCATGGTAAAGTATTGTTGCATGCGTTGCCAGTACTGTGCCATCATCTGAGGAGTCATCGAACTGCCCTGTCCCTGCTGAGCAGCTTGCTGCTGACCTCCATCATTCTGGTTTTGGTCGCGGTATCCTCCGTTGCGGTGGCCGCCGCCACCACGTTGATCGTTGTTGTCACGCAGGTTACCACGGGGCTGGGCCTTCTTGACCTCAATTGGCTTGCCCAGGATTTCAAGAGGACGGGAGAGAGCCTTCTCAACAGCAGCATCGCCGTCGAAAGTGACAAAACCGAATCCGCGGGGTCGTCCAGTGTCCTTGTCCATCATAAGAGTGGCATCAACAACACGGCCAAACTGCGTAAAGAATTGCTTGAAATCCTGCTCGGTGGCCTCCTGGCTAACGCCACCGACAAAAATCTTAGAAGTCTTCTCCTGTTCATCGCGGGGAATAGCACGCTTGGGATCAATCTTGGATATTTTGTCAGCAACAGTTTTCTTTGCCCATTTGCGAGGTATTCCTTACAATCTTTCCATCCAGATAATGCTCCTTCACCATCACAGTATTGACAGTCTTGGCGTCACGGAAAGTCAAAAAGCCAAAGCCGCGAGAGCGTCCAGTGGCGCTATCACGCATGACAGTGCACTCCTGAACCTCACCGAATTGAGAAAAATAGTCACGAAGGGACTCTATATGAGAACCAAGTTGGGTTAGCCAGATGACGGCTTTCCGTGCAGCAAGGATATACGCCCATACCGTCTGTAGTTTCCCAGTTCAGCCCACCAATGAACATCTTTCTAACAATCACATTTCATTGGTCAGCAGGGACTCATCGCAGGAATAAAAACAAAACGGCCCAGGTAATGATCTTCAGTGAACAACATGATGGTGGAAGGTAATGTAATAGTGATGATAAATGGCACGACAAATGAAGCAAATCAATACACAAAGGCGGGTGGCCAGGTATCGCTAATCATGGGCTAGTCGAGTGTGCGAAAAGCCTCGCTATTCTGAGCACGTTGCCCTATAACAAGTAAGGCACGTGCTAGGTCGGTACATGATCTTCGGTACCTCGTAGTCACTGTCAATGTATACTTGTACGGTCCTGAGCTTTTCATGTTCACAGGATTTAACGTCAAGCCCACAGGTTTACATGGGCTTGGATGCACAATTCATGTCCCTCTCTTTCTGGATTGCTCAAGCCGGAGATAGGCGAGATGAGAAGCGTGGAGGTGCAAGTATTTCAGTCGTAAAAAGTGAATTGTCACTGTCTGTCTGTCTGACCCGTGAAAACCTTTGCCTTGTCTAACACAGAGTCCCAAGCTAGATAGCTACTTCTTGCTCTGCCCTATCAAGGTATATCGACAGGAAACTATATAGTATCGGCTGTACTATATATGAATCGTTTGTGACAAAGGTCCGTGGGTGGCGTGTTTTGACTTGCGCAAGCAATTGTCTTCATCAAGGGCCCCAGCCAATGTGTCTTTTGAGCCTCCGCTTGACTCCGTGGAGCAAATGCTGGGGTATCCCAATATGTATTGGAGATGCCTTGTGGTAGTGCGAGGAAGAGAGGTGCTGATTGGTCGCCGAGCCCGCTGTTTGTTTTCCTCCTTTGAAAGTGCATGCGCCACCCAACAACAGGCAATTTTTCTTGAAACAGCCCACATTCCACAGCCCAGAGAGATAGTTGAAACCGTAGCTAGGAGTCTCCTTCCGGGACCCGAATAGCAGTCGAAACCCATGAATAGCAATTGACACCACCCAGATTTGCACCGAGGTAAATCCCCAAGCCAGACAAAAGAAATGCAATTGGGGGTATGGTCCAAACATGAATATGAAAAAAAAAAAAACACGATGAGTCGACTTACCCGTCTTCTTTGATCCCTGTTCCGTGAGATTCGGTCTCAGCAGGAGGGGGTGCCTGGGTAGTGGCAGGGGCGCCATAAACGTTTCCGGAGCCATTGTGATAGCCTGGGTCAGACTCTGAAGGCTGGGCGGGGCGCGATTCATATGTGCCAACAGGGGCAGGTGCAAAATCCTGTCCAGCAGAGTCTCCAGCAGGTGCAGGGTTGGTCGCGCCTAGATCAGTGGACTTTGGCGCCTCGACCGCTGCAGTAGTACGGTTGGTGGAGTCGTCAGCATCGTAGCTAAGAAGAAGAAGGCAGATTAGAATTTCATTATTCAATGTAGAATCAAGTAGAATACATACAGATCAGCAAAGAGATCATCTCCATCCTCTGGGTCAGCCATGGTGAAATGAGCGATCAATAAAATCAATAAGAGAGGTAGTCACTGGAGCACGTGTAGATCTAGTCAGTCACAATAGAAGCAAAATCAAAAAAACAAGAATCGTTCAAAACGTGAGAACGAGCGGATGAAGAAGTTGAGAAAGTCCACCGCGGGAATCCCCAAGTGGGTCGATTACATAATACGTCGCTCGCCCGCAGGACTCGGGGGTGACAGCTAAGTATTTTGTATCTATAACGCTGAAACCTACAATATTGCTTTCATTTGCCTTTCATTTCAAGTCTCTCTCAAGTATGCTCTATTGATTTTCTATCTTCCTACATGGCCTGGCCGCAGGACGGGCGTTCATCCTATTAC